AATATTAATCAATAGGGCGAGGAATTCGAGGATAATCCTATGTGATCCTGTGTTTTCATTTCCTGCATTGAATTCTAATCGGCCTTGATTATTACTAGCTAACCGTCTAGGCGGCGAATTAATCCTTTTGTGAATGAAACAGTGAATTGTGAATGAAATGCGTGCGTTCTCTTGCAATAAAATGTTTCTTTTTCTAGATTGAGTAACTTTCTTCACAAATGCAAGAAATGCTTTTGTAGTGATATATTTTTTTACTCTTGGAATTGAAACAGTTTAACGGAGCTTCACCAATAAAAAAATCTAAGTTTTCGGAATCTCGAAATAAAAATATGTGTATGTACATACGCTTAAATAAGTCGATGTAATTTAATTTAATAACATTGTTGCACGTTTTATTAGAAAAATATATTTTGACTTTTATATACTTTCTTTGTCGGGAAAAATGATTCTTTATCTCTTCAGTTTTTCTTTCTACTTGTTTTGCACATCTCAAATTTAATTTTTTTTTAGCTTGTCCATCCTACGGATTATATTAATTCATATTAGTATTTCGTGTATTCTAGAGAGTATTATTAACTTATTAAAAAAAAACATCTATGCAAGTCTATTTGAAGCTTTATTTCTATCTGATCCATCTAATAGTAAAATTGCTTCAATTTTCAAATTATCAAATGTTTAAAATTTATTATTGCTCTTTTTGTAAAAATTTAATTTGGTTATATAAATCGTTTATATTAAATTTAAATGCATTCATTCTTTGTTCCTCATAATAATTCGTAATTTTATCGTAGCATTATTGGTCATAAATGCAATAACATTATAAAGAATATTCGATACACCTTTTGTGCATATATAACAATATTCCTTTATCAAAAATTGATTTAATCTTTCTTTGACAAAAATATCAAGATGTAAATATAAATGGCTTTTGACTTGTCGATTATTAAAGAAAGTAATTTTCTATCGAACTAGAGAATACAAAAAAAAAATGTCAAAATTCCATTTTCCAATTAATCTCGGATGGGTTTTAACGAAACATTACTTTCAGATATAATTTCCAAATTATTCAAAGATATTAAAAAGTTTCAAAAATTTTACGAAAAAATCTCACTTATAATCAAATTACGATAGAGAGGAAAAATTTAACTATTTTAATCTTCAATATAAGAAAAATATCGCCAAACGCGCTCACTGTCGAATATCTCGTATAAATAACTGAAGTTTGCAACCAAAAATGCAGTTTCATAACTTTAACAACGACGATATGCATGTTCCTCGATAAGAACACATGCCGTTCGCAAAAGATTGGCGACCAGACACGTTTCGCTGATCGATTTTTATCAACTTCTCGTACTTCACAAACTGGAATGCATGTTAATCTGTTCCAGGCATGATGTAATGTAACACTTTCTCCGCAGTCTCGTGCAGCGGTTTCGGCGACGCCCGCCTAATGTAACTTACACGTCCGATAATCATGCTAGTTATCCGCAATCGATTATCCCAGTAATGCAAAATCGAATATATACCGCGGGGAAAAGAGAAAATATAAAAATTTAACACTGAGAAAAATGTGTTAACTTAAATTGACTAAACCTTTCAACTAAATATTATTTTATTAATGGACCATATAAAAATATTTAAATTAAGTATAACATATTAAATCTAACAAAATGTATATTTGACTTAAATATTGATATATGTTCAATTAACAAAACAGTATTTAATTAAAAGGTTTAATCAAAAGTTAACAACTGTTTTCAGTGTAACAAGTATAAAAAGTATAAAAAGTTTCTTCAATATGATATAAAATTTGATATAATATAATAATAATGCATTAAATATATTTAATGCATGTGATAAAAATTATAAGATACATGTCCTTTTCCCTGTTTTCTTACAAATAGTTCATTTCTTAATTAAATTGATTATATTTTACATATTGTATTTTTGGACTTCAATGAAAAGTAATAGTGCAATGATGTTTTAATCGTACGATCAATTTAAAAATTTTTAATAGCAAGATGATGCTTTAATATTATTTATACCAAAGAATGCACATCTGGAGTATGTTTCATCAGATAATTACGAAGGATACCATGTAAGGCCAATTATCTGATTTTCTGGCCATAGAAAAATTAGCTCTATGAAGAATAATTATCTCACGTTGAGCTCATGTTAAAAAAATCCGATAATCGTGTAACGTCTACCACGGTGAACATTTTTTCGGTCAAAAAATCTAATGTGAACATTGTGAGATTATTCACAGAATTTATCAATATAATTTGATAATATAGCATATGTGAAAAACTAAACAATATTAAAAAGCAATTGCTTATTAAGAATTTGTTATAACCAAATTAATATATTCAATTTAACGATTCTATTTATAGTATTCAAATTTAAAATTGTATATAAAAAGATTATATTCTTATATCTCAAACTCAATAAGCTACTTTGCATTTGCAGATTCTTCGATGAATTTGCAATCAATTTCGCTTAATATAAAATTATCTATGATAACCATTTATCACAAATTCAAAATTGTCAGCGTCAAATACGTATTTTTGTAATCTTCACGAATTATAAATTTATTAAGGAGATTAAATCGAGCTCGAGATTAAGTCAAAAATAATTTTGCAATTTGTGTCTACAGCTCTGAAGTTTAACCTCAGAAAAATTTTTATTTTTAATAATTTAAAAATCATGACTGTATCGTGTTTGTAATTTTTATATAATACAGTTTATTATATAAATTTATTCTATACTAGTCAAAGAATCCGTAAATAGATCCCAAGACACTCTACATCTATATTTTGCAATCATAGCAAAGATAGGTTCTGTAACGATAACGAGGAAGAAAAATTAAATCGCGAATCAAAAGAAATGCTTCAAAGCACAATTAAACGTTATATATATTATTTGCACATATTTTCCTTATTACTAGATATATATATATATATATCGAGTGAGATAAAGACACTTTATATTGCAGAGAAGAAATTACTCACGATTGTCATGTGGGTTAATTTTGTCATTGCAATTGTCAAGATAAAAAAAAGATAAGAAAAAATACGTGCCTAGGTTTACAATTTGATTTTACGTCATCGTTACGCGAATAAAAACACGTTCTTTCACTTGTAATATTTCAAGCAGTATAAACAGTAAAACATTTTTATAACACACTAAAATGTGTTGCCATTCGTCTCGGACATTACATAAAAATTGCAAATTGTTTGACCGTAACTGTATCATATCATTTACGTTTATAGAGTTAACTGTTAATGCTATAATTATTAATATTTAAAAGAACTGAACGGTGCATTAAAAATCTGATAATAATCTTATATTCACAAATAAACTTAACTAAGCGAATTAATGTAATACTGATGCTATGTGTATATACATATTTATTAATAGTATATAAGCGCATTTGTGCATTACCTAATTTAAGAGTAAATATAATAATGATATTAATTATTAATTGGGGCATGTGTGTGTATAACTTAATTATATTATTATGTAGTAACATGATTAATTCAGTTATTGTATTAATTATTACCGTTTAATTTTAGATTGTATATTTTCTTAACGCTTGCGTTAATTTCAGATTTATGCTGAAAAATGTGTATGTGAATATGATTTATATATAATTGTATATGGCAATTATATGAAGTCATATATGGAAATTAAATATGTCTTTGATTATTTTAAAGGAGCTACATTATTTTTTTAACAAATAGCTGAGAAAGCTATCTTTTCTCACAATTTTCCAGTTCAATTTTAATTTTTTACATAGAACTCTATAGAAATAAAATTTTATTACAAATTATATTATTAAGTAAATAAATTTTAATAAGTTTGAACTTAAACATGAAATTAAATTGAATTAAATAGAAAAGGTTTTATCTATTTTCATCGTTAAAATAGATGTAAGGCGTTTTTTTGCACGAAAAAAAAAATTAGCTATTATAACTAAATTTTTAGCTATCCCTATATTAAAAACGAATTATCATGCCTAAATTTTAGCTATGACAGCTAATATTTTTTAGCTATAGCATTCTCCGTTAAACTATAGCTAAAAAATATTAGTTACCATAGCTAAAATTTAGGCATGATAATTAAAATTTGTAATTTATTATAGTATTGTAATATAATATAGAGACAGCTAATATTTAGCTATGGTAGCTAATTTTTTTCCTTGTATAATTTAGATAAGCTGTTGAAATTTAAATCGTAAGCGTTCCTTACATTTGAGATAAATTATAGCTGTCTCAACAAACTTTCAGAAAGCTAAGTCCAAATGTGGAAGTCAAAGAGAAACATATATTATTTTTCCTCTCATATTATATTTTTGATATCATGTAAAAAAAATTATTTTTAATATTGATGTCAATATAAAAATTCCATATACCTTGCCTTGAAAAATCTAATCTTTCATCGTACACCAAGAAAGAGGATGCGTATGATATATAGATCCGCTTATACTTTAATATTGCTTCTTCACTTTTATGCCCTATTACGAGTTTGCTTAAATTCGCTTTCTATATATATTTATTACATTATCATCTCTAAAATTTCGCGCAACAATCAATAAATATAAAAGCGCAATATATCCAAATATCCAGAAGACATATATCCGAATATCCAGAAGACATATATCCGAACCTTTGGAAAAAAAATCTCTATTATTATCTAAATATAATCAAAATTCTAACCTGCTATATTTGTTATATCATATCTTCATTTCCGCGCTTCGAAAAATCCAATCCTCGTGGACAATTACTGCTACTAGCTACTAATAATCGGCGAGAGAAGCGTCCATTTACACGGGATTAATAACTCGAGCCGATGTTCGCAGACCGGTCAATTAACCGCGGCCGCGATCGCGGGCCACGTGACCCATGGCCATGTGACTGGCCGAGCACGCGCAATGCGACGCACGTGAGCACGCGCATCGCGGAGCACGTGAGCGCGCGCCGCCTCGGCACGTGCGCCGCGCCTCTCCCTCAATCCTCAGTATCGCTCGCGCGACCGATAAGTGACTAGGGCGATTCGCTCACGTGCGCCACTCACGCAGACCGCAGCAGAGAGCAGAGCAGAGCAGGGACGAGGCAGGAGCGCGAAAGGAAGAGACAAATCGGTGAGTAATTTCATCCAAGAAAGAGAGAGAGAGAAAGATATTCTTACGTGGGCGTTTCAATTCCGCCGATATAAATAAATATGCGGAAGTCGATATATGTATATGTATGTATGGTATGCAATATCTATCTGCGTCTCGATGACCACGTGTGTCCGGAATGCATGTCGCGCTCTACGAGATGGCTAACGGTATATTTCGCGAAACGATGCGAGAAACGCAATTCGCACCGGCTAACGGCGTAAACACGTGTAATGGAAGCTATAAAAGTTCTCGTTTGTTTTTCTCATTTGCGAGAGAAATTGCGTGCAAACTGCGGTCGAATTATAAATCGAATTTTAAAATCGATTACTTATCTCGCTTCCTACTCTCTTAAACATTAAAAAGATACAATAGTCATTAAACTAAGCTAATCGCTAATCGTATTGGAATAATCTGATAAGCCGTATCGTTAACTTTCGAAGAATATCCGGAAGAACAAATTGTTGCTAAAGATTTACAGTAATTATAAAATGATGTAAGAGAAAGAAAGAAAATAATTTTAATTTTCTTTGCCTACAACAATATCGCATATCACTGAAGACGAATTTGCAGTCGTAATATGATCTATAATATCTAAATAGCCATTTTTTATGCGATCTAAGTAAACAGTATGTGCTGCACAGCGATGGTTTATCGTTCATATAAAATACATTTCTCGAGTGATTAGATATCCCACGGCTAGATCATAGATCTCGTAAAAAAAATGCAGTTACACGCAACGTCGTCGTGATACGCAAATAAATATCTTCTAATCGAGAAACGCGTTTTTAATTAATTTAAAATAAATTTTGTTGTAATTTAAAATAAATTTTCACAAGCGAAATATAGAAATGTTTTGTCTCTTGTTTACATGAATTTAACCTTCGGGTGTTTGTCGTGGATCAACAGTGGAATTATATATCGGAAGATCTCTCTAACAGACACTAAACATAATAACATTTGGCTTTGTTCGATGTTTCTTTGACCTTCTTGCGATCGGTTACTTTGTAAACCCATGTTTAGGAATTCTTTTATAACATTCTTCTTCAACAGAAACGTGAGTCATTATCACTGATTATTTGCTCTTCGTTTTTCAACATTAAATATCTTAATGTTAATGATGATAAACTAATTAAAATCTTGATCAAGCAAATGTGTATTATTTTTTAATAATGAATAAGAATCCACAATTTATGTTTATAATATATTTATAATTATTAGCATCTTTTGATTGAGAGAGAGAGAGAGATTTTCTTTAAAATAAAAGAAATTCGAAGCTTATCAATTTTGAAATACAAAATCGAGCGCATTTCCGAATATACGTAACTCTTAATTGCCCTCATTATTTATTCCTGTAAACACGGTCGAACCATTTTCGAAAGTTTGGCGGTCTGAAAAAAGCGTCTCGATAAAACATCTAGGACGCGACACCTTCTTATCGCATCTCGTTATCAGTACGTTGCAGGTCGGACACACACACAGTGTTGTACTTAGATGATTTAAAATTAGATAAAGATGAGATGAAAATATATTAAATTTAGTAAATTTATCTTAAATAAGATGAGGATGATTTTGTTTTAAATATATCTATAAAAGATAAAATTATATGGCGATTCAAGTTAGATAATTTCCAAATATTATTTTTACGACCGCTTATGTGAACACAATTATAAAAAAATGTAAATTATAAAAGATATATAAAAATATATTCACATTTTTATTTATAATTTTTATCATCTATATAATTTTATTTAGATAACAGCGAATACGGAGGGATCGGGTCTTTTACGCGTCCGCATGCGCGTCCTATCTCGTCTTTTGTCGGCATAACGAGAGGAAGGATCCACGTGGCCGCGGAAAGATCGTCGATTGTCATTCACGTCCCGCTTAGGTGAAAAGACGATACGTCGTCGGTCGTCGTTCTCTCTCGGACTTTCTCTCTATTTGCGTCTCCGTCTGGTCGCGCAATTTTCCGCGCCGTGTATCTGCATATCGCGCGAATCTCCGCGGCGCAATTTTTAATCGTACACTTGTGTTACGTGTATCGCAGTGCCGTGATCTGCATCGACGAAGCAGAAGCCGGAGGAGGCGTCAGGCGAGAATCTGGGTAGGAAAACATTCTTTTTTTTTCCTTTTTATTTTCCTTCTTTCTCTTTTACGTCACTTCCGTAATGCATCGCGAACGTGCTCGATCGTGTGTACAGAATGTCCGAGGACTATCGACACCAGATCTACTCTTGTTAGCTGCGCACGCTGGAATCTCTTTGCTTTAATCATAAAAGCGCATTTGTACGGGAAACACATCGATCCTCTGTGAATTAGAATTTGTTATTCCATTATAAAATAATTGGTTTATTGACGAAAGAGTATTATTTGCTATCTTCTTTTCAGTTTTGTAATTTTTAATATCGGATAATGTTACATTGGTAAGTCTCATTACGGATTCAAAATCGATCTGGAATTACTTATATAGAATTGGATTTTACTATGTTTTTATCCGCAATTTTCAATCCGCTTATATATATAAATTCCGTTTATTATTAATTTTTATTAAAAAAGATCGATCGAATTGATTGTAAATGGAAGCATGTGATAATTTTGACATTTTTGCATTATTCATTATACACGCAAACTATATGAAATCGTGTATGTAATAGGAAATGAATAATTTTCACAGAGCCAAATCTGGCGTATACTGACAATGATGTCATTTTTATAAATCATCAAAATAGAAATCATGTGACAGATACGTTGAGATATTATTTTTGGTCAACCTTTAAAAACACGGACGTATGTATAAATATCTAACTATAAATATCTTCGCGCTATCGCGACAAATGTGAAGCGAAATAAAGGGAATCGAAGGAATTTATTTTTCAACATTCTAAATTTCTAATTTCGAGAAAATTGATTTTAGAGAGAACTATTTATTTTAATTTATTTATAAAAAAATGAAAAGATTTTTATCACATTTTATGCGCTTTTTCTTATCGTGGCACCGAGTTTACGAGAATTTCGAGATTTAGCGAATGATTTCACAAGTTCTTATATAGCACAAGCGATGCAATTTTAGTGGACACGAGCCAAATCGAGATATTCGTATCGTTATAACATGTTGTCAAGAAAGTTCAAATTTTGATATTGTGTTCCTTTTCGATTACAAGATGTTTATATTTTCATGAAACATGCTGTAGCTCTCAAGGCCGGTCGTGACACAAAAGAAATTGTTATCTATCGATCATATGTTTAATTGGAAGCGACCTTGTAAGAAGCTTCCTCGCAAATCTAAATTTTCAAAATTCAAAACATCGACTTTCGATCAATTATTATAAAAGAAGTCACCGATAAAAATTCTTTGCATTAAAATTCTCGATCATAAAAGAAGCAAAATTAAAAAACAGTATGTAAAATAAGCATTCCTGATATAATAATAATTATATAAAAATTATAATTAACTGTATTAATTATATTAATTGTATTAATGTTTTTCAACGCGAAGAGCTAATTTAGAATCTTTTCTCAGAGTAAAAATGCTTCTTTATATTATGGGATTTTACGAAGCACATTGATAATTTTAAAACGAACACTATCTTTTCATATCATAGGAAAGTATCTTGTATTTTTCTCCGTTTATCTGTTTCATCAGATTAATTGATATAGAGAGAATAGAGAGATTCGCAGCAATATCTCTTTGCTCTTCGGGGCTCCTCGAAGGCATAGAGACGATGCTGAGTGAGAGAAAAGAGGCAATCAGGGCGAGATAAGAATACGCAAACGTTTGCGCTTTTCAGGAAAGTGATTCCGTGAACGATGGTGTCCTCAACAATGACGGAAATGGATCCGATAAAAAAATCATGTGACATAATGGGCATCGCACCGGGCAATTATCGCCTCGTCGGCTGGGACATGGACACCACCGGCAAGAAGGTCATCGATGAAATCTGCCAAATAGCCGCGTATACCCCTAGTTCTACTTACTCTCAATACGTGATGCCATACAAGGATCTCAATCCGACTGCCATAAAGCGACACAGTATGAAGGTCGTGACCAACGGCAAATTCCGCGTGCTCAGGAATAGCAAAACCAACGAGGTATGGACCGAGATCGCGATGCTAAATATCGATAGGTATTTTTTTGTAGGAAGAAAAGAAAATTTATATTGACAGGGCAAACCTTTCGAAATGACATTTCAAAAGATGAATCGAAGAATACAAAGGAAATTCTCTTTGAAAAAAAAAAACAGAGATTACATCGATATTCTTATTAAGGATAATTTTGAATAACAAATATATGAGAAAAAATATTTCTAATCTTTTACGAGTACTTGCTTTCAAAAAAATTTCTTTTTAAACAAGTGTCAAAAAATTATACGCTTCGCGGTTATAGTTTATATATATAAATAAATTATTTCTCTTACAGGTAATCAAATCCAAGAGCGAAGTGTCCGCGCTGACGGATTTCTTGAGCTGGCTTGAGACCATCAAAGGAAATGCCGTGGATGGTGTAATTTTGGTTTACCACGAGCCGCGCAAGGTCATCCCGGCGATGCTGCTCGAATCCTTGACGAAGTACGATCTTCTCGAACGGTTCAAACAGACGGTCAAGGGATTCGCGAATGGATTCAACATCGCCGAGGAGAAATGCGCAAGCATGGCGCACATCTATTCCCTTCGTACCTTGTCGCGCACGTTGTTAAAAAAGGTGAGAAAAATGATATATACGTTTCGATCAAATGTCAGAATCTGACAGAAATATAATAAAATTTGTGATTGATTGATTCTGAATGACCAGAGTGATATTTCTTATCGAAAATAAATTGAAAAATATTTTTTGATCCAAATCAGTTCTTCTGATTGAATAAATTATATATTTTCATTGATGAAATATATTTGAATCCATAATATATTAAAATTATTCATAAAATTTTCTAAAATAAAAAATATATTCAATATATTATTTTTATCATAGCTTTAATTTAATATATTATATTTTTTCGTGAATTAACAGCTGACTTAGTGTGTTTATGAAAATATTTCGAAAAATATGTCAGTGATACAGTTTCCAGTATGATAAGTATTTTCAAATATGTTCAAAGGAAATGAATCTGGGCAATGCGCAAGATAGAGCATCGCTGGCGTTGCAAATAGCTCAATACTTGTGCTCGATTGACAACGTTAAGACCGAAGATGCAAACGAGAGCGGGGACAACGATGCAGCTATGCAAAAAGCTATGAAAAAAACGATCGAGATTATTCGAGAATTCGCGCAACCCGTTGACGTCGAGGAGCAAGAACACAACGGTGCGTATTATTAAATGTGCAATTTGATTTTGACCTATTTAAAAAAAAAAATCTTTTATATTTTTCATGTTAAAATAATTGGTTTGTTTATTAAAATATAATTAAATATGTAATCTAATAGAGCGACACAAAATGTATTGTTATTGATTGATGAAAATTGTTTTGTTACGTTTAAAAAAAAACTAATTTTGCTAGAGATAAAATGGACATGATTTTATTCTAAATTTTCACAAAGACTTGATTTATAAAATTGTTAAATCTCATCAAATTTGTAAATCGAAAAATTAAATTCGAGATGGAAGATTAACTCGATGCATAATTTTTTGTAGAATTGAAGATGGTATTCGAACGGCAGAACGACTTGCGGCCGATATTCAGCGCACTGTTCCGCATGAACCGTCGCGAACGTCAACATGCAAGTCCCCTCCGGCGATTGCTTGCCGAGGCTGGAATCGTGTACTCAGAGCTACAGGTGAGTAGTTTGCATGATTAATTGCGTGTTAACAATCGGGGTTCGTTTACATCGAACAACATCAAACAGAAACACATGTAATCCGATCTTTCTAGATTTCTCTTATAAAACTTTAATTAAATATCGAATTATTATCTGGAAATTTCTAAAGAGATTGTACGACGTTTCATCTTTGCGAGAAAGCTTTGCTTTATAATCAAATAAATTGAATTTCTTTATCGAGATGACTGAACCAAACACATACGCGTTTCAGGATGCCTGGACTAACGCGAAGAAAGATGGATTAGAACATCTGATGAAAGAAAAGCTGCCTACAGTAGACGAAAAAAAAATTGAGGATCTGATGATTATTCTCGAACGTCACTTCGACCCGGAGAAGAAGCCGAAAAGCAGCCGAGAAAGAATCCAGGAAAAGAAGGGTATCAAATCGAGGAACGAGAAGAAGATAAACGAAGACAAGGAAAATAACAACAAGAGCGATTCGGGCCACGACAGTCCCGACAGCCCCGACACCACCACGTCCGGTTCCCCCGTCAAAATGAACGGCGACGACGTCGAGATTAAAACGGAGGAGTGCGCTTTAGCGAAGGAGTGCGCTTTAACGCAGGAATGCGCTTTAACGCAAGAATGCGCCTAACGCGTTTAACGATGCCGACTTCTTTTACGCGCCGCGAAGCCATTATGCCTTCATTGCTCGTTATAGTTCGGACGGAGCGTGAACGTGTATTCTTTTTTTTTGTTTTGTTGCCATAATCGTGCAGATGACGAAAAAATTTAAATTGATAAGTCACGCACATGACGAACGTAGATTTAACGCGCCGAAATGAAATGCAACTCGCGATTTTAATCCGACTTACATTGCAGCAAAAAAGTGCACTGTATTTCATAGAACAATTCGCTAAATTTACGTTCCTTTTTATATTGAGAAGAATCGCAAAAGGATGCGTTTTTTTTTCGCAATAATTCTAAGATAAACACATTAATATAAGATTACGATCGCCCCATCGGGCGATGTTGTGCGTGATCAAAGACAAGTGTTATTTGTTACAGTATTGTTTTTCTGTTTTTTTTCTTTTTTTTATTGTTCAGTTATTCCCCGACCGGCGTTATATTATTAAGAAAAGGACAGGTTTCCTACGCGGAACGCCGTCGGACGTAACTCTAATGTACAAATAACACGTTAAACGACGTTTAGTTTATTTACACGCAAAGATATATATATATTTAATATCGTTTACATTTCGTAATTTTATACTCATTTGTTTTCTCTCCTCGTTTTCTCTTATTTCTTTCTCTTTTATTTACCCCACAGAATTTGTACGCTCGCTACATGGCGAGAGCGTCCGTTTATAGACTGCTCCGCATGAAAAGCATAGAAAATATCGCGGGCTTTGTTATCACATAGTTCACGACGTGTACGATAACGTGCACGATATTTTCTACTTTTTACCGTTTAAGCCGCGCGCAAGGCGCGTGTGGTAGTATTAGAGATATATATATATTTTTGTATTGTCGCGCAATAATATATACGCCATTTTGTTTCTGCTGCGAAAGCTCTTTGTATCAGAATTGGATAATAAAAAGATTCGAGTTTATGTAGTTACAACTCTTAATCGTATAATTCCGTATAAATACTTTTTCATATCTTTAATAATTCTACGTGAATATATTTTTAATTAAAAAATTTAATAAATTAATTAAATCCCCGAGTTCTGATTTCAAATTTTAATGTATACAAAAATTATATTTTTATTGTAGAAATTGCAAGTTGCAAATTAAAAGCAACTCATTTTCGACATTAAATATAGAATATATGTAACAGTGAAAAGGAAACATTAATTTCTACTTTTTTTCAAGCTATCAAGATCGTAACACACATTTTAAAATATAGATTTGATGATAAAGAATTAGCATTAAAAATGGAGAATGCGGCACAATTAATCTTCGCTGATCAAAAATAGATTTTGAGTTCGTCGGAGGACTTACTTGGCGAAAGATACGTAATAGTTCTTTGCTACCTGCATAATACCGGACGTGATTTATTTCCTCGCGGGATATATGCGGCATTTATTAATTGAGACAAGCGCGCGCTGCGGTGCGTGAATTGCGAGAGAGGACCTCGCTCTTATATATATAAACATGGTTCAGTAAAGTTCTTAATAAGCAAAAAAGCCGCCCGGTTAAAACGGAACTTAGTCGCGGGTAAAATAAAAGAAAAAAGCGGAATTTTCCGCTTTTACCCCTATAGTGGCGGATACTACCCCTTCTCTGCCCCGAGAGAAAACGGAAACGAATTAAATACGCGAGCGAACCGTTGTTCAACACATTTGCCGCGGCGCATTTTCATGCCTTGTGCCAAAACGCCCCGAGGCGTGAACGGTGCGGGAAATGGTGCATTTTACGAGAGGGAGATAATAAAAAAAAATCTTTCTTCCTCAGTAAACTGCGGCGCAACGCGCGCGCGCGATTCTTCCACGAATTCTTTTTTGAACAGGTGCGAAGGATACACTCGGCTAAGGAAATTGAGTTCTTCTTACAGGCAACGGTTAGATGAAGATACCGTCATGTTACTTCGCGTATGCGACTTTTTTCCGATAGAATAGCTGTCCGTTTAGCAGTACAGATGTTTCATGCATGGGCTGTTTCAGAAACCAGAAGTTCATTTCACTATCCTATAATATGTCAATCGAAAGCATGTACCGGTACTTTGAGACTCCCTTTAAAAAAAAAATTCTACACCGACAATAAAAAGATTGATTAATTATAATTATAAAAATTCAGAGAGATTTTTTCATATAGCTGTTAAAAAATTAATTTTAAAAAATTACATTTTTAAAATTTAAATTAAATTTAATTTGTAATTTTATAAAAAAATAAAAATTTGTAATTATATCTTTTCAGCGTATAATATTCTATAAAGGAATATATATTTATACCATAAGTGCAAAATATTTTTTATTAAAAACGTGAGTTTTCTAAAAAGAAATAATGTATGTTTCTCCATTTGGAGAGAAAATAGGTCATCCGAATAAGAGGTGAAAAAGAAGAGAAGCACTTACATATTTCATATTATGCAAATGGTTCTCTACTGAAAAATTAATATTGTCAGTATGGCATTCAACCATAACGTTTAAAGCATTTTTCGCAAACGAAAAATCGATGAGATATTTAATAAAAAAATTTAATTACGGCTGTTTTTCTTTTGCGATATCTTATATTTTCACAGAAAAGCGAGTCCCGGTAAGTATGGTTTCCATGCTCGTATTAATCCTGTTGCCAGGATTCCATATCATCCCCTTGACGGAAGTTTTTGAAATCAGTCGCGAAATCTGACGAAGCATGAAATGCTAACTTTTATCAATACTCTTCGATAATTGAACGAATCCGTTGTAATATATAATAATAATATAATGATACGACATTGGCCGGAACATTTCCGGGAACTGGAAATTAAGTGCAACGCTTCGGAATTTACAAAAAGAATACCGTATTATAGCAATATATATAGCAGTTCTGCATAAATCATACGTTATACATCGACACAAACTGTAAAAAAGTCTATCGATATCTTTGACATATATTTTTTTAAAGCATACGCGGAGAGAATTTTCTCTTAGAATTTACCCTGAAAATCATGGTAATCGTGGAACAATATATATATATATATATATATATATATATATATATATATATATATATGATATTGGAAGAATTTTATAAGAACTTCTCTGATTAGTATTTACCACAATCAAAATATTAATATGTGAAGAGTAAATTTTACTATGTACATAGTAAAATTAATCGAACATATTTTATATCTTATTGTGGTAAATATTAATATTTTTTATTGTGGTAAATATTAATCAGAGAGAAACTTATAACATTCTTCCAATACGATTACCGTGATTTTCGGAGTAAATTATAAAAGAAAATTCTCTTTGTGTATATATCGGTTAATTTCATCTTTTTTTATTAAGTAAGCAAAAATATTTTTACATCTAAAATATCTTTTTTAGAAATTTTTGTACAGAACAGATAATGGAGTATTTTGTAGCTGTTTTACGAACTTCTAATTTAAATCATGTGAGAAATTTTCTCTCTGGAAAGTTAAAAAAGTTGGTAAATTAATGTTAAATTAAAATCTCATTCAACTACATAATTCATAATGGCGCTCTTATGCCTTTAATACTTCTCGATCCATTAACTAGCATATTAAATGAAAATAAGTGACACTTCCGACGAACAAAGTCGCGGACGCGAATTTCGTTATTATATACGATCACGTAATTTTCTATTCGCTATTGCTCCGACCAAAGCGATTATCGGCATAAATGTTAATATTAATTGGAGGATTTCAAAATTAACGCAACGATATTGATAATTGAACGAGGATTTCGCAGATACACCACGAATTACCGAAAACCTGCAATTAACACATGTTACACGCCGAAACGAATCATTATCAATGCGAAATGTCTACGTGCAATCTCGCGTTATCTTAATTAACGATGATACTGATAACGAAATTATTAGTGCGTGAAAAGAAATTAAAAAAAAAAAAAAGATGCGTGGTTTTTTCCGCCGCGGAACACGAGCACAGTCTAAATTGATAAGTCATTAGCATACTATATACCATATTTTTATTACGCTCGTTTGCTATGCGTCATTATTGCGCAATGCTTACGATCCGCCTTCCTTCATAATTTTACACGCGCTCGTGTGCAATTGTGCAGTCTAGGATGCAAATTTCCTTTAGAGAACATTAAATATCGCGCGCTCGCAATTATACACATATGTACTGAATGATGTCTTCGATGAACGCCTAATTGACTTGTACAACCAAACACACATACGCGCGTTTCGTTTTTTACATTTATAAAAATATAGTTCGCGTTGGAAGTAAACGAACCGCACGCACAACGGCATAATACTCTTCCGTTACTACATTAATTTAACAATAGAGAAAAAAAATTGTAGCTGAAAGAACATAAATAAAAAGACAAAATAAATAAAAAAAATTGATTTATTAATAATTTGAAAAGAACAATTTAATAATAAAAATAATTAAATATAATAAATTAATAAATAATATAAAATTTTGCTTATATCAGTTTAAATTTCGTTTTGAGACGATAATCGAGTGCTTCCGTAGCTGAAAGAACATAAATAAAAAGATGGCATAAATGAAAAGAAATTGTTTTATTAATAATTTGATAATAACAATTTAATAAAAATAATAATAATGAAAAATAAATAATGTGTAAAATGTTGATTGTATTAATTTAAATCTCGTTTGGGGCGATAATCGAGTGCTTCCGGAAGTAAATGGAAGAATGTAATAAACGTCGAAAAATGCTCAGAAACAAAACACACGGGTCGATACGCTGTCGATACCTCGATAATGACCCTACGGGCTCGCTCCGTTCGCGTGCGGATGCGATATCGAACGATCGCCCTTCGTACCTGTTTAATTCCTTTTCGCAAACGGCCGAGCGTGGCGAACAAAATAGCTCACGGCTTCTCGGTATATCGCGATCGGCCGCTGTAACAAGCGGCGCCGCGAAGGAAATTGCCGCGTCCGAGGGCTACCTTAATTGACAATAATGCGCGCGCGCATCCGAAGCTATCGGGATAATTAATGACACGCTGGCTAACCGATACGCCGCGGCCGCTTTCGTTACCTCGCGCCAACAATGCATCCCGCTCGCGATGAAAGAGCGAGAGAGGGATGAGATGGAACAATTATGATCCCCGCAATGCGGCCTCCACCGCAAATAGGCTGATGATCTCATTGCGCATCTCTTTGTGTGTGCGAACGGATCGAAAAGGAATCGGGACGCTTGCAGCTTCTTGATAAGGAAGACTAAAACTGTTCGGTTATTATCTTGTGATTTTTTTCGCGTTTATCGTTTCAATCCAGTATTTTATCGAGCTACTTTGTTTACGGAATATTATCCGCATTTTCAAAGTTTTATAATAAATAAACCGAGGTGATAAAATGAAATATAAACGCTTTTTTAGTCGTATACTGACAAAAAACAAAATAGACTGGCGTGAATTTTTAAAATTTACAATAACACCTCAAAAAGCTTCGGAAAAGAGAGCATCTATAGACATACACTGATTGTAGATAATAATATACAAAAATGAGTTAATTCGAGTAGTTGTTTTTATTTTAAATTAAATGCAGAATTTCATGTTATCAATTTACATAATAACCCATTATAACCTGCTTTTTTAATGTTGTGAGTTGATTGATGTAACACTGAATATTAATGAACTAAATGTAATATAAATTCTCAAATATATATATAATATATATAAACTTTCCTGAAATTCATTCCATGAATTTCTAAATATCTTGCAATATAAAGATTTGGATATTTTAAAAGTTGTAATATTTTAATTAAAAACATGGCAGATTTTTTCCTTATATCCCTACATAAGTTTTAAATTATTATAATTAAATACAAGCATAAGAATATTATATAACATTTCTCTTAAAAAAGACTTTATAATTGTATTTTATGTAAATCAAAATCAAAATTGAGTTCATTAAATTCATTTCATGTATAATTTATTATTATGTGCACAAACTAAATAGATTAAGAGAAGCTTCTTCAAGAGATGAAAATTGGATTGAAAATCGCTAGAACTTGAGCTCAATTTGTAGAATTTATAATTAATATCTCTGTTATTTGTCTATTATTTTTCAGTAATTACAAGAAAGAGAATGAATTGTTTACTTATACGAATAAACAAGTGCAGCACAGAATGCAGAAAGTAGAGTGGTCAATAAACGTATTTATTTACGCGGTAAACTGAGATATTGAGGGCGATCGTTGTCTGCACACATAATCGCAACCACTTGCAATGATTAATCCAATAGTTCATAGGCACATACTAGACTGTCAATATTGATTTTGCGCATATTTTTTTAATAATAAAATTAATGAAATAATTCATCGAACAAAAAGATGTAAACAATTTATTTTTATTTAAATATATTAAAATATTTACTATATTAAATCTAGTAAAATATTATTAAAGTTATTGCTGCACGTGTGCTATTATTTCGTTACGGTTATATATTATTTAATAAATTGCAATTAAAAAATCTTAAATTAGTAAAAAAAATCTCAGAATATGAAAATTTAGTGCACAATGTTAATATTAGAGAAATTTAAAAAATTAATAACGAATTAATTCTCACAATTTGTAAAGACAGTGAAATAACGTATATTTAAAGTAAATTTTTATTTTTCAGAGAAATAATAAAACTGATAGACATTGAAATTGTAATTGACAGTTATTGAAAAAGCCAAACTATCAAAATAAAAGTAACAATAAACTTCGAGACTTTCAAAAGAATTTTTAGATATTCAAATATCGATTTGACATGTCTTTTTAAAGAATGGATAAAGATTAATTAAAACGAGAGCACATACGCGTGTATGTTTTTGTAATTGAATATTGTTTCTATGTTATTGTAATATAAACACATGTTAAAATATATGTCACAGCTATAATATAATATGCTCGAAAATGTAAAAGCCATTAATAAATTATTTTTCTGCATACTCTTAATAAATATGTTGCATCTCTCTTATACAGGGTAGGCCATTTTAATCTTTCCACTAAAATTTCTCAAAATCCAAAAATTTAAGACAAAAATGTTTCAGATAAAAGTTGTATGGTTTCAAGGGGGACATGAGATGGTGTCATTGATTTGACCTTGAATAGCCATTTGAAGGTTACGTGAAGGTCAACTTCAATTTCTTAAATGGAACACTATATTTTTTCTTGCATACTTTTGTAGCTGACTTCGAGATCTTTCCAAAACACTACAATAAAATATTTTTTCATGAAGTATTTTTCGAGTTATTAAGGCTGCAAATTTGCAGTATTTTGACATAAAATACAAAATATCTTGGGAAATATTCATTTTTCGATTATCATACCTTAATACTTTTATGCACAGAATAATGAGACGAATCAATTGGTGTAAAGAAAACACATAGTTGTCTTAAAGAAAAATTATCTAACTGCTTATTGCAATTTTCATATTTTTTTTTAAAGGTAACTATGTGTTTTCTTTACATCAACTGATTTATCTCATTATTCTGTGCATAAAAGTATTAAGGTATGATAATCGAAAAATGAATATTTCCCAAGATATTTTGTATTTTATGTCAAAATACTGCAAATTTGCAGCCTTAATAACTCGAAAAATACTTCATGAAAAAATATTTTATTGTAGTGTTTTGGAAAGATCTCGAAGTCAGCTACAAAAGTATGCAAGAAAAAATATAGTGTTCCATTTAAGAAATTGAAGTTGACCTTCACGTAACCTTCAAATGGCTATTCAAGGTCAAATCAATGACACCATCTCATGTCCCCCTTGGAACCATACAACTTTTATCTGAAACATTTTTGTCTTAAATTTTTGGATTTTGAGAAATTTTAGTGGAAAAATTAAAATGGCCTACCCTGTATATCACAAATTTGAAACCATTTGCAAAATAGTCAATTATATATGCGTAATATTTATATGTAACATAGCTTTTATAAAACCAACTGACAATGAGATCTGGCTAGTTTGCAATTAGAAAATACATCGCTCGGATGAAAGCAAAAATTGAAATGCAAATTTTCACGAAAATCTATATACTTTTGACACGGTATGAATATTTCTATATTAATTTACATATTGTATTTCTGTATTTTTTGATTCTCCACTTTCTATGTGTAAAAAAAGTATTATCATTGACAGATTATATTTAATCAAAAAGGAATAAATTAATTAACTTTCGAGAAGTTTAATTGATGGATTATCGCTTTTGCATTTGCGGTTTTAATCGTTCGACAGCACCGTATTAGGTAGATCCATCACGCTGAACCATCACGCATTCGCCCTTGTCGAATTCGCGGCGGCGAACGATGAGTCTTACCGCAAACTGCAGCGAGAAAAAGTGCATAGATGCAACGGCGCGGCAGCGAGGTCAGCGGCACGCGAGCAAGGTAGTTTTTGCGACGCCTCAACGTCTTTTCCGCGGTAGTTTCGCGTTCGCGGAATTTCGCGCGCCTCATTCCGCTTCCCTTCTCCTTCCTAGCCGTCGACTTCCGATCGCGTTCGCTCGCCTCACGAGCAAGTTCACGATTAACGACTAACGTAATTATTAGCGCCTCGCCGGCTGTTACGTCGACGTCGATGTAACAGCGCGTGCAACGCGCCTTCTCATAGCGTCACGGACCATAACGAACGTCGGCGTATCTCGCGAACGATGAAGACGAGGATGTTGTAAGACACGACGACTGTGGCGATAATAAGCCTTCTTCGACTGTTACTGATGTATTTTCAAATTAATATATCACATCGCTTGCACGTGGAAAATGAATCCAGAAGAAAAAGCCTCACAAAAGAGTCTCTGAAAATATTTACCTTGTTACAAAATAAATTATTTGCGAATATTTTTGCAAGCAGGCCTCGCATTTCTATTATTTATTAGCCTCTTTTTTAAATCGTTTATTTAATTTACACGGAGAAAATTTTCTCGTAGAATTTACCCTGAAAAGCATGGTAATGGTATTGGAAGAATTTTGTAAGAGATTCTCTGATTAATATTTACCACAATAAAAATATTAATATGTATATAATATGTAAAATTAATCGAATATATTTTATATCTTATTGTGATAGATATTAATATTTTTTATTGTAGTTAAAATAATAATATTGTCATTGTGTATAACAATACCATATTGTCCCACAATTACTATGATTTTAAGAGTAAATTCTAAGAGAAAATTCTCTCTGTATATCTATATATAAATTAAATAAACGATTTAAAAAAAAAGGCTAATAAATAATAGAAAAATTCGAGGCATCCTTGTAAAAATATTTTCAAATAATTTATTTATTTCTTTTGTAACTAGTTTAAAATTTTTAGAGACTCTTGTGAAGAGCTTAAGTGGTTTTCTTTTAAATCCATAAAATTAATAAGTTTCATTATATGAATAATCCTTTTTATATGTGTATAAGTGATGCATAATATTTTTAATATGTAACGAATATAAAGAATTTATTTTGACAAACAATTTATTCATTCATATTTTGGTCATTTGTTTTATAGTAACTTCTTTATTAATTATTTTTTTATTCACTCGCTCAAGAGATTCAAACGACGGGGCAGACATGCACAGCGAAAAATAACGGAAGAGCAATTTCTTCGTTCTCGTATGAAGGAACGTGGACTGCTATACTATTACCATTACTACTATACATGTTTGGAGACTGTGTGATACCGCATCGTGTGCTCTATCAGTCACTCAGTCAATGACAAGTACAGTAAAGTCCGTGCGAATGTTCGACGCCGGGACCGTCATTCTCACTTTTTACGGGGGCACATGACGCCGATAAGCACTTAATCCACTATTCTATGTAGCAATATATCACACCTGGGGAAGAGTGTCACAACACAAAAAGACATTTTTTACAAAATAACGAGTTGCACAGTTTAATTATAAAAATACTGTTAAGAGATACAATTTTATTCCGTGCTATCATTGATGCAAATTTAAAAAAAAATAAGGATGTTTCTTCAATGTTTCTCTAATTCAATATTCTATGATTGATGATAGACATTGATCTAGAACACGCGAAAAAGTCAGTAACCGGTTAAATAATTCGCCTATTATGCGTATCAGAATTGCATGATATTTTGCGACTCGCTGGTTTCGCTGATTTTTTCAGACCGAAATGCATTCTCAAGCAGAAAGAATAAAATGATTAAATTTTCTTCTGTGATTATAGGTCAATCTGATAATTTTCCACCGGTAAAAAGACTTCGTAGTGCATTATTATCATAGCCAATGTATTTTATGTAAAAGTTAAAAAATGCCTTATTAAATGAAATATATTTTTCCATTAAAGATACGCGTTGTTTTCTCATCTGTATAATAAAAAAATAATTTCTTTTCAATCATCTTTAAATCATTATTAATATTTTATTGTTAGTATTTTAATCAAGGGAAAAAAATTAGTCACCATAGCTAAAAAGCTGTTCTTATATTACAATTTGAAATTTAATTATTATGCCTAAATTTTAGCTATGGTAGCTAATATTTTTAGCTACAGTTTAACGGAGAATCTATAGCTAAAAAATATTAGCTATCATAGCTATAAGGCATAATAATTTTCATGTGTAATATATAGAGAAAATTTAGCTTGGTAGCTAATTTTTTTCTGCGTTGTAACTAAGATACTAAGAATATCACCATTGCAGTTTTTTGCAGCAGAAGTATGAAAATTTAAAGATTAAATAATTTCAATACAGTTTCATAATTTGAATAAAATGGAATATTTAGCGAAAGATCGCTTCCGTTCCTTCGACGAACAAAAAATTCACACTATAACATCCGCGGACCAAAATCCCTGAATAAGTAATGAATATACAAGAACTGGGGCAAGTTCTTCAGAAAAGAGGAAGAACATTGAAGATTGGTCAAGCATGGCAAGACAATCTCACTTAGACGCAAGATCGTCAAATCGGATTAGGATGATGTTTCTTGTATGCGAGAAGAGGCACCTGAGACACAAGAGCCGACGAAAACACCTCGGAAACTGGGACATCTGGTCACCTTCGGGTCGAAGCCGAGAGGAAGCCTCGGAGCTCGCGCGACGTTCGAGGCCGTCGTTGGAGGAACGCGCGATGAGCGGCACAAAGCGAGGATGGTTGTTAGTTGAGGCACCGAGCATGCATTTAACAGTACTCCGGACGGGCCGGTGCGGTGGTTCGCTGGTTCCTTGGATCTCCGTGGGGCCCCTTCTCGCCGGGAGGATGAGCTGTGCCCGGCTGGACACCCGGGGGAAAGGAATCCTTCGCGTGCCCCAACCTGATGCACGCGCCTCAGTCCGTCGGGGGCCTTCGTCAAAATTGCATCCCTCTCTGGCCACCTCTCTGGCGGTTAGTTCTCCAGTTCGGAAGAAGTGCCTCGAGTGTCCTCGGTAAACGCTTTATACGAGTTAACGAGAGGAGAGTGAGAAAGAGAAACAGAGAGCCTAACGAGATCATGTGGTGGGTCCTGATCGCGGGATTTTGCACGGTGAGTCTGGTCCCAGGGGTTGGATTACAACGTTGAAACGAATGGAGCCTCATCTGAAGAATAGATGAGAGATAAATGATATTTCTTGAAAGCTCCTTCTGTCTGTCCCGGCGAGTCCTATCAAAAGGGATTTAATACTTCTGTCATTATGTTTAATACATTAAACTTATTAATTTTTATTTAAAATCCATATCAATTTGGTTAATGTACTTTGAAAGTACATTGATACTTTAATACTCGCATCAGCGATATTAAAGAGCTTTGCAAGCTCTTCTTTTGAAATAATAATAAGTTATTCGTTACTTGATTTGCACTGCTACTGTCTTTGCATAAATCTATGCATCTAAATGAGACAAAGGAAGGAAGAACTCGGAGCAAATCCTCTTTTTTAAGGAATTTGAGAAAGTTAATTTAAATATGATATTTTCTCCGAGTTGTAATGGAATTCTTCGCAAATCATCTGATTTCAATTTTACCAATCAGATTCTAATGAATTCTTCAATTAACTTTTTGCGGAACGAAAACGTGAAATCTTGACTTTAGATTCACTGGAGCAAAAATGTTTGCTCTCCTCGCGCTTTTGCCATTTAGCGTTTGCATGTTCCACAATCTTTATCAACGTGAAGGACAGATTTCGGACAATTCTTGCGGATAAATCAGTTCGATCGTGAATGATGGACGACCGCTAGATTTCCATGTCATCCATTCCTGGTGACTTATGTTTGTCGTACGGCGCCAGGAGTTTGTTTGACACTGTGTGGTGACAGTTTGTCATGTGATTGTTATGCCTATACATATACATACGTGTATTTAGATATCGTATTTATCAAAAACCATCCATCTTCTATTGATCTTTCCGTTCACAATTGCAACACTATCTTTTAACGTGAAAAAATAACGTTGAAAAAATACTATCTAAAAATCTACGATTATAGGATAAATATATTGCGCGGCAAAAATGCAAAAAAAAAAACATTATATAGGTTGAGAATCTAAATAGAGTGTTTCGCGCGTTTAACAAATTTTTGAATCGAATTGATTTATCCGAAGCGAATAAGAATCGTAACTTCGATCGATAAAATAAACCTAACATCATCGAAGTAATTAGTAAAGTAAGACTTCGATATTGATTCAGTTTTATCTTTCGGCCCTCGTATTAATCTTAGGCATTGAATTATGCATCATTTAACGACTTATCTTTCGTATTTATTCCCCTCCGTCGAAATTCATCGTGGTTTGTTCACCTTGTGACACAATTTCGAAATATCTGTCAATAATGATAATGTCAATTAATTTCCGTTAGCGAAAGAAGCTACTACCCGCAGATATGAGACTGCGATAAAGAAGAGGTGATCGATTTTTATTTTAACTGGAACGCGCGCAGGACAATCCTCCCTTTCGTTCACTCGCGATGCTTCTTTTGCAAAAAAAAAAAAAAAAAAAAAAAACTCGGGCATTCGATGTATTTTTATATTACGCCATTAAATCACGCCGTACGTCAAGAATAATTCCTCGTCGAAGCGTTTTTCATATTTGATTCATTTTAATTTTCCAGACCGTCAGAAAGAATCGTCGACGCGCAAAATAGACGATACAACCGAGGATAATTTAAAATGCATCCCATTAATACACATGACATTCGAAGTGATGAAATACGATAACGGGCAATTTAAAGCGAGTTGCACGACCCGCCACTGATACGCTTGAAATATTAATGGCTTCCCCAAATGACGAAATAATTGTATTGTGTCGGACATCTCATCCCCGTGGTATTGGGTGTGCGACGACTAATTTTGCCATGAAACACGATATGTCGGAATACTTTAACACAGCTGTGCACGTGAAAGTATCGAAGGGCGGGGATCGTGTACAGGGTAATAGCGTCATAATTCCTTTATGCGAACGGTTTACATATGTATGCCTTGATTATTTTTTCCCCCTCTCTTTTCCAGTACACTTGCATTATTGCGTAACATAATGTGATAGCAGATATGACGAGAAAGATTTTAAATATAACAGCTAGCTTTGAAATATATATATCGCACAAACAATATTTATTCTTGTGTTATCGATCGCCAAGCATTCGCGCTTGTTACCGAAAACAATTTCCCGTCACCAAGTTTAATTAAAATTTAATTAAAATACGTTTGATTTAAAGTTTAAATTAGAAATTATAATTAATCCGAATGTATATATATGGTAGATGATCAAAAGTCTAATTATGCATATAATATATTATAATTTGATCGAATTTTTGCAGTGCAAAGATCCCGAAATAACGTTCAAGTGACGAGTAAATACTTGATGAAGAAGTAAAAATATGATCTCGAAAATATTTTAGATTTCTGAATATTTTTATTTTCTTCACAGTATAAAAAATATGGAAAACTGTCTTTATATGTTTGTACGATTCATAAATCTACTCCTTATTAGGACCAAAATGTCTTAATGAATTCTATTTATCATGATATTTTATTATAAGAAAAGAAGATTTCTGTAAAACTGATACACACATTTTGCGGCAATCCTTGAATTAGTATTGAAATAACGTACTTTTAAAAATAATTGCTAAAAGATATATCAAAGTTATAATTATACTATGTATATTGTATTATTTTTAACTGGTTTTATTTAATTGCAAAAAAATATTGATATTTAGCTTCAATTAAAATAGGACATGACAAAATTAAAAGGATTTAAAACAAAAGCTATATATGAATAGATCTGTACTTTTTGACAGAGTTATAACACACTTAATTTAATAAAATTTCATATTTGTTATTAAGTTAATTTACATATAAATTTGCAATTTTATAAAAATTGCATTTTTTGTCATTAATAATAAATTGATTTAAATTCTTATTAGATAAAACCAAATAGATTAAAAAACTTGATGACAGCTTAGAGAAAAGTAACAAATTAATTTATGTCATCTCTAATGTTTGCAAATTAAATTTTATTCATATTATTTGACTACTAAATTTTAAAAATGTGTCACACACAATTTTATTATAATTTTATTATTTTAATTAAATACAGTTATTTCTTATCAACCGTATCTCGTTTCTATATATAGACATTTTTCGACACGGAGATACATTTCAGCGTTGTGTGTCGCATATTACATCCAAATTAAACATGCTTTTACCTCGCTAAAAATTTCAAGCCATTCCGGTCGTATATTCAACGAATAGGATATATGTCTCGCACGTCGAAAAATTTAACTGTACCGAATTGTAACCAGTGATGAGAAGGACGCCAATGTCGCGGATGAACGACACTAAAATGGCATTAAAAAAAACGGGTTTTATGAAGTCATAAAGAAGAGGTTTGCGGTTCTTCTCGAATGAGACCGAAAAAAGGCCAGGGACTACCTGGCGGTCAATCGCGGTCGTTTCGTCTCGCGTGGCGGATTTCGAGCTGTCTGTCTTTTCCCGTTACATTTACTCGGTTCTTAATAAAAAAAACGAAATCCTTCTCGCTAGATACGAACCTAAGCACGGTTCATTAATTGACGTTTCGGTATCTTTTCGCGATCTTATTAGATTACGCGATTTATTCCACAAATCGCGATCTTAATTCTAACGATGGAGTTTTTGTGGCAATCTTGATTCGAGTAGCTAACAAAGTTATCACAAAGCATTATTATAATATATTAAAGTATTCTTTCTCATACCAATTTCTTCAATCATTTATATACTTGCACTTAATTACTTATTCTATAATAAGTTCATTAAAATCTTTTGCAAACACTTTTAATTTATATATTTTTTAAATTTTCTTATCCGACAGTTTTTGTGCAATGAGGAGAAGTTGTTTAAATATGTACCTAAATTATTTGTCTTATCTTGTTTTATATACACAATATACCTATATAATCATATAGCTTCAAGATATCTTTTTATAGCAATTATTTTTTTAATGTACATTAAATCAATACTACTATATATATACATATATATTTATATATGATAATATCGAGAAAATAATCCACGATAGCGTTAATATAAATTAACGAGAAGTTTGCGTTTTATAATTGATAAATCTCTCAGCTCTCTCAATTTAATGGAGTCAGATGTGCTCTTCCTCCATCATTTATGCGAATTTTTCGAACCATAATGTCGACACGCGTAATCACTTGATAGAGGTTCAATTCACCGTCAACTCGGAACGAAGTTCATCGAGAAAACAGCAACCTCGTTGAAAGTTGCTCGATGAAAGCTGTAATGCACGCACAATCGGATGTTCGACTGCTAAATACTTCGATTCGCTTGTCAAAGATGCCATTAAGAATATTGACTGTACCTGCATTGCAAATAGTTTCTGAATAGTCGTCGCCGATATTAATGGTCGAAAATCGCCCATCGCGCTTCCTTGAATATCCTACTCGCCTTCCCGTCATCAATTTAATAAATTTCGCAAATGAATTTACGAGATGTTCATGATAATAAATTTGCCGTTATTTATTCTCTTATTTATACAGATTGCGATAAGGAATGAAAGGCAGCAGAGCAAAGTACAAAGAATTTTAAATAGACTTTGTTGCTCTATTTCACTCAAGTTAAAGCTAAATTTATGAATCTTTAGACTTTAAAGTCAATTTTTAATAAAAAAAAAATCACATCTTTAAAGAAATTCTCTTATCTTAAAAAATAATAAAGCTTAATTTAAACAGTGTTTGCTAAAAGAGTTTTTTTACCAGCACTTTCTCAGAATAACTATTGAATTCCATTAAAAAATAATACGAAAATTAAAATTCTCTAATTCTCAAAGTTAAAACTAAGCTGTAAAGCAAAAATTAATCACTTTGATTCCCTTTCCAGCTGTGTTTCTACGTATATCTCTCTTTACGGCAGATTTTTCTACCATTTCAAAGAAAAAGATTGCACATCGCTCAGTGCCGTTTCCAACTGCTTACATAATTCGCACGTTACATCTCACGACTTTGATGAATTTTGTATCAGATGCGTTTTTCGATTTTACATGAATATCGCCTCAAACGGAATAATCATCGCGAGTTTTACGAAAACGCGAGCGCGAAAACGTAAACGCAAAGCGGCGCAAATTTGTCTCTTTAATTCTTGACATCCTATTGAGAAGTATCTATCTATGAATTATTATTTATTTCTTTATTTCTGATTCTAAATAGATGTAAAAAAAATTTTTAGTGGCTTTGAATGCAAACAAAAGAGCATGAATTTATTAATTAAAATGATCAAATTTCAGATGTTTGAAATGAAGATTTTGATAATATCTTGTGTACTTATAGAAAAGAAAATAAAAATAATAAAAAACGTAATCAACGCGCGAACTGATTTATTATGATGAATATGTATTGTATATTGCAAAATTTTTAAAATATTGAAAGTAATTAAAAATTATTGCCAATAAAGAAATGTCACTAAATTAATAATTAATTTTAATAAGTTTTTTACTTTAAAATATAAGTGCGCTTATACATAACTCGAGACATTTGAAAAATATAATTTTTAATTATTATGTAAAAATAATTTTAATATAAAGGAAGAATTTTATCCCATTATGTCTAGCTTTTCAAACATGAAATTGCATTGAGATTAGCTAGACTGCTTTTCGTAAGTTTGCAATCTTCGTTCTAAAATAACGTCTCATATTGCAGCCTTTAGTTTCTGACTTCACATAATCGACAAAGACGGTAACTGTTTATAATACTTTTTTCATATAAGCGAAATATATGCAATGAACGATAGCTTGAAATTACACAAAAAGCATAAATTGCACACCGAAAAATAATTAGTCATCATATAGATAAATTTTAGCTGTCCATATATTATAATCTGAAATTTAATTTCGTGCCCAAATTTTATGGTAACTAATATTTTTAGCCATAATTTAACGGAGAAAGTTATAGCTAAAAAATATTAGCTGTCGTAGCTAAAATTTAGACATGATAACTAAATTTTATGTGTAATATAGAGACAGTTAAAATTTAGTTTTTTTTCCGTGGAATAAAAATAAAAAATTAAAATTCTATTAAAAGTTATGTTACAAAACAATTTCTTCAATATTTTTGATTAAATATCAAATAGAATTTATATTCTATGATATATGCTATGATATTATTATCATAGCATTTATTATATATTTGAATATAGATCTATGTCCAACAATATCCAAAATATGTATACAAAAGGATGAAGATAAATGATGATTATTAGATGGAATTTATGAATCTCCTATTGTGAGCCTAGAGATCTAAGATTCTCGATCAAGAGATTTATGAATCTGCGGTTTCAACAATCTGTAGCCACAAAGATACTAACGACTCGTGGATTTAGCGATCTGTAAAGCAATTCGCACATCTATAGACCTACAAATCTCTAAATCTAGCGGTGCACGAACCTAGCGATCTATGGCTCGAGTCATCTACGTGTCTACGAATTTAACGATCTGTCCTAGCTGTCTACGCAACCATGAATTTATGAATTTGAATTTATGACGTTCTATATGAACTAGCGGCATAAATCTGTCTAATATTAAATTTAAAATATTTATCAAATTTCGCGATTATATATTACTTAATATAATCCAAGATAATCTGAAATTATGATCCAAATAAAATAATTCCTTAAGTGTTCATTTTAGGTTCATTAAAATGTCAAAACGTCATTTTTTTCAAAGTATATATATAAATATATATCTTTATCGCAACAATTTGTCGCAATCTCACCGGCAATATTTTCATTGCATCTGCGTCAAAAAAATTGATCTCGACGAACACGCCTGTGCAAATGCCTAGCAAATACGGATGCGCTTATCGATCGATCTGATATCCTACTGTACGGTATGATTACAAGCTACGAGCTCGAAAAATACGGCTTACCATGACCCCTACGATGAGCACGAGCAGTGCAACAGGAGCTCGCGCAATATATAACGTGTATGGTGCACATAACGAATATCTTACGCGACCATCAGAGCGTTTCCTTACACCGTTACCCGTATCGAAGTGGGTTCTCGGTTCTGGTCGCGCGCTGGTCACCCTGTTCTTTACCAATGGTAACGTAATGGCTCTGTAAACGTCGTCGACACCGAGGTCGTCCGCAAGTCACCGAGCAACTTCTTTTCAAGTGATAATTAACGCGATGTGTTCGCGCTTAAAGATAATTATCTCGAATATAATAACGTAAATTAATTAAAAGCTTAATCGTTTTTTATAACGCAACGTATAAAACAATTCGCGAAGAAAGTCTCGGAAATATATAATAGCATTCTATTTTATTAAGATGCTCTGCAAAGAAGCATACACGAAAAGCTCTTGCAATATAATACGATGCACCGATTGGAGAATATTTATATTATTTTTAGCAAGTTTACAAGAAGCTCTTATATAAATGCAATGTCGTAATGTCTCACTAATAAAGTCATTAGTTATTTGCTATATGTAAATTGTTACCATTTTTTAATAAATTAGCAAATTATTCCGCATTTCAATTTTCATAATTAAATAAAATATTTTTCAATGATTAAAGTTTGCTATTAATATTCTATTTAACTCTATTTCACAACTATTTAAAGTTGAATAAATTTTTTTTTTAAATATAAGTCACACACAAAGATTTTTATTTTTAATAATTTATAACTGTGAAACACAATTGAGAGTTCGTCAATTAAATAAAAATGATTTCCTTATAAATTTTAATAAACAATTTGCTCGTAACACATGTTACAAATTATAGTTTCGAATTATCCTACACTCAACCTCAAATTGACACTGCCTGAAAAAATTTAAATCGGCAAAGTGTTTATTCAATTTTGGCAAACTAGGACGATGCAGTTCTTTTAAGTAGAAAGTAAATCCGGTTAAAATTGAAAATAATGCACTACCCGCTATAGTACCGTGCAAATGCAATTGAACGGCAGTAAATTACCGTGAAAAAATATGTTGGCTGCATAACAGTTATAGAATAATACGGTTGTTAGATTTCAGCCGCTATTTATGCGAGTTTACTGTGTAATGTACAAGTCTATTTACGATTCTCGAATATGGTGCGCGAATAAAATTATATGCTTATCATATAATACTCTATTTACGTTATCATCTGCTATGCCAGGTAGCAAAATTAATCATTTGATGTCATTTTGACATGAGTTGATGTTAAAATGACGTCAAAATGATTAATTGTGCTAGTTGGGATTATTTTAATGACTCGTTAAGGTTGTCATCAAAGGTAACTGTCTAAAAAATACATAACATGATGTTTTCAGCACTTAATATTTGATTAAGAATTTTTTTTCATTCCCTACAAATTCTCTATGTCTCAAAGACAACCGAATTTATCGATTGTATTAATGTATCATGTCATTGAATTTTTTAAAATAATCTTTACTAAAGATTATTTTTAAAAATATCATTTTTAATGATATCTTGAACATTGTAAAGATTATTTAAAAAAATGCAATAGCATAATGCAGTGATACAATCCATAAATTCAATTCTCTTTGGGAGATAGAGAACTCGTAAGAAATTTTAAAAAATTCTCCTTTCCCAAGAATCGACTCTGTTAAGTGCTGCGAAGATAAACTCAAAAGGAAGCAGGAAAAGCTTAAGACGCGCTTCGATATTATTCAGGAGGGCATAGCATTACGCGCGATTTCTCTTGCGAGAAGGAAAGATCGTTACTAAACAAAGCGATGGGAAACGTAAAACGTCGTTCCCGGCAAATCTCTTCCGTTTCTCTCCCGTGCCGAGCCTCCAGGCTACAATATCAACGATTCGCGTTTCAGGTCGCCGTCACCGTTGCCCAGGATTACGAGGTCTCGGACATTCAGTGCAGCGGCGCGGGCTCGGCGGCCGATCTTCTGACAGCGAAAATCAAAAGGCCGGTCGGCTTCAGAGGCGCGCCTCTGTTCGCCGATGACAGATCGGCGAATCCGCTCGCCGACATTCACTGCCAGATCAGACCCGATTCGAATGATCCCCAGGAGGATCATTACTTCCTGAAGGTGACTGACTTCTCCCGATGCGGCATTCTCAAGAGAAACGTGAGTCATCGATCGAGAGTTACGCGGAACCGATTCTTATATGAGGGGGTTCGCCGATGATGCGTTCTCCTTGACTTGCGGCTGACGTTGCACAAACGAACGGAACGGTCGACTCGTAGATTGCATACTCGATGCCAACCACTAATTCGCAATTGATTTCCTCGTGGGAGCTCTTATTGCGGGAGGCATCAATCAGAACGCTTTATATTCAGGCGGATCAAGCATTATTGTCGGACATTGAATACTGTTACGATGTGTTTCGGCAAAAATACATATCAGCGAACGCTGTTTTAGCTTGCCAGCGATAAATAAACGTTCGACTGTATTATTTACGTTTCATTTGTGCAACAAGTGCGTATATGAATTGATTACGCATCGTCGGACGTTCATTCGCATATAAAGATGCTGACAAAAGCGTGATTATGCGGTAAATTATGACTCGTGGCGATGGCAATAATAGATTTCACGATTAATCGATATCACCAGGGATTCATTCATCTGCGAGTCTGGTTTCCCGCCTTCCCTGGGGTGGTGATGCTGGCCGATCAGGAGCTGATTCTGATGTGCCGGCCGCCCGAGCCGACCCTGCTGAGGCACAAGGCTGCTGGCTTCGCCGGCACTTTGTAAGTCACACACCGCGCCCATTCGCACGATATCTTCGCGAATCTCGAGTATAATAAACGAGCATTATTTCCGCCACACTACACGCATGCATCGCATTCGCCGGAGCGCATTGCATTCGTTCCCGCGCGAGTTCCTGCGCGGAGGAAACAGTTATTTGCACATACGGGATACTAATAGTAGATGTGTAATAAAGTATATATATCCTGTGCTTTAAGTTCTATTTTAAGTAAGAAAAGTATCTACTTGAAAAAAAAAAAAGAATTGCGTCGCGATTTATATTGTTTGTATCCGAATAATTGCCGGTATGTTCGACAGTAGATTAAGATTTCAAATAAAGTTCACTTCTTATGAAGTGAAAAAAATTAAGGCATACTGCGATATATATAAATATGTAAGTGCGAACAATTTTTGGAGATCATTCTTTGTCAAAACTTAAGAGGGGTTTCTTGTATAAACATATATGTATATACTCGTACATCCCTCCCTGAGGAGTTACACCGCTCTAAAGAGGGAGGTAAAAATTAAGTTTCTATTTTTTCTCAAATTTCAGACAAATTAAAAAATAATTTCCGTTTTATTTTCAAGAAAATAAGAACTTAATTTTAACTCCCTCTTTAGAAAAGTGTAACTCCTTTCATTTTCGATAAAGAATCATCTCCTAAAATTTGTCGCACTATTATTTAGATACATCCTGTATATATGCGAATTAAAAAAATGTAATTTATATATAGCAACCCTAACAGCACACATATTCGAAAGACGTTCAGGGGACATCCAGAGGATATTCGAATGTCCTCTGGACATCTCTCGAACATGTTGCTGCTGTAAAGGAAAAAAGTGCAACGTGCTGAAGCGATGACGCGCGTCTGCTTTAAAGGGCTAATCGTTTCAGTCCGCACGGCGCCAGGGTGTCCGGGGTTGTGGAGGAGACGCCAGGTCGGTTGGAGTACGAAGTGGCCCTTTATCGCGAGGCGACCGGGAATATATCCGATAGCTCGCAGACGGTCGATCAGGCGGTACCGATCGGTACCAAATTGCAACTACGTGCCCGCATTAGCCCGGACAGCGCGTGGGGTTACATCAAACTGCTGGAGGTGACAGTTAGCCCGGACCCGGATCAACCCCATGCCCCCGGTAGCGTCGTGCTCGTCAAAGACGGCTGCAGGAATCGCGATTTCGCGTCCATCATCCCGCATCAGCCGGCGAGGTATCGCGAACGCAAAAATGAGGTCTTCCTAGACTTCGAGGCCTTCCTCCTAAGCTCGATGAGAGAGCGGTCGACCCTCTGGATTCATTCCCAGATAAAGGCTTGCATGGAGCCGCAGGACTGTCAACCGGTGCGTGATAATAATGGTTGTTTAGTATGCAAAATGCAAATTAATATACCGATGATTATACTGAATGTGGTTCTGGAATTCTATTTCCTAGAGGCTTGCTTATACAGGGTGTTTCAGAACTGGCGGAAAAGTTTTTAATGTCCGATTCGTGGTATTTGGATTTTTCCTTAGTAAAAATTTTAATGTAAAAATGTTAATTTTTAACATGTTCCCAATTTTTACTATTATGTATCTTTATAACTAAGCCTTATATTAAAATACTATTAAAGCAAGCTACCTAAAATTAACTGAAGAATGTAGTTCTGTTAATATTTTATTTCCACAAGGCTTAGTTTCCAAAAAAGTCTTTATTTTCAATTGCTTATAATTCGAAAATTATTGGTGTCTCGATATTTTCGCTGAGAAAAAATCGTCTCCGAATGCTACCAGGAATCTGTCATTAAAAACTTTTCCGCCAGTTCTGAAATACCCTGTATACAATGTTCTTCTGATAAGTATAATGCCAGATCGATTTCAGGAGAAGTGTTATTATGTACATGAAAATAATAGAATATTATGCTGATGCCTGTATGGCATTTTTGTTAATTTATCTTTTACCTTCGCAGGACTTTTGTCTCGACCTTTTCGAACCCTCCGGACACGGGAGAAAGAAAAAAAGAGCAGTCGAGGCGAGCATAGAAGCATCAGGCGAGTTTCTTCCAAAAGTCGAGCGTTTAATCAAAAGATACAATGATTCCACGCCATATACAAAATTCAAGGAGAACATTGAATACACGGTGATGATGCCAGATGGTAAGTTATTATTTATTATACATTTTTAATTTATTGACAAATTATAAAAAAATGGAATTTTTTCTTTGTAATTAAGTGCAATAATTCTCTCTTTGTATCTTTTTTTTGGAATTATTCTTTTCTCGAAGATTTTATTTGCATTTTATTTTCTTTCTCCGAAGATAGTAATAATTTTCTTTAAATATTTTTTTAATATCTCGCGCATTTCATAGAAAAAAAATTAGCTACCATAGCTAAATTTTGGCTGTCCCTAATTACAACCTGAAATTTAGTCATAAATTTAAAAAATGACAACTAATATTTTTTAGCTATAGTTAAACAGAGAATTCTATAGTTAAAAAATATTAGCTAAAATTTAAACATGATAACTAAATTTCATGTATAATATACGGACAGCTAAAATTTAGCTATATAATAGCTTAATTTTTTCCGTGTTATAATATATACCGAGTTGAATTTTTAATGTCAATCCTTTCTAGAAAATAGAATTTCCGTGAAATTTGTTCCGCGAAATCATATAATCCGAAGACTAATTCAATTTACATTTCGGCGATATAAACTGGCAATTAATTTCTCCAACATAAATTCTCGCGGAATTGTGTGACAAGATTCACGAGAGGCGGATTAACATAACACCGACATTCAACGTAAAATGTATTAAGATTAATCAAGCATTTCGTGCATGTAGATAATGGTTGAACACGAGACGCTTTACGCGCGCGATCACTAGTAATTTTAATTAATATTCTCGCTCATTATCATAGATTTGTACGACAAAGTAGCGGCTGGCCTCGAAGGTAGCTGCGGAAATTTCCTCTACGTGGCTACGGGATTGGGGGCTTTGCTGGTGTTATCAGCCTTTATCATGTGCTACCTGGCGTCGCGTCTTCACAATCTGTCCTCGACGATGCAGCAGAGCAAGTCTATCGACGAGTTGGTCAGAGATCGCACTAGAAAATATTGCGACACCACGCCTAGCTACACCGGCCGTTCGACGATGCAATAGATACGATAAATCCAGAAAAAAAAATACAAAGTATACTTTATCGCGCGATAAATATATTTCTCGCGAAATATATATCACGCGTAATTAATGCAATGTGTTACAATGATACTTGAAGACTACACAGAGAGAATTTTCTCTTAGAATTTACCCTGAAAATCATCGTAAACATTGTAAAATATGGTAGTGAAAGAATTTTCGATGAGTTTCTTTGATTAAAAATATCTACCACAATAAGATGTAAAATATGTTCAATTAATTTTACTATGTACATATTTTAATATTTGTTATTGTGGTAAATATTTAATCAGAAAAATTCTTATAAAATTTTTCCAAAAAATACCATATTGTCCCACGATTACCATAAAATTTTCAGGGTAAATTCTATAAGAGAAACTTCTCTCTGTATAGAATGAGATTTATTCGCGAAAGAGCAACATTACGTTTGTAAGCTCCATACGTTCGATTTTCTTCACTTCTCGAGAGGACAAAAATATTTGTCCTATTTCAAAAATAGCGAGATATATTTTTATGCTTTATTAATATAATTACGTTGCATTGCAACTTATATATCGTAATCATGTTAGTATCGAGAAGTGATTCTCGCCGTGGGAAAAACTTTGAGACAGGGATTCCGAATAAAATTTGGACGAGAATGTGACGACATCGCCCACCAAGGAATAAAAATAATTCGACGTTAGAATGCGCTCGAGGATGCTCGAAGTGGCAAACGAATATATTTTCCATGTAAAATAAACTCAATTCAGAGTTAACGAGACTTTAATTCGAGGACGTCGAAGCAAAGAATAAATTGAAAATGTATGAAAGAAAGTTAGTCGCCAAATTTAGAGTCATGTCGACGGAATATCGTTTGCTACTTTGCAATGTAGATATGAAGGCTACACATGTTTATGTTTTATGAGGAAGCACCGCTCTCTTAACACAATTTTTTTTCTACATGCATATAAATGCAAGCAGCCTACTTCTTGCCCAGTTTTTCATTTCTCTGACGCTAGTAAAAAAAGTATTTAAGTGAAAAAACAATTTTTAATTTAATCTCATTTTAATTTATTAATTTTGTGCATGTCATCCGCATAGGCTCCGATTGCCGTCGATATTTTATTTTTATTGTAACACAATAATTTGAGCCGAGATTAACAGTTTTTTTATATTGAATTTTTAATTTGTTACATATATATAATTATTTATATATAATATAAAAATTATATATAATAATAATATATAAGGCTTCCATCCGGAAGCCTTTTACATTAATAATAATATATATATTATTTTTTAGAACTACTTGGTCGAGTTTTATTATGAAGCGAGTTTTACAATCAAACGAGTGAAAAAAAACTATTGAGAAATTGAATTCCTTCACTTAAATTCTTCCTTTCTAGGTCAAAGAATTTCATAATCTAATTTTTAATGCACGATATTTCAAGCATCGCGCACATCATACAATTTCTGTTAAAAGTTTCGTCGATTTATCGATACTGCAAATACAGAAAAATATTCTCACTATGTTGAGTCTCTCAAACGTGCAATGCTATCACGTGACCTGATCAAACGAGCCGATTCACATTGATCGCTCGTGTAATATGTAGAATAAGAATCTCGCCGGATGCGAAGAAACTCGACGGGATATTTTGGGTGGTTGCACGAATTTATCTCACCTTGTAAATAAACACATGTAACAAAGTTCTCTGTATTTTACAGCAAACTTGTTAACAATGCGAATATTTAATATATAATATTACCCAAAAATCTATATTTTAGTTGAATAAAAATCATTTTATAAAAAGATAAATCTGACAAATTAATTTTGTTTTTAATATAAAATAAAAAATAATGTTAAAAATCTTAAATTTTAATGAAAAAGAATTAAATTTTTTTAAAAGACTTTTTTGTGTGTAATTATTGTATTACTTAATCTAGATGTATTACAATTAAAACATAGTTTGTGATTATTAAAAATTACTTTACAAGTTCTGAGGTGTATGAAATTTTATCTAAAAAAATTATTAAAAAATTATTAAAAAAATTTTTAATATTATATATTTAAGTATTAGTAATAATCAAACAATAAAGAGCAAAGTCACGAAAAATAGGGCAACGCGATTTTGAGGACACGGTAATCGATCGTTAACGATCCGTGAAGGTAATTAGGAAATGTATACATTATAGAAATACTGCGCGACTATTATAGAGATATGACCGTGTACAATGATTATTTATTATAAAATAAAATAAAAGATTAAACATATTTATTTTGCGCGTTACAATTTTTATTCGGCGGAGATTCTCTTGTAGAAAATCACGAACTATACAATCTTTTTTTCTGCATAATCTAATTCAATTTTTCGCTAAAAATTTATTGGCGCCAATGTCATTGTCACCACATTGTATATTCAGAAACTTGCTTATATTATATATATATATATATATATATATATATATATATATATATATAATCATAAATTTAACGTATAAGACGGGCAACAAGAGCCAAATCGCGGATGACAATGCGTTATCCTAACGAAACTAAATAATTTTTCGTTAGAATTAAATACCGGTGCACAAGGCACCAAATTTTTACTTGGACACGGCCAAGATTTTTAAATATGAAATAATCTCATATTTTGAGATTTAATTTCAATACCCCTTTAACCCCCCTACGGAAAATAAATAAATGAATGCAAGAGAAAAATATAGATCCGAAAATCGCTGAATCGGGAATTTCGGATCTATATTTTTCTCTTGCATTCATTTATTTATTTTCCGTAGGGGGGTTAAAGGGGTATTGAAATTAAATCTCAAAATATGAGATTATTTCATATTTAAAAATCTTGGCCGTGTCCAAGTAAAAATTTGGTGCCTTGTGCACCGGTATTTAATTCTAACGAAAAATTATTTAGTTTCGTTAGGATAACGCATTGTCATCCGCGATTTGGCTCTTGTTGCCCGTCTTATACGTTAAATTTATATTTATATTACAGAGCCTTGTTAAAACTCTTATATATATAATCACTTTGCAAGTTCTGAGATTTCATATGTATATGATATATTAGAAATTCATTGAGTTACAAACTATTCGACTTTGCTGTCGATTCTTATTTGATGAAAATTTGATAGTTATCATAGTTTAATTATAAATCGTAGTAATTGGTTTAAACATTGAACAAAGACTTCAGTAATTTAACTAGATTTAACATATTTTCTCTATCTTTGTACCACAATAAATTTTGCGAATAAACTGCTATGCATTTTTCTCATTCCCAGACTACAAACAGTTAAAATTCGACGATATATGGTAACTTGAATTTGCGTTCAGTTTATCCGACATGCGCCCTAAATCTAATCTTCTTTGGCTTTATTGATATTTTTGGACATATTCTAATTTCGCATTAGAAAACCTAGTACTTAGAATTAGTCAACTTAGCCGATGTCTATCTAGCCAGATGTCTTATGAATCGCAAAATTCGGCACATCGCTATCAGAATAAACGCATCGCCCAGAAATGTATAGGCATCTATAACTTCTCAGGAACTTTCAATTAATTAGACCGAATTGAATCTAGCTCTTTGTCTATGCTTATTTCGATTATATCGTAATTCCTGAATAAAAAATTATAGAATACCTGCGTATGCATAATCGCGTTCCCATATACTTTCGCTAGTCTAAATACACGTAAAACATTTCATGAATATAAAAAAGCGTATTCATATTCCATGATAAGGACAAATAGATTCTACGACCATACTCTACTATCCAGTAAAACTCAAACGATATTTGCAATCTTTCAAAAACATTAAAACTCCGATCAAATATAAATAACTAACTTTGTTAGATGTACGAGAGACGTAAGAAAGATGATATAAATATAGGGTGATAACAAGTTTATCATACGATGAAAAAGAACCTGTGAAACTACAATAATTGAAATTCAACAGCTCGACTTGAAAATATCTGATTTTGTACAATGATTACTCTCTTACAGGATAATTACGATTATTTTCAATGTTTGAATCAGTGCTCGGAATTAGTTGCTCTTTTCGAGCCGATTTCGCGAGCGACGAGGTAGATCTCCCCACTACCGTCGAGGCTCGACGGCGGAGTCGTCGTTACTCCGGGCAACGCTATATCTCAGGAGCGTCGCTAAACATGTTAAGTTGTACCTTCCGCCAAATCGTCATTATTATTACATAATTTATATTTTTGTTAAATAATAACTGAATATTAACTTAATATTAACTTAATATTTAGTTATTATTTAACAAAAATATAAATTATGTAATAATAATGACGATTTGGCGGAAGGTACAACTTAACATGTTTAGCGACGCTCCTGAGATATAGCGTTGCCCGGAGTAACGACGACTCCGCCGTCGAGCCTCGACGGTAGTGGGGAGATCCACCCCGTCGCTCGCGAAATCGGCTCGAAAAGAGCAACTAATTCCGAGCACTGGTTTGAATCAAGCAACGAATATCGCGATATTCACATCGTGCGACAATAATTACGAAGCATATCTATATTCAAAGACGATTATAACGTGCGATATACCTTTAAAACGACTCCTTCGTCTTTAGAGATATGTCAAGATATATGTAGGGTGTTCCAGGACTATATTCCGAATCTGTGACTAGAAAAAAAACTGAAGAAATTATTTAAGTGTCTACTAAAGAAATCTATTGACAAGTTATTCTTAAGATATGATACAATGTAATAAATAGGTCTCTAAAATCAATTTTATTATATATTTGTTAGTAATTGAGATATAAAGCAGTATTACTCATTGTCAGCGAATTAAAGCAGTCAGCTAAAGTTCTAAAGTTCTATAGTCTTCAATTCTGTTTCTCATAGTTTATTAACCGATTAATGAAAAAACATTGTATCAATGTCACATTTAATTGACAAAATCTCAATCTTATTGCGTAATCAGGAAAATAAAATACGATTCTCTCCATTCGTAATTTTAAATAGACATTGACATGTGTTTAAAGAAAAAATGACTCAAAAATTGGTTTAAAAAAGCCATAAAAAAAGAAAAAAATGGCGATAGCTCTGGCCACACCTTGCATATAAAATATTCGTCCGATTTCACATCGTCGTTGTGTACCATTTTTCATTGCGTATTACAACAAATGAAAATCAACACTCAACACTGATTTCTCCATGTCGCTAATCGATTTTTTTAGCGTGTCGAACAATTGTAAATATCTACTTCAACTCTATGTAAGGCATTTCGAAACGACAAATTAAGTGTTAGTGTGATATCATATTTACATATTGACTTTATAAAATCTGATTATCACACATATGCACTTGCGAACGTTCGTGAAAAGCAAGAGAACAAATAATTATTCAATCCTGTCATTTTTCTCAGACTTCGTGAAGGCTTCGTAAGCAGCGAGCTCTTTTTTCTCCTTCCTTAAATTTCTATCCTCGTATTCCAACCTGTAATTAGATGCTAGATCAACACGTGATAGGAATACTCGCTAGGAATAGTCGTCGGGAATATATGGATGTTATCGTCAGAAAAGGCTGTTGGAGTGGACTAACGCAAACAGGAGTGGATTACGACAAAGGAGTGGAGTAAAATAGAATTCAAGAAAATATTCCGCAAAATAAACGAACTTGCATCAGAAGCAAAATGAATAAACGACAAAAGAAATTATAACGGAAAGTAAATAAGCATGCGTTTATTGCAAATTGAATACAAAACAATCAGATTTGTCCCATCAACGATTGTTGAAATTCTTAATAACTGTATAAAGCTCGTTCGGCCTAAGGGGATAAAAAAAGCAAAATAAAAAATTAATATATAAAGCTTTTCAGTCTAATTAAAAACATTTTAGTTTTGCAATGCAAAATAATTCTTATTTTGTGGATGCAGATAGGAAAAAAACGAAGTTTTTAGGAATATATCCTAAAAATGTGTGCAATTTCGTAAACACAGGAACAACATATAACAGCCCAAGGATGAACGACAATATTTAATCAAAGAGCGATAACATATCATCGCTTGAGTAACGTGATATTATTTTGCAGCACTCTTTCAAATAATTATAATATATATGATTGTAGGAGCAATTTAAACTTTAAATGTGGAAAGTTCGAATCGCTAGCAGGCAAGAGCTTTTCGTGTAATTTCGCATATTATCCTCCGTCAAATTATCTTTATTAAACGCGATCACATAATACTCTGTCTCCGCGAACGTAAATGCAGTGGATGTTGGCGGGTATAGTGGTGGATTTATAATAAAGATATTAAATACATAATTTATACAAACACATATATGTTTGTAAAACTCAATTTTTCTGTTTAACCAAATCGAAAGTACTATTATGAAACGATGCGTAAACAATTCGTATAAGAATATTATAATTGAACAAAACATCAATTATAATGTATAAATTATTATGAGAGTATAATATATAAATTATAATTTAAAAAGTTCATAGAATATATATGGCACAAAAAATTACTCTTCCCAGAAAAAAAGTTTCTGATAAAAAGGTGTGCCAATATATACATAACGTAAAGCAACATACCTGTGAAGAATGATCCTTTCGACTATTTTCTCCGTCGTCATATCGTTGCCGCTATCTAACAATTTAAATTTATTTTGCTTCTTGGGCTCCGTATATGGATCTGAACCATCCTCACAAGGCATTATAGGCGTTTGTCCATGACACACGACAGAGACATTGAAATGTTCCATTAGATCTCTCGTAACTGCGTACGGTGCACCGATTACAACTTCATTGACGTACTGTAAATGCAAAAAGGGACTATGATGTAAAGAGAGCTATTGTAGACATAATAAAATTGCTTCTATTATCTTAAAAAACAATAGCATGATTTATTAAACTTTCCTATTGGAGAAAATGCAATAAAATAGTGACTGCGGAAATTATATATATATATATATATATATATATTGAGAAAATTCATATATTACACTAGTTTATATTTTTTCACGCTATGACTTATATATCATGAATAGAAACGTTAGTACCTTCATCCGGGTCCTAGTTTTAAAAAATTAAATATCCCGAATAATTGTAGATTAAACTAGGCTCACCTTACACGCCAACACACTGAGAACTCGTTCGTGAAGGTTCATAATGGGATGATTGCCGCACTTGTATCGGTTAACGGCTGGATCCGTGTGCAGTCCGACTATGAGATAGTCGCCCTCTTTTTTAGCGACTTCCAGGAAGTCCAAGTGGCCTACATGGAAGAGATCAAACGCGCCTGCCACGTACACGATCTTGTCGTCCGGCTGCGGACTCTTGCCGTCACTGAATTGTATTATTTTCTGCGTGGTCGGCAAAAATTGCGAACAACCGGTCCACGGACTACGAGCAGTTCTATCCTGACCCATACGTTTGCTCGGTTCTCGGTCAACACTGTACTCGTTGTCACCTTGTCGAAAATGCTGTCGCGTCATTAGCAGCATGCGACCCACAAGATCGGTCGATGAAACGCCAGCTGTTCGTTGAACTTCCCTAAAATAATTATATATATTTTTAGTAAAAAAATAAGATTACCTTTTTTATAATTAAAATTCTTATTATTATCTTTTAATTTTATCATCTTTTCAAGAAAAATTTAATTGAACAGCAAGCTGATATATAATTCTTGCTAAAATTTTTATAAAAGTATATACCTGTAACGACCGGCTGCCTTGACTAAATGATAAGTATCTACACCATCGGCCGTCATTGTGATATCATCGCCATGAACACAGAAATCACAGTTATACTTGTCTAATGTTTCTAATGTAGTAACGTAAGGCGCAGCTTCGACCACTTCATCCACCCATTTTATACCACGCACCATTTTATACCTAAATAAAAAAGAATTTAATACATTCATTAATATTTGTAATTATGAATTATAAATACTTATAAATATGTAAGTATTATTATTATAAATATAATTATAAATAATTATAAAATCGCTAATATCGTTATCTTAATTATACATTATCATCATTATCTATTAATTTATTTTGTTGTATATGTATAGAAGAGATTATTCACAGAATTAGTGAATTATATAAATAATTTTAGTTTTTATTTTAGGAATTCCATATGCAAAGTTATATCCGCGTGTTTGTATGATATGATTTTATGCTATCTAATCCTTAATTAACATCAGAGAAAGTAACTTATATAAACGCAGACTGACAAGACAAGGTTTTTTCTTTCTTTACAATACCTTTATGTTACATTGTGTTCCTGAGCTACATAAATAGTTTTTCTATGTAGATACTGATTTAAAAAAAAGTCAAGGTTCTAGTAAAACTTTTCTTGTTCAGTTCTAAGATTATAGCTTTGGAATACATTAATTTTTTATTCTCACATGATGATCATGATTCAAGTAAACATTTCTCACAATAAGTTATTTTTCAATGTATCGAAATCAGACCATAGATTATTATATAATCATGCTTTCAATGTATTAAAAAAAATTGTTTTTTAATAAAATGCAAATTTCTTCGTAAAAATATATAATGTGAAAACAATATAATCTTGCTATATTAAAATGTTTATATTATTTTCAATTTCCTCTATCTTCATTCGTTTAAATAAAAAATAGTCAACACAAAATATATTAAAAAATGTTTTCTATTTTTACGTTAAATAATTAATAAACAACATAAATATATAATTATAATATACATATAGGAATAGTGGAGATCAAAAATTTTGACACATATGGAATTATAAATATTACTGCGTAGAATTTATAAAAATAATGCAAAGTTATTAGAAGTGTAGAAGACGTTCTAAATCATTATACTATAGTGTAGTGTATACTCCAAGAAAATAATTGCGGAGTTTAAAAGACTGGTTAACACATAATCACTAACTACAGATAATAATCGAGATCGTGACTAGTCATTACGCCTTATGTAATTTCCTTTAAGAAAGCAACGGGACGAGCTATACCTTTCCTGTTCGGTGAAGACGGGAGGACCCTTGTGTTTCGTGATCTCTTCATCATTGTGAACACCCACCACCAAATAATCTCCTAAGGCTTTGGCCTGCCTCAAGGAATTTGCATGCCCGAAATGCACCATGTCGTAACTGCAATCAATAACATTTCATTCATGACATATGATTTATACATAATTAATTAAACATTATTTTGTGATTTATCAGAAAAGTTATATTAACAAAAAAGTCATTAAACATAATATAATATAAAAACGAAAATATTCGAAAGAGAAATTGATCGAGACAGAATTAATAAAAAAAAGTTAAATCTTATATGTATATTATTGCAAAACTATCAATCTAGAACAAATAAAGTTTGATTTAATAAAATTCGGAAAAAGAGTAATTTATCAATGGACCTTGAACGAAAAATTGTTCTGATAAATATTGCACCAGTCATGTGACTATTATGATAACGCAAAATATGAATTACGACTATGCGATAAAATATAATTTACACACAATTGTGGCTTTATGCACTTTGCATATGCTTTTAATTTTTTATTCCATCGCTTTTTATGGAATAAAAATATTTTATATACACATAAAATTGAATGTTATCATATTTGACATATTTAATGAATAAATCGGAATTTTGTAAAAACTATATATTATCTACGAAATTTAAAATTTTGATGAAATATGTGAATTTTAAATACAAAAACGTATTTACAAGTTTATATACATTCGAAACTATGATCCAACTTACTTAATAAATCGAATCATTTTTGCATATCACTGTCCAATCATTCGTATATAAATGATGTATGTAAATACAAATTTACATATAAACGAAACGAGTTATAGTCGACGCCTCGCATTCCGAGAATCTTACGCCATCGTAAAAAGAACAGTGTGGCAAACAAACCGTGACCGAAATTGCAATCATGCTTTATGCGTTTTTAATGATTCTTAATCAATTGTCGGTTGATTACTGACATTTTTAATCGATAGAAATGTGAAAGATTTCTTTATTTACATTTAAAAAATATTCTAAATGTACCAAAAAAAGTTTCGCTCACATTACGACATTATAAAATCGAATAAAACTTAAATTCGTGGTCATCCCCTACGTGCCATTTTATCCAAACTCGGAACAAGGACACGTATATATGTTAAATTGTGTCACGGTCGATATACAACTGGTTCCGATCAGATATCATTGATTTCTCGCGCAAAAAAGACGTGATTTTCAAGTACAAACTACCGCCTTATTTTGAAAAAAAAGTGAAAAATTTTTCTTTCTTTTTTTAATAAAGCTGAGACATGACATTTCATTCATGATACATAATTCATACATAATTAATTCAAAATTATTTCGTGATTTATCAGAAAAGTTATATTAACAAAAAATAATATAAAAATAAAATACGAAGATATTCGAAGAACGCGCACGTTAAGAGAACTCGGAAATGAATGTTATTCGCAGAAGGACGCACCGGAACAAGGGACGACGAACGCGACAAAGTAATATCGATTGTTCGCGCTCTTATATATGGGCGAAGCTATAATAACGAAATCTAGCCGAGAGAGAATCGACACGTGTCCATAGCGACTTTCGTCAACCGGCCGGGCGACATGAAGCGGCGCGTTTATCGAGCGCGATATCCCGCTTTCTCCCTGCGCGTATATTCTCGCGACGTCCGAATGAAAAAAAGAAAACCCACGTCGAGAGATACTCACCACCCATCGCACCAAACGCGAACCTCTTTGCGAGTCTCCTCTGTCATGACGAACGTGGCCAAGCGTCGTCGTGCCTCTCGATAACACAAACCACTACCGTTTCTCTCGGGCGCGTCGTAGCGAGTGACGTCCGAGCTGCAGGTTTAACCTCGAAGAGAGGGAGAGAGAGAGCGCGCGCGCAGACGCCCTCGAAAAACCGACTGCGCGCGTCGCAGTTTCACACGTCGCCTTTAAAATATTCGCCCCCGCGACAGTCGAGATCACTAGATGTAGGAATCTCGATGTGTGTCGAGATTTCGAGAATTATGAAAATTAAATAAAATTGAATATTCTTCTCCGCGGAAAATAAATCAAAAATAAAATTCTTACCTCCACTTGCCGAGACACAGTGAAGGATAATTGATAATTACTGTCAGACGCGCGTATATTTTCACATATTTTATTTAATATCGAGAGAAATTTTGTATCGAAATGATGTTAATTCTCCTAGTATTGATCATTAATCAATTTCTTTTCTTACTCGACAAAATTCGACACATCACATTCCTAAAATCAATTTTATCACATTACACATATATAAATAAAATATATATATATAATATTGAGAGAAATTTCGTATTGAAACGCGATGTTAATTCTCTTCGTATTGATCATTAAATGATCAATTTCTTTTCTTACTCGACAAAATTCGACACATTACATTCCTGAAATAAATTTTATCACATTGCATATATGTAAATGATATATATATATATAAAATCGTGTTTGTTGGAAATAAATTGCTTCATATGCAGATGCTGAATCCTGTTTGTTTCACACCTTCTTATTATTATTCACAATTATCCACGTGGTTTCTAATTTTAATTTCTAATGTATACAAATGTTATTTTTTTTTATGTAGATATATATTTATGCGTAGAACAAGCTACATTTTCATTAGCATAAAAGTGAATCATAGAATGAAATCATAAAATTTGATATTTTGTTGAATAATCTTGATATAATTTTAGAAATTTCTTCAAAGATTTGAAAAACTCTAATAAATTGATAAATAATTCTAATCTAATTAGATTGAATACTTTAATCGCATTCCGAAAATATCGACAAATAAGAAGATGCTATTGTCACATTTTGAGATCTCTGAAATGTAAATAGAATTAGATTACAAACAGAATAGCTGAAAAATCCAATGTTATTTAAAATCCAATGTCAAATAAAAATTGGCAGTTGCATTTTTGTGTTCCTACTATTATAAAGAATTTTAAATTTTGTCTATTTAACAATTTTGTTTGAACACGTGGAGTCTATATATATAGTATGAACACATTTGCGGAAAATAGCTGTAATCGATTATCGGGGAAATGTAGGCAACATAGTAGACATAAGTAGACATAACAAATGTCTTACTCATAAATGATAAGACACACACACGCACTCGACTAAACATATGCGAGAAATCGCAAACTCTGACCGGATCGTATGATTCTTGATAAGTCAGACCAACCAATGAATGAAGACTGTCTTTCTTGACACTGGATAACGATTAATTATTCTTGATAATGACATAATAGAATTATTAGCAATATATTTTAAGTGGCGTTTTAGATAAGAGAGTACTTCATGGTAGATCTACAATTACACGTTATCTGCATTCATGTGTGACTCATCCATCTTATACGTAAACTTGTTAAAATGTCGTTGCATATACTTATGTATCGAGTGAATAATCGTTCTTAAACGATTTAGCATTCACGACATATTTTTATATTCAAAATTTTATATTCAAAATTAAATCTCTAAAAAATATTAATATAAATATAAATTTCATAAGAGATAAATTAATGCAATTTTAGTGCTACATGTAAACAGATTATAAAAACTCTAAATTATCTCAGAATATTATCATATTATTTGTTTTTAAGATTTATATGGTTTCGTATTTTCTTACAAAAAATTCAAAATTTTTTCTTTTACTTCACTTAAAAGAAATATTGTTATATATATTGGATTTTTTATGTAAAAATAGGAAAGTGCCCCAAAGACACGTCAAGGTAAAAAAAAAAAAATTATTATTTACTTGAAGAGTTTCAATAACGCAAGTTTCAATACTTTTCTTCAGTATCATTTTTATACTATTTTATTGAATGTACAGCAACAAGCCGATTGAATTTTTTTAATACTACATTAATCGGTGACAATTACACAATGTAATTGACCGCCTATATATTAAAGAACTATCCTAAACGTGATTTTTATAACTAATTGCAATGTTAATTAAATAAGCTAATGGAGATCTTACGTGTATTAGGAAAGGAAAAAGGTGAATGCTCATGAGAATGTATGTAAATCTTTCGGAACGATTTTGGGCGACTCTGGGCATGTCGGCTTACATCAGACTTGCGTCGCCGATTGCTATTATTCCCTGGAGCCTCTGCAACATTCTGTTACAAACGAAAAAGATGATATAGAGATAGACAAATATGAAATTTATTGTCCTCAGGATAATAAATTCTTTTCTAGTTTTATAATTTTTATCTCTACTTTCTCTTTTTTTTTGCTATATTATAAATACTTACTTATTATCATTAAAATCAATAGCCATTTTGTTGCCTATAACTTCCTCCGCCGTATCCACTATTATTCTGGCTGTAGCTGTTGGAGCTACTGCCTGAGGTGCTATTTCCAAAATTATTTTGGGGAAACGATTTACTGCTTCCATAGCTAGCTCCGCTCATACCACCTACGTGAAACAAACACCATTTATAAGTTACAGCGTATTTTATCACAATCTATATAATTTAATGTGAATATAACGGATACATGACAAGCAACATATTGGTCAAGGACTTTTTTTTAACTTACCACTGCTGCTTCCGGTCCATTTGTTGGCACGATCATTCGTGCCGCCACCGGAAGAACGATCGAATCTTCCTCTATCTCCTGCATCACGGCCCCCGCGAGAACCTCGTGAACCGCCACCGCGGCCTCCGGATCCTCGTCCGCCGCCCCCACCTCCACTACGACCACCATATCGTCCTCCTAATCATAAATTAATACATATAAGAAATGATGAAGAAAATTTATATATGTATTTTTTTATTATTTTCCAGGGTGATCACAAATTTTTGTAAAAAAAATTCCTTGAGAATTCTCTGATATAAATAAATACATAAAACAAAAAGATAACTTATGATGAACATCTTAAGGAATACTAATTTATTTAAATATTACCTATTAAAAAATTGAACTTTGAATTGAATTTTCTATGAATTTATGTAAGATCTTAATATTAAAAAGAGATTGTCAATGAAAAGAAATCACATAAAATTTTAATAAAAACTGAAATATTATCAAGATATGTTAGACATATGTTCCTTAAGTGCTAAATAAGAATAAAAATTACAAAATTTCCTGAGAATATCAGATTTTTAAGGGAGTATACACTGTGAATTTCACAATATAATTTTTTAATTGTAATATCAATATTAATGATATATTTCAAATATAAAGGGAGAAAAGAAAAACGTAAAATCTTAAAAGAATGTGTGTGAATAACACTTACTCTTATAAACCGAAGGATTCCTGGATAATTCATATAATTTCGGATTGACTACTTGCTTAGCCTCTTCTAGAACTTGTATCAAGTCACTAGCCTTGTGCGCATTTGCAGGCGTGAAAAAGGCGTATGCGGTTCCTGTACGCTGCGAGCGACCCGTACGTCCGATACGGTGCACATAGTCCTCAGAGTTGGACGGATAGTCCAAGTTTATCACAAATTTGACATCCTCGACATCTGTGAGATACGGTGAATTAAAATCGCGGCACACAGAAGACGCTTGTTTCTTTGTGGTTCAATTAACTTATAAAGCGAATTCATTCAAGCATTTTACCAGAACGTTGCCTTTTACTAATGGAATTAAAGAATCTTGAATCTTAAAATTATTTCAATTATTTTTGCATCAAATGTTGAAACAATTGCTATTATAAAATAATATACAAGGTGATAAAACAAATATTCATCACCCTTATTCTTGCCTTCTTCAGCAATGCTTTTGAACAAACATTTCCAAATGATATTCAAACATTAAGAAAAAAATATATACATATATAAAGATTACCTTAAATAGATGATACTGTTCCGCAAAGATGCGATAAAATAACTTTAGTTCCATTAGCAATTTGCATACAACACTCAAGTTGACCACAAAGAGCAAGTCTGCATGTTAATTACCTGTTTGTGACTAAAGCTGGAAATGTAAATACATTTTTTGGAAATGTAGAGGAATCAGAGCTCAGATGGTTCTCATGGAATTCTCGCTTCACGTATTAGCGAGCTCTACATTTTTATTCTTAGAGGCAACATTACACCCTTCTCTCCCGCACCAAAGTATGGATCTGTGCTGGCTATTTCGAAATTTGGTCCTTGTACATTGCTTCGGTGAAGAGGTTGGAACACCAAGTGAGCATCTTGCGTTCTCCACTCAACCCCCACATGTACTCCCATCGAATAATTAAGCATCAAGAATAACGCACCACAATATTGTGAACTTTCTCACTTCAATTTCATAATTATTATATATTAGTGATCATTCTATTCCGCCTTAATTCAATTAAGTCCTAAGTCATACAATTTTCGCGCGCGACACGATCCAAATTAATAAATAATGTAAACATATAGAAGAACTTAGCAAAGTGAACGTACGTTAATAAGAGTTGTCCACGCTTATGTCGAATAATTCTTGCGATACATTAATAAACTGTTTAGAATAATTATCACAATTAATGCAGAGCGCGACTTGATGCAATCTAACGAATGTAAACCGATAATATTTTCTTTCTTCCCCGTGTTTTCACATGCGCGCGCTCAAACGTCCTAACACCACATTACTTTCCATACTTTGGACCATAGCAGGTACAGAGTGAGAGTGTTTTTCGAGTGGCAAGGTGGCCGAGGCACAGCGTTAGCTTGTTGCGAGGGGGTGGCGACCAGCAGTCACGCCCCGTTCAATTACATTTTCCAAAGCTAGCTGCAGAGTTCTAAGACTCCAGACTCGCATGTGCCTCTGAAAACACATAGAACAGCACGTTAATACCAGACTGACAAGACTTGTTTCGATCTGAGAGTACAAAATCGGAAGAGATAAACCTGGCTACACACAAACCGCTTACCTGGCCCTCTTACTCTTAAAGCTGAAATATTTTGACGTTCTTTTTATTTTATTTTTTATTTGTTACATTTTATTTATACACGCACGTGCATCGCTTAAGATACATCATGTATCAAGTAATCAAATTTGTACATGTGCGAAAATATTAAAAGAACGTCAAAATCCGCTTATAATAATTAACCTAATTAATAGAAGAAGACTTAGAGAATTTAACAGAATAATTAAAACTTATTCCTTCGTTATTTCGTATCGCTGAAAAGACAATGTTAATTACTTGGGTGCGCTCGAATGCGCACTCTATTAATTATTCGGCAGAAAGAAATAATTAGCTAATAAAATCAACAAAACAAAAGGATATTGATGGTGAAATCAAAATGGGGCATTTAACTCACTCCTGAAATTCCTTAAGAGTAATTGAATTATCTCCAACCACACTTGTGTAAAAAAAAAAAAAAGTAACGTCAATCAGTCTGGCACATGCCGTTATCCGTTGCCACATTACAATATCAATATCATGATTTTCACAATTGTGAAATAACCATCGCAGCCTGACCCTTACATCATATCTATTTATCTATAAATTCTTACCTAGACCTCTTGCTGCCACATCCGTAGCCACTAAGATGGCAGACCTGCTATTCCGGAACTCTGAAACAATAACTCTCGTATAACAAAGCATATTACAGCTCTCAAAAGTAATAAAAATAATTTAATATAAAAGCTAAATGTAAGATAATTAGTTCCTTTTTCAAAAAATATGAAATACATTGCACGATCTTAAATGATGAAATATATTTCAAATATATTGGCAATGTTAAATTTAAGATAAAATTTTAAATAATATTTACAAGTAAAAAATAGTTTTAGCTTTTAATATATTAAATAATTATAACAATAGCACTCACGATTTAATACATAATCTCTTTCTTGTTGGCTTTTATCTCCGTGAATGCCAATTGCTTGCCATCCGTATCTATTAATAGCTCTTGTTATATCATCCACCTTCCTTTTAGTTTCCACGAATATTATAGTCTTATTTTCTGGTTCGTTTGAAATTTCTTCCAAAAGTTTCATTAATTTACTTTCCTTCTCGTATTCCTCGCACACATCCACGATTTGCAAAATATTATGATTAGCGGCTAATTGTAGAGAGCCAATGTTGATTTGTATGTAATCCGTTAAGAACTCCTCCGCGAGATTACGCACCTCCTTCGGCCACGTCGCCGACCACATGAGGGTCTGACGGTCGGGACGTATTTGTTCTACAATTTTCCTAATTTGCGGCTCGAAGCCCATATCTAGCATCCTATCGGCCTCGTCGAGAACCAGATACGTACATCTACGTAGATTCGTGGTACCACGTTCCAAAAAGTCTATAAGACGCCCAGGCGTGGCGATGCAAATTTCCACGCCACGTTCCAAATCACGTGCCTGCGGACCCTTCGGAGCTCCACCGAAGATACACGTGTTTCGCACTTGCGAAGACATGCCGAAGTCTGACGCTACTTGCTGAATCTGCTGCGCCAGCTCTCTGGTCGGTGCCAGAATCAAAGCGATCGGTCCGTCGTTTCTGCTGAGTCTCGGCTGATGATTTATATGCACGATCGCCGGCAGGATATACGCCAGGGTCTTTCCCGAACCCGTCTGCGCTATACCGACCATATCGCGACCTGAAAGAGCGATAGGCCAGCCTTGGGCCTGAATAGCTGTCGGCTCGCCGAATCCCTGTCTCCGGATCTCGTTGAGAACGTAGTCCGGAAAACCGCCTTCCTCGAAGTACATGTTGGGGCCCGGCACGTTCGCTCCTTTCACCGTGATCTCCTTACCAGAACGGTAAGACTCGACCGCGTGGATACCTCGTCCCATAACGTTGGGATGCGGCTGATAAAAGTCCTTCCTGAACTGCGGGAGAGTACTCATGTCCCATCGCGGCTTGCGTAGACGCTCCCCGGGCTGCCGGTTCTTAAAATTGTTGTTGCCGAAACTGCTGTCGCGGTTTCCGCTACTAAACCTGCTGCCACCTCCACCTCCGCCGCCATCGCGTCCGCCAAATCGATTTCCACCGCCTCGTGCACCGCCTCTCCTGTCAGAACGTTCTCTCTCGCCGTACGCCCTTTTTCCAAAAAGACGAAAATAATCATCAATTCGATCGCTCGTTAATTCAATTAAAATTTCCTCGAACCGCGAAAAGACAACGAGGTCCCGCTATTCGCAAAATGGCGCACGGAGCTAACCGAGCGCACGTCGCGAAAAGTTCAATGACAATTGAACGGAAAATGAGGAGAATCTCGATTAATCCAGTTGATTTAGTTACTTACATTAGAGCGGGAAAAATGTGCCGCTATCTTCCGTATAGATTTCTCGTTGTTTCCTTAGAACAGTCTGAAATGCGATCCGAGCCAATGATGATTGATTTACTTCGTGCCGTGGCCCTTGGCTAAAGAGAGCGAGAACGGTGAGAACAGGATGTTTGACGTCACAGCGGCGTCATGGCAACCGACTCGAGAAAATAGTCCCTCCGCGCACTGAAATTGTGGGACATAAATGTGGAGAAAAAAATATTTCGCGCGATTAATCGCCAATTTTTTTTTCCTTCTCTTACAGTATTATGATGGGAGAGTCGATTATCGTCTCAAACACATCGATAAATAATAAAAAATACAAGAAACTAGAAATGGGTTATGTGCGTGCTACCACAGATTAATAGACAGATCGCCAAAGGTCTGGATGAAGGAGAGACCAGCATTTCTCACTGATTTCAGCGCCATATTGTAGTAGTGGTCAATGCAGTAACTATTAATACGTTCCCAAGATAAGAGCGTCTCATGCTCATGAACTCGTCCGGCGGCATGTACGAGATTTATCTTTTCGTAGCGTTCGCGTATTTCGGAAAGGACAGAATTTTATGATGTTATAAATAAATAAATAAATAAAATATTAACCTGACCTATTATAATTATTTTTTAATAAATGTTTCATTATTATTATCATCTAAGTCTAAGTCGTTTAATTAATTTTTAGTTTTTTAATAATTAATTTAATTTATTCTAATCATTTCAATATGTGAAAAATACTAATACGTATACGTTTTATAATGAATTAATATATTTCGAGAGTCGAATTATATATTTTTAATAATATAAAAGTGTTCAAAAATTATATTTGACTTTTAATTTTAATTATTTTAGCAAAGAGTTCCGAAATCTCTTACACACATAATAGGGATTTTGTTCATCCATATAATTCGCAATTAAGTATATATGTTAATTATTAATTTTAATAAAATACAAAATTAAAATTAAAGGTCAAATATAATTTTTGAACATAAATATATTTAATTTGTTATAAAACGTATACCCGTGATAGTATTTTTCTCGTACAAAAATAACTAGAATAAATTAAATTACTCATAAAAAAATAAAAAAATAATTAAATAATTTATATTTTATATGATAATAATAAAACATTTATAAAAAAAACAGATTCAATAAATATAAGTATACATATAACATGTACTTATATTTATTGAATCTGTTTTTTAATAAAATGTTTTATAAGCTTAGAAAACTTGACTTCGACGTAACTAGCAAATTTTATTTAATTATTTCACGACGGTTTGACGTAATAAAATGTTTTATTATTATTATATAAAATATAAGTTTAAATTCTTTAATTAATTTTTAATCTTTTATGATTAATTTAATTTACTCTAATTATTTTCGTACGAGAAAAATACTATCATGGGTATACGTTTTATAATTAATTTAATATATTTGTGTTTAAAAATTATATTTGACCTTTAATTTTAATTTTTATTTTATTAAAATTAATAATTAACATATATACTAAATTGCGAATATATGGATGAAAAAAATCCCCATTATGTGTGTAAGAGATTTCGAAACTCTTTGCTAAAAAATAATTAAAATTAAAAGTCAAATATAATTTTTAAACACTTTAATATTATTAAGAATATATAATTCGGTTCCCGAAATATATTAATTCATTATAAAACGTATACGTGATATTATTTTTCTCATATAAAAATGACTAGAATAAATTAAATTAATTATTAAAAAACTAAAAAGTAATTAAACGACTTAGACTTAGATGATAATAATAATGAAACATTTTATTAAAAAAAGATTCAATAACTAGTAGGTCAAGTTATAATTTTTTATTTATTTATTTATAACATTATGAGCTATTAAGCTCATCATCTCGTTCGCTCTCTGTCTTGCTTTCATTCGGCAAGTCACAAACGATATATGATACTCGTATGTTCCTACTTCAACTCTCGAGAATCTGAAACAAACGAAACTCGTGTCCAATATACAGGGTGTCCGGTAACTAACAGACCAATGATTACAAATGGATTCTTTGGTCAATTTGGGAACGATTTTTCTTCAGCGAAAATGTCGAAAAAGGTCATCATTTTTTACAACTTTCCAATCTTTGTCATTATATATCTTTATAACTAAGCCTTAAATTAAAATTTTATTATAGTAAACTCTACCTGAAATTAACTGAAGAATGTAATTATGTTAGACTTTTAACTCCAAAACGTTTAGTTTTCAAAAAACCTATTTTTTTCAATCGCTTATAACTCGAAAATTATTGACTTCTCTACATTTTTGCTAAGGAAAAATCGTCTCCAAATTGGCCAGAGAATCCGCCCTTAATCATTGGTCCGTTAGTTACCGGACACCCTGTATATATTATATAAAAGTGTATAGCACGTCAGAAGCTTGTGAGCTTACAGCGATAAGTAAAAACAATTGCGTATCTATTTCATTGCGTTTATCTGTTTAAACGCGCGCTTTAATTTTTTCAACGTTTTTGCCTGTTTATATTTTAAAGGTCCTCTCTTCTAAAAATCTTGTTTTAAAGATCCTCTCCGCGAGCAAAATTCGAAAACATAAATTATTTAATATTTTTACTTTATTATTTGTAAATCCTCGGTAATTTCAAAATTTTTCTATTTGAAAATTATTAATTTTCTATTGCCAATTAATTTTATCACAGACTTTACTCTTACTTCCATTGCACTTTCGTTTGCGGTTTTCAGTATACGATTTTTTATCGTAGTTACTGAAAATTATTATTGTGAATTATACTTGTGCAGTGATTTGAAGAATTTACAATTTCATTGAAATTGTTGATTCTTCAAAAAAATTACGAGATTCGCGGAAATTGCGTGCTTTCTTGGCATTTTCCGTTCGCGGCAGGCGGTTTATTTTTGATTGTTGCAAGTGTTTTTTTTTTTTTTTTTTATTAAAATAGATAATAATAATGTGAAATAAATCACGATATTTGACAGATGTGCATATATATAGAAATTGTAATAATAATAATATTATATCATAAAATTGTAAATTGTTTCAATTTTTTATAGACTGCGATAAAAGATTTTACATTTGGATAAGAAACTGCGGTAAGTAAAAATATAAAATTCTTGAAAACGTACCAAAAATATTTGATAACGTAAAAAGGTGAACTTTGAAAAATAAGGAACTTAAAAATTGCACTAATAAATGGGCTATATGTGAGCCGTGCGCGGATGTAAGGTGTGTTATATCGAAATTTAATTAATAGAATTGAGAATTAATCCCAATTTTAAGTCTTACAAATGTCCAAGCTAATTTTTTGTACCTCGTGTACATTTTTGAAAGTTATATAAAAAAATTAAATTTCAATATGCGTCTTACATCTCACATTTCGCATACGGCTCACATATAGCCTATTTATCTCTTATACTTTATTTCAACCCTTATAGAAATTTATTACTAGTAACGCCAATTTATCAATTTTATTTCGAGTAATTAATCACTTTTATTTCGAATACTTAAATTACTGTATATTATAGTATTTTAAATACTCGAAATAAGTGATTAATTGGCATAGTGATAAATTTCTACAAGAGAATAAGGAGCCTTTAAATTCTTAATGTAAAAAATTTCAAGTAATTTTCTTTAATAAAATTTAATTAAAAATTTTTGAACACTGTGTTATATCACATTTAAAATCGTGATTATTTCAATAAAAAAACATTTTATGTGTAAAAAATATATTTTTTATATTTAATAAATTTTATATATATATATATATATATATATATATATATATGCATATGTAAAATATTCTCTTTCTCTTTCTCTCTCTCTCTCTCTCTCTCTCTCTCTCACACACACACACACACACACACAACGGGGGCCAAATCTCTCAAATTGGTCTCATGATCAATTAGCCTGGATTCGCACCAGGGGCAAAGTCTGTTGGTAATGTCAAACGAATTTAACCTGGACTTGCACCAGGGGCAAAGTCTTTTGGTCGAGTCTACGAAATTTAGCACGGACTCGAACCAGGGGCAAAGTCTTTTGGTTCAAGTCTACGAAATTTAGCACGGACTCGAACCAGGGGCAAAGTGTGTCGGTAAGGGGCAAAGTCTATCGCACGAAGATGGCGGTCTATTCTTTAGGCAGGCCTTTGGCGATCTGTCTATTAATCTGTGGTGCTACGGTTTGAAAATCAGGCACAGATGTGTCTGTAGAGGAAACTTTCTTCTTTATGCGCGCGCATCTCGTGGACGGAAATGGATGTTCAAGCGTGTACTGCGCATATCCTTTTTTATATTCAAATTTCAAAATAGAGAAAAATTGTTCTACAGTATAAATTCATTGTAGGACAAAATTAAATTAATATATATATATATAATATTTTATAATTATTATATTATATAGAAAATATATGAAGAAAAAAATATATATACAATAGAAAATGTGCTTGAATCAAACCTGTGTTTATATGTATATTCCTATACAAATTATACAAATTATAACAATGAATTTTTAATAGTAGTTAATAAGTACAACTTATTAAAATTTAGCTAGTTAAAATGTCTAGAATTAATAAAATAATGTAATTTTATGCTGTGGATGCAAGGGAAAATTCTGCATATTTCTCCAGGAAAGTGAAAATTAATTTTATTAATCCTGTAACATAGAACTGTGTAACAAATAATACATATTCTTTCTGTGATAAGATCCAGCAATTTCTCATTAAATAATATACTAATAATATCACAGTTATTAAAAACAGTTGGCAATCTCTAATATCACAAATAATTAAAAACAATCATTTTTTCAGTCAATTATCAAATAGCAAATTTGATTGCATATATTAGTGCTTACTGATACAGATTACAAAACCTTCTATGCATTAATTTAGTCAAGTATAAAAACAAATACAAATAATCATGATAATATGTCCAATATGTATTTTTATGATAATTTAAATTAAGCATTTGCTATAATTATAAATTACACTCCATACTAATACATCTTATATTACTTTATTTATAATAGTCTTTAGCATCTATCATGCTTACTAGTACATCCAATCAAATTTGCTACAAGATTAAATCATCACAACGCCATTAAAAGAAATTAATATTTATATATGCATAGTATCGATCACCTTTCTTTCCACAGATTTGTTGACAAATTTTTATCACACTTCCTTAGCCATATTTTAACAGCATATAACAATTGGCAGCTGTTTAATATCGATACTAAAAAAAACCTAATTAAACTTTTATTTTTATTCGAGACTTTAAATAAGCAATTAAAATAAAATTTTAATAATATTACCAAGCTGTAAAAATAAAATAAGATTAATAATTTTTAATCTTCATTTTCTAAGCAGAAAATAAATTGCCAAGGAATTTGTTGCAAAGTAGTAATAGCAAAACATATAACAATAAAATATGAAAGTAGTAACAGTAAAGAATACTTTACAATTTTAACATTAAATTACTTTATAAAATATTAACATCTTTGGTCAAATATTGCATACAATTGTATGTGACGCAAACATCTTTAACTTGCACAACTTTCTCTACATTTTATTATATGTTGCATATAATAAAATGATTACTTATTCATTAAGATCATTCAATAAAGTATAATAGTTATAAACAAGGTTAATATAATATGTAATAATACATATATTACTTGTAATAATTTTGTCTAACTTTTCATAAAATTTATAAATAAAATTTTCATATTTATTGCATATGTAAAATAAAATATATAATAATTTAAACAAAGAAAAATTACGATTTTGACTTTTGAGTCATTGCATCTTAATATTATATAGGAACTCATTCTTATTAAATATGTTAATTTGTAAAGTTAGCTGTAAATGCATTAAAATCGGCAAAAAATTCAAAGCTTTCTTTAGCTTTACTGATTGTGTTAAATATGTAAATGGATGGACTCACTATATGCAACAAATACATTATTAAACATATAAATTGACAAATAAATTGTCGACTTACAAACATTAATCGACTATTATTCACTTGATAATATAGTGTGATATACACTATCATATCAATGTTTTTCTTTATGCTATGTAATTTATTATTCCTTGTTTTTTGCATTTTTCTTAATTACTTATAACTTTTATGTCAGACCTTAATCTGTGCATCCAAACAAATTCACTATAACTAAACATGACACATTTTAAACATCATCGAAAAGATTATTACATATTATTGATCATATAAGAAATTAATAAGTTGTGCTTCTGTATGGATAACTGTTTCCATAGTTATCGCCACCCCCATAATTTTGAGGCACACTTCCCTGTCCATAGCTTCTCTGCGTGGTATATCCATATGCCATGCTTTGCTGACCTAAAGAAGAGCTTTGTTTCATACTGCTATAATTATTATAATCCGACCCTGTATAAACAGTCGAAGAAGATTGATAAGCACTTCCACCACGAGAAGAACCTCTTCCTCTTGTCGAAGTACCTCCTCTTCCTCTAGCATCGTTATTTCCTCTCCGACTATTACCTCTTTCAGTCCCATTACCAGCAGAAGTGCCGAAACGTTTTGCACCTTATAATAATGTAGATATGAAATTGATTAGTAAATATATAATTAAATTTCTCTATTTTAGATTTTTCCCTCAATTCTTCAGTTCTTTTTGAGTCTTTTATTCTAATAATACATACTTGGAACAAAATATACAGATATTATATATAAATTAATGTATAATTTCGTATAGTGGCACGGTAAATGCGAGAAAATTTAAAATGTCTTTTTTTAGGATAGAGAAATTTAATTTTATTATAGAAACATACCTCTGCCGCTGAAATTTCCAGCCTTGGCCATTTCTGCCATTTCACTGAGACGTGGATTAACATTCTGTCCAGCTTCTCGTAACACTTCTATCAAATCTCCGGCGTGCTTCATATTGTGGCTCGTAAAAAAAGCATATGCCGTTCCAGTTTGTCGTCTACGTCCGGTTCGACCGATTCTATGTATGTAGTCTTCCGATGAGGATGGATAATCGAAATTTATCACGTATTTCACATCATCCACGTCTGTGAAAATGTCATAGAAAATATCAGAATTGACGATATAAATAAACAATGATTTTATACGATATACTTTTTGCTATATAATGTATAAAACATATATTTCTCAAATAAAAAATATATTTTAATTCTTTGTTGATGAGCATATAAATTTACATATTATTTATATCATAATATTATCAATTGTACATAAAAGTTTATCAACGTTTATGGTGTTTGTATACATGAATAGATATTATTAGAAAGTTGTTGGAAAATAAAATAAGAAAAAAAAGAGATATAATGTTTATAATAAAAAATGTATTTTTACATATGAAATAATTAAGTGTTTCTATTAAGATATATAAAAAGTATAATGTTATTTTAATTAAATATTATTGATATGAATTTTTGCCTAACAATTTAGTCAATAAAATAGATTTTTTAGCCACCTACCTTAAAAATTCCGATGTGAAATCAGCAAGAACGACCCTGTTTGTTTTTAAAGTGTGGGGCAATTCTGGTTGCTTTCTTATGGTAAAATATTGGTTGCCTAGAGATTAGACAGACACAGCGGTTGTGTCTGGTTTGGGATAGAGGCAGCAATTTAGGGTTTAAGCCTGAGTGCATTAGTTTTGATTGGCATTGTATGACAATTCTTTAAATTTGGGCAGTTAAGAGGCACTTGAATAATTTAGTAATTGCACTTTTCAAGTAATCACAATTATATAAATTGTGTTTGTATATTTAAAATCATTTTATGTATGCAAAAGAAAATCATTTGGTCTTTTAATATCTCTCATTGCAGGAAATAATATTTAAACACAATACATTTTTAACTGTCATATGTCATTTAATGTGTATTAAATGTCATATGATGTATGCTATTATAGAGTTTATTTTGCTATTCTGCAATGATGAGAAAATTAAAATAGAAATTAAATTATACATGAATCTATCCTTGGAAATTGTAAAATATAAGCACAGGAAAATAAAATAGTCACTGTGTCTGCCCAATACTGGCAGTACACCGCGTTGAATTAGGGTACTCTGTGCCTCTGAAAAAGAAAAGCAGACAGACTTAGTGGTAGCTTGTGTGCATTTTTTAGAACCTGTTCTTATATATATTATTATATCAAAATATTAAAATTCTTTCAACATTGAAGCTAACATATAGAAAAAAATATGAGTAGTTCACAGTTATAAATTAAATATAGAGATATATAGAAAATATTTTTTTAATTTTTGAACAATAATAAGAAATATAGATTTGTTAAAAAAATAATTACAACATTAAAAATAAAAATAAATTTAAAAAATAAAAATAATAAGAAAAAAATAAGTTAATAAACAGGAAGAGATTGTTTAAAATATACATAATTACAGAATAAAATATTGTATGTAGAAAGGCATATAAAACCATATAAAAATGTTATAAATATTTCAAAGTTAATAATAATAAAAAGTTCCAATGCATCACACACTGCTACATACACACAGCTGTCGGCTAGCCTCACTCTAACAACGCATCACCGGCTAATCCAATAAGTGTTGCCAATACCCAGTTTAACCGTAATTCCTCTAATGCAACCTACACTAAAGTATAGCCGAATAAATAGAGTTCACTTACCCAAACCTCTAGCAGCTACATCGGTCGCAACCAATATCGGTGCTCTTCCACTCCGGAATTCTTGTAACACGTGATCTCTTTCCTGTTGATTTTTGTCACCGTGAATACTCAGGGCTTGCCATCCTTCACGTCTAATATTTCTCGTGATATCGTCCACTTTACGTTTAGTCTCCACAAATATAATAGTTTTATTTTCTTTTTCAGTACCAATTTCTTGAAGCAATCTATACAACTTCGAGTCTTTCTCATACTCCTGACAAACGTCGATGATCTGAGTGATATTGTGATTGGCCGATAGAGTCAAAGAGCCGATATTAAGATGAACATAGTCCGTCAAGAAATCCTCCGCAAGAGCACGCACTTCTTTAGGCCACGTCGCTGACCACATTAAAACTTGTCTGTCGGGACGTATCTGCTCAATTATTTTTCGTATCTGAGGTTCAAATCCCATGTCTAACATACGATCTGCTTCATCAAGCACTAGATACGTACATCTGACAAATAAAGTAAAATGATATTTAAATAATTGTATTTTTCTAATAATCTATCAGAATATATATAAATCATTAAAATTTAAAATTATATACATACCTACGTAAATTTGTAGTCCCTCTCTCTAAGAAATCTATAAGTCTACCTGGAGTAGCAATGCATATCTCAATGCCTCTCTCCAAATCATGTGCTTGTGGTCCTTTTGGCGCACCACCAAAAATACATGTGTTTCTAACAGCTGCAGTTTCTCCAAAGCAATTAGCTACTTCTTGAATTTGTTGAGCTAATTCTCTAGTTGGAGCTAAGACCAAGACAATTGGACCATCTCCATTGGTTAAGCGTGGTTGATGTATGATATGCACAATTGCAGGTAAAATGTACTGAAAAAAATGTTTAATATTCTACATATATATTTTTATTTATTCAAATTATATAAAATCAATGTTATGAAGCTATTTGCTGTAAAGATATTTACTATTAGATATATAAAAAATATAAGAACAATAAAATTGTTTACATTTTCTAAGATTTATTAGATAGACTTAAAATTGTTAGAAAACAAATTTTTATTCTACTTACTCCAAGTGTCTTTCCGGAACCAGTTTGAGCAATTCCAACAAGATCTCTACCACTGAGAGCAATAGGCCAACCTTGCGCTTGAATTGGAGTAGGCTGTGAGTATCCTTGTCTACGAATACTCTCCATTACATAGGGTGGAAAATTTCCCTCTTCAAAGTATTGTACAGGATTAGGAACATTTTCTCCTTTTACAGTTATTTCTGCAGTCTTACGAAATTGATTAACTTCTTCATTAGACCTAAATTAAAAATTTTAAATTCAACATATGCACATATTGTGTATTTATTACATACAAATTATTTAAAATTAAAATACCTATTTCTGACCGCAGAATGCTCTATATAAAAATCTTTGCGTAATGGTTCTAAAGTACGAAGATCCCAGTTCACTTTCCTTAAACCACCACCAGGTTGCTTTCCCTTTAATCCACCTCGTACATTACTAGCACTTCCCCTGCCGAGTGTTGGAAATCTGCTAGCAATCTGTCCACGTCCATTATCGCTGCCTCCTCTGCTAGTGCCACCACGACGGCCTCTGCTCTGATCCCGATCACGATTAAACCTGAACATATGTATGCTTTTAGAAAACTATTTTTGATAAAAATATGTAATAAAGTCTATATTCAATAAATCATAGGTTTCTTTAACTAAATTTAAAAAAATAAGTTGATAAAAATTTCAGTTTGTAAGCTCTAATCATTCAAACCATCTTAGCATCAAGCACAGACAATACTTTGAATATAATTTACATAAGTATAATAATTTCCATGTATGCCTTATTTTTTATTACAGACTAAATTAGAGTCTGTATTAAAATATGTGGCATCTATATTAAAAACTGCCTGATTATTATGTACAAACTGTTAAAAGGTAAATCAATTGAGATTGATTTTTATAAAATATTAAAGAAGAAAATATAAAGATTATTTTATCAAGAAATTTCTATTGTCATAAAAAACAATGTAATTTCATTTAATATCCTTTTTATAGATAGGATATTCCATTTTCGAAGGCAGTCATGGATCTCTCAATGAAAATAAAATGTAAACGCGCATTTTTCTGCGAACAAATCACGAAAATTCAACGAGAAAAATTCGATCCGCATGTCGCGATCGGACAAGCAAGAAAATATCAATTTCCGAGCGGTCAATATCACACACGAGCTTCCGTTATCGATTAACATTTCGCAACGAGATAACCGCACAGCGGCAATATTCATCTACGAAGAATTTCATAACCATCCCGGGTGTTCCAAAAGATTACTGATTGTCGAGAGCGATTATTTCGTCCCTCGTACGACATTGTCATCGTGTACTTACATCGAAAAGCGCGAGTATCTTCTTACGAATAGAGGACGATTCCACGAGAAGAAGATTCCAGTCGAACCTGATTCGACTTGGACGTGTATCTACGGCAGAATTTGGAATCGTTCGTAAAAACCGGGGACTCTCGAGGCTGGATCTTGGCGATTCGGAAAATTTCAAAGCCGACCGATTTTTACACGTCGAAAAAAAAACTCTCGCCGTCCCGATCGAGTTTTGTCCGCCCGCCACCGGCAAATCGACGGATCGAAATTAAAACGGAGGAACTTCCGCAAGTAGTTCCGTGTAAACCGTTTCCATGGTGACCGCGGCGGAGTGATACGCGGACACTTTCCCCTCTGCAGCCGAACACGCTGCGGGTGATCCGTTTCCGGCTGAAATCCATATTCGCGATGATTCGCGAAGATTCGCGATGACGCACGAATCTGTCAGATGGAACGGATGACAGATGACGCGACAGTCGCGTTTCCAAGCCGGTAAATCTAACAAAATAATCGGATCGGATTCAGAAAATAATATTGAAATGTAAAAATTAAATGAGAATTTTTTTCAAAATTGCTCTTTTTTACACTTTCATGCAAATGCGCACGTAGAACGGAAATTGGACAGTTCGATCTTGACGGTACGTGTAGGTAAAAAAAAAATAAAAATAACCTTGACGAATTTTTTATGTCGCAAATAAAGATCTCAATGGCTTCAAATGCCAGGAACTATTATATTTATTGCTATAAAATGATTCGCACGTGCAAATATACCTATAAATACTGCCCTTTGTTTTTTTTTATCTTTATCTCTGTTATATGACAGGTGACGTGTTGATGCTGATTACGGGGCAAAGTCGAATGAGCGAAAGTTCGTAATAAGCATGCCTTTATAATTGCATCGTGCTGGAAATTGGAAGAAATTAATTACACGGAATTACACAATCCAGATCGCTTCCTCTAGGAGCTGAACCGATACGAGGCCGCTAATCATTGGCTAAGCCATGAACGGAAGAACGATAAGATTAGCTAAGTGTAGGTTCCTCCACACATGCATCATTATTTATTAAAGTAACGATATTGTACTTTAAAAAAAATTGCGAGGACTGCTCGACGATGACGGAGCACGAGCAAAACGCGATGTTCGTGCGGGTGATGTCGGCGTTCTTTTACGGCTTGTCGTCGTTCATGATAACAGTCGTCAACAAGACCGTCCTCACGTCATTCGCCTTTCCGTCCTTCCAAGTGCTGGGGATTGGCCAAATGTTGGCAACAATCCTGGTGTTGTTCGTCGCCAAGAAACTACGTTATGTCGATTATCCTAGTCTGGAGGTGACGACGTTCACTAAGATATGGCCCTTGCCGTTGATCTACATCGGCAACATGATATTTGGACTGGGTGGTACCAAGCAGCTCAGCTTACCGATGTTCACCGCCTTGAGGAGATTCAGTATCCTCATGACGATGATAGCAGAGTACTACATCCTTGGCATTAAAGCACGCCTGTCCATTCAGTTGAGCGTTTACACCATGATTCTAGGAGCGGTGGTAGCTGCCTTGAACGATCTTGCCTTTAATCTTGAAGGATATATTTTTATCCTGTTGAACGATTTTTCACCGCCGCTAATGGTGTTTACGTGAAAAAGAAGTTAGACTCTAAGGAGTTGGGGAAGTACGGACTGATGTATTATAATTCTCTGTTTATGCTGGGCCCAACAATCCTGTTGGCCTGGTGGATGGGTGATATAGCCTTAGCGTTAGAATTTCCCGATTGGTCGAATCTGTTATTCATTTTACAGTTTATGTTATCTTGTATAATGGGCTTCATATTGTTGTATAGCATGCTCTTATGTACACTGTATAACTCTGCATTGACCACCACTATAATCGGATGCTTGAAGAACATATGTGTAACGTATCTTGGTATGGTCATTGGTGGAGATTATATATTTTCCTGGCTGAACTTTGTAGGATTGAATTTAAGTGTGATAGGTAGTTTAGTATACACTTGGGTAACGTTCCGCAAAAGGGAAACTTCGCAGCCAAAGTATACTCTGTTGACTGAATCTCAGACCTGTAAGATACAGGCTGTATGATTGTAAATTTTTACTTTGTAGATGCCTAACATGTACAATACAGGGAAGTTATTATCTTCAAGAAGCATGTAATAGCGATCTTTGTTTAGATACAAGAAAAATTAGTAATATATGCGGTTTTTTTTATTCTAAGTAAAGCTCAAGATGATGACCAATTATATCATTAGCCATAATTTTATATAAATATCTCTGTTCCTTATGATATGTGTCACAAAGCGCCGATAACCTGACTGTAATATGTACCAAAGTAAAAAAAAAAGTATTGTTACCAGATAAGTATTAATATTAGCAAATATAATAGGAAAAACGTTCAGGTCAATTAAGGGTACAGAGTATCGCCATGATAAAAGTTAGTTGTAATATCTGTATGTATAATTTGTATATATGAAACACGGCTATTCTAATGGAAATAAATTTTATCTATTAACGAGAAAGAACGCAGATGAAACTTCACTCTTTCCTCGCTCGGTTTCAGGCCGTTTCGCGACCGCCTCGACACGCGAGACCTTTCTGGAGGATTATGCCAAACATCATGTATCCTTATCCTCCCTGCAACGTCTACTTCTCACGGCGGGCTCGGCGGCGATATCGTTGGCGAATCCGTTTCGAGGTGACATGATAGCGTGTCTCGGAGAAACCACTGGTACAAACGCCCTCGTACACTGTCATCGACAGATGAAGGAAACCGCTGAGGGTCAGCGTATACTCGCGCAAAAGCCACGCGTAAACACGTCCACCGTTGATCTCTCTTATCTCGGAGACCTGCCACCAGGAACCGTAGGCAGAACGTATCGCGATTTTTTGGACAACAACGTAAGATATGAATCCTTTTTTTTTCTTCGTTTGGAATAGCTCTTTCCTGAATAGGCGACTCTGAATTACATGCAGAATGTATCCCCTGACGATAGAACAATGGTACAATTCGTCGAGGACACCGAGCTGGCCTACGTGATGCAACGGTATCGAGAAGTGCACGATATCTTCCACGCTATGCTTTTAATGCCGACGACGATGCTGGGAGAGGTGTCGGTTAAATGGGTAGAGGCTCTACAGACGCATCTGCCGATGTGCATAACCGGTGCAATATTCGGAGCTAGTCGGCTACGTTCTAGGTAAATTAACATGCTGGATCCCAGATAGCTACAGTAATTATTATGACATCAAAATAACGTAATTTGACGTCAAAATGACTACTTTTGCTATCTGAAATGAATGCTCTATATGTTATGGCTTGCTTATGATTATCGCCGAGTTAACGCGTTATCATATTTTATGTAACATTTCAGACAAAGACGATTGTACTTAGATTATCATCTCCCATGGTCTATAAATACAGGATTGAACGCAAAGTTCTTGTTAGGGATTTATTACGAGGAGCGTTGGGAACAGTCTCTCGAGGATTTTCACAGAGAGATGAATATCACACGTCTCGTATGATGAAAATTTAGTCAGTCGAGAAACAAAATTGTTAATAATTACTGTAAATAATTTATCAGTTATTATATAGTTGTGATAAAACGAAAAATAAAATTCTGGTAAACGTTCATCTCCTTACAGTTTTAATTTCGCTAAACCTTTCAATTTTCTAAGTTGTGTAATTTTAAATAAAGTGTGCTTTATAATTTTCTGTTTAAATTTGGATAATCGTCGGATCAGTTTCGAAAGCAACACACATTATTGATATTACAAATTTGATTTAATTAAACGTTACATCTGTTATAAACATATATAATCTAAAATTGTACGTTTACCATAATCGTTATTATCGTCGTTGTTGTTCCAATTAGCGTAATTGTGATGATTCTCATCTTTTGCCTTTTTTGCTCCTTCTTTTTTCATTATTTTCTTAGTACTAATTGCGTTTTATATACACAGGGTATATCTTAAAATGGAAGATGATCTTTAGAAACATTATTATATCTATTGAATAAAAAATATGCGAATCTATCTTCTGTGAAACGCATTTTTTATAATTATAATATTATTTTTGGCACAAAAAAATTTCGTTTACATATATTTTCTTAAAACGGAAAAATTAATAACGCGATCCGCGAAAGAATGCATGCGTTTTAAGATACATCCCGTGAATTATGAATATTTTTGAATAAAAACGAAAATCTTAGCTTTTAAGATATATATATGTGTATATATATATTGTAAGAAAGGATATATTTATATGAAGAGTATTTCTATTTAAAATTTTTGCGCCATCGCGAAATTTGATTAAAGATTAAACGATTCGTCTTCCTCCTAAGATAGATAAGCTGAATCGATCAAATACGAGTATATTATCATATTATTTCGTAAAATAAGTATATATAAATAGATGAGCAAAACTGATTGTCATTATTCGAGCGTAATTGAGTATTACGTTCGTATTTTATGCCGTTCTTCATTAATATTATTTTGCTTCGACTACACGCAACGAATTCTATACGACAAATATAAAGTATACCCAGTTGTGACAAAATACGACTAAGCCTTGCGCAAAATCTGCACCAAAATTACGACGAACTTTGCTACAAATCTTGTCTGTAATCGTGATTTTTCTACGATTGATTCTGGGTAATATATAGATATAGAAAAAATGGAACAATTTTTTTCTCTTAAGAGTAAAAACGATAATGATTATCACATATATATAAGCGTAGGAAAGAGAGATATGTGTAAAGTAATAAATTAGTAAATAGATGAATATTCGCGCGCGAAATCACATATTTCTCTTGAATACTGATTGATTACGGGGAAGTAATCAATGATAGATACTATCTTCAAAGATTATTCCTCGATTTTGTACGAGAAAACTGCGATTATCCGCCGCATTTAAGTTTTATCATTATGTTAATTAACCTACACTTATATTTTAATCAAAATTAGATAAATCTAGTTGAGCAGTAATATTTTAGTGGCCAGAGAGCATCCCATACCTTGATGTACTGTTTAGGCATTCGACGACTCTTCGACTCGATGTATCAGGTTATCGGCAATTGAAAGTTCGAGCCACACATGCAAAAGCGATCAAGAAAGCAATCATTAGGATGCTTCTCAGCTGATTGTAATCGATTTGGTCCGCGCCGCTGTTGCTGCTGCTGCTAATGATGATGATGAGCATGGATCGTTTTCCGTTTACGCTCTCGCAGAAATGCGTTCGCACACTTTTGCGCACAAAGTTAATCCAGAGTCAACTTGTTGAGGTAGCAGTGAATCTCCTGGAAACTTGGCCGGTCCTCCGCGCGTTTGCACCAACATCGCAGCATCAGCCTGTACAAGTCGTCCGAGCAAAATACTGGCTGCTCCAAGATCCGCGGACATTTCCTTTTACCGCTGTCCAATGAATGATACCACAGGCCACAGTTCTCCAATACTTGTTCTGAAGTCAGGTCGGCATAGGGTACGTCTTCGCAGCGCGTCAAAACTTCCCAAATTGTCACGCCGTATGACCAAACATCAGATTGGCAACTTCGTTTTCCCTTTGTACATATAGATAGACCGGAAAAATTATTCTCTTATCATTGATTTAAATATTACGGAATTTGCGGGTAAAAAGTAGTCAAATATCTCAAAACAAGACTGATCATTCTAATTATAAAGAAATTACCGATAAGACCGCTTCCCATGCCATCCAACGTAACGGTATCTTAGCGTAACACTCATCAACGTAATATTCATTGTCATATTTACTGCAATACATGGCTTGGTCGGACACTTTGATCAGCAGATCTTTACAGACTATGCAATTCCTGCAAGGCAAATCATATTAATGCATGCAATACACATATTTCAATTTATTAATAAGTAAATAATAGTAAATTAATTTATTATATAGTTGTTACCTGGCTGCCAGATCGCAATGTGGTACGTTAAAACTCTCGAGATACTTCATACCCGAAGCGATTTGCGTGATGAGATTTAAGGAGCACTCGTAACTGTGGAATTTATTATCGCATAAGAGAGTCTGATAAAGAAAATAGATTCGAAAGCTTTAATCAAATACGACCTTACCTTGTTGGCGCGTCGCGGTCACGATTTTTAGAAAACTGGATAGATCTCCGAGTTCTCCGTATTCGAAGATGGCACTAAAAGGTTCCTCTTCAACGATCGCGATTATCCTGGCGATGTTAACGTCGCGAATTTCAGCCAGGATGCGCATGTCATTCATAAAGTCCTCTCTAAATCGATTTTCGTGGAAAATTCAAATATTTCAGAAGTTCATTAAATAAAATAACAGTGTTTTACCTTAGAGCGTCGACGACACCGCGCCACAAAGATCGGACTATCACTACTTGACGATTTTGAAGGATACCTAAATCCGGATTTTGTATGCCTTTCGCTTCGCACAAGTGAATCTACTCAAATATATATATTGAAATAAATACATGTATATATATTTTGTTGAAAATTTTTAAAAAGTTAAATAGCAAAGAGGGAGAGACAATTAAAAGACATCTAAATAAGCATATATACCGATTAAACTTACCAAACCAAAGTTTCCCTCGCCGAGTTTATCGAGAATTCTTAATCTATGTCGAGAGATACGTGGAACATCATAAATTCCGCGTTGGTACGATACGACAGAATCCCGAATGAGCAGCGGTGTGAAGAGACTTACAGTTGGATGCTGATCGCGTCTTTTGATCTATAACATACCGTAATACTGTATCGAGTATTGCATTCACAATTACAAAATTATTTAAATCTCCGTTATGTCGAATGTACTGCGAACATATTCTTACCGTCAAGATGTCTGTAGCCGCGTAATAACTTTCGTATACCCTCTGATTGATTTTTCCCGTTTGCGAAGAATTCGGTTTCATTGTTGGAATTATACATTCTACTCGCGTTTCATCATTAAAGTTTTCGTTGTTTTTAGTATCTAAAACACATGCGGAAATCATGATAATGTTATGTAAAACAAGTATACAAAACGCTCGAGTGAATGCGAGCTGCATTAATTATTCGGTAATATTATATATACCTTATATTAATTATAATTTGGATTTTACTAATTAATGTATTTATATTAATGGATATGAAATTAATCATGAGTAAATTGAATTCCACCAAGTTGAAACAAATATAAATTATAAAATGACAAAGACGCAAGACTTAATTAAGCATATTCTAATTATAGGATGATTATTAGATTGTGATTATACATATATACACATACACATTCTATTATCTTTTAGTTAAAATATAAAGTAAAATATAATAATAGACTCTCCTTCTCTTTCTTACTGTACACGATCAATATTAAAGCTAATTATTAATATCATTAATATATAATCAATTGTACGTACCAAACTGTTCTGTTTTATAATTGGATCTCGCTTCGCATTTCATATACTGCTCCGAGGGTATTTTATCAATTTTCTCGTAAGTATTACGCTGTCCATTCGTCCCGATGTCGCCGAATTTGTAATCGTTGTTCGAGATCTTGCTCTTCAACGACAATCTCGATTGCGATAAATTGTTCACCACGATCGGGGTCGGTAATTTGATATCCTTCGTATTGATCGTGATACCCGATGCCGGCGAGCCGCACAGTAGAGCGGTGTGTTTTTGCAGCAGAGCCACTTTGTTGCGACCCCTCTGCTTCATCAAAAAGATTGTGCAACTCGAGAGAAAAACGAGCATGGTTAATGCTGCGCTAATCAATCCGATATATGTTGGCGAATTGTTGACAGGAAAGGCATCCGGTGTCAAATTTGACTCATTCAACACCGATATTGTTCGGTTCGAATCAGTTTTTCCAGTTATTGTACGTCCGTGCGAAATAATAATCCCTCCCTCGTCGCCAGCTACACCTCTGATTTTGTTCTCCAATTGAGTCTCGTCATTTTCCTCCTTATTCTGTTTGTCCTCAATCTGCTTTATCTTTGTAATCTGGTCCTCATTGGTTGCTTGAGATATGTTTTCATTGTTGCTCGAATATATCCATAATAATCGTTCCAATGTTTTATCAGTAATGTTCTTTGTGTCTGGAACTGAATTATGTTTAAAATAATATTTGGATAATTATTTTAAGTTTTTGCGAATATATATCATAATCCAAATAGCAATAGTAATTATTGGGGGAAGTGAAACTAGAAAGATTACCTGTGTCGAATGTGATTTCGCTTAGCAATAACCATTTCGATCTAAGTTTTAATTCTATCTTGACAAATTTGCCGATTCTCGATTGCAAAGGAATAGATATCGAGATGCTGTTTCTGCTTCCGCCACTTTTCTCGTTGCTACTGTTGGGGTTCGTCTTAGAGCCATTAAAAATTTGAAATATTTCTGGTGTCAAGTGATAATCCTTGCCGTTCGATGAAAACCAGAAATTTGCCATCGAGAACATCTAAAAATTATTGATGTTACAACGAGTTAAGAATCAATTTCTCAATAGAGCCTATTTCTCGCATAATCGCGCACCTCAACACTTAAATCGGGCAAATCAGCCACATGAATCGTACAGTTTTTAAACTTCTGAAAAAATCGGAACTCAAAAAACAATTCTACATTGTCGCGATCGCGCCATCCGACCCAATTGGTTATTCTATTGGACTCGAGGATCTCAATTCCGCTGCCAATTATGCCGTCTGTTAATTGTCCTAATCCATTCAACATTAAATTATCGATCTCGGTGCCATCGTACGATATATCCTCGATGTTACATCCGTTAGGTCCAATTTTACCAGCTTTAGGCATAGCATAATTAGCGATGTTTTCTGCACAAAATAAAGAGAATTATTTTTTATATCTTTGCATGTGTGTAGCGGAAATTGAGTTTATTTTTTGTTATTGTATTTTAAATATTATATTTTTCAAATATATATTTTTTTATCTCTGTTATCTATAACAATCTTCAACGCGCACGCTTTCATAATTCTATTGTATTTTCTATAATATAAATTGAATTATAAAATATGTTTGTTAATTTAATTATAAAATTTTATAAAAAAGAGAAAAATGTACTCGAATAAAATTATACATTATATATTAAAATATATATTTATAATACATTTATATAATTACTATATTTATATAAATTTTTAATATTTTAATGTATAAGTATATTAATATATTATGTGTATTTATTTAAATATATTTTAATATTATTTAAATAATATATGTATTTTAATGATATTTAAATATTAAATATTATTTAAATAAATACACATAATATATTAATATACTTATACATTAAAATATTAAAAATTTGCGAGAATAGATTCGTATATAAATGCGAATATGCAGATGATAAACAAGATTTTAAAAATCGTATACTTACGGTTCCAGATGCAGCCATAAATTTCGACACGCATACACACAGTGCGTGGATGCTGACTATAAGGAACAAATCTCACTCGACTCGCGACGAACGGTAGATCCAACTTCTGCTTCTCGACTAGATATGTATTAGTATTACCGCGCAAAATCTGTGTAACATAATTCGAGATATTATAATAATTTTTGAGCCGATCTTTATATTAATTATTTCATTAGAATCAGGCACACATATATGCAGAGCATACCTTGTTCCCTTTCAAATCTTTATACTGATGCCATTTTTCGTGCCGCCAATATTCAAGAAAAACGCCTCAGCATATTCCTGACCCTGACCATTTCCGAATCGGCCTTGAGTCTCGGTCCACGTGATAAGATGATCTCTCGTTAAATCAATTTCCAGATATTCGCGTATAGCACTACTGATTTGAGCTTTCGGACACCAAGCACCACCGTTCTTCTCCTGCCGTATTCTATGAATATTTATAAATTAATAATTAACTTTCGTATGTAATTATTACATACGTATCGTTTCAATTTCTGTACCTTGCATTTTGAGGACCCACGGATTTCATCTCGTAACTGGATGACGCCGTGATCGCTTCATCCGGGATTCTTCCTTCTTCCATGCCAAGGGGAAGAATGCATTTTTCTGAAATCATCATGGCGTTATTATATTTTTGATATTTTATATTCAGTATATTCATATAATTTTTAAGCAAGAAGCTAAATAGCATTTATTTTGATTAGTAAATGTACAAAACGTAAAAATAAAATAAATATGAATATATATGAACAAATAAATAAAATATGTATATATCTATATTATTTTTATCTAGAATTCTATTTTTATTATTATCTATTGTCATTATTATTAATATTATTTATTTGATTGTAATTTATATATTACAATTAATCTTCAATAAATAAACTAGAGAAATCCTTTTGATTACTTCTCTTATAATAATTCTAAAAATTAAGTTAAAAAAGAGAAAATAAATTATTTCATCAAAAGATCTTATACATAGATCTCACGGCTTATAAAAATACACATGTATATACATATAAAAATAGATCACTGTATAAAAGGAATATTAATATAATGGAATATTAATAATTAATAATAAAATTATAGAGCAAATTAGCGATATATTTACCAAGAGTATTTCCGAAGGATCCCTTTGTACGCCAGATGAACAGCATTAGAATTCGTATGAAAAGATGTACTGGCTCCATGATATGTTACGATAGCGCAGCGCGTATCGATAGCCCGAATGCATTTACAAATCATAATATAATTCGAGGAAATCTCTCATCGCGTTCTCCCCCGCGAATGTCGCGCGGTGTGGTCGTAAAAAATACAAAAAAAGAAAGAAAGAGACGCAATTAACGAGACTACAATGCTCACGAGGATAATGCAGCTTTTCGCTCACACAGGGTGGGGATGTTGATACTCGGCGTAGCTTGGCCCGGCTGTTGTCTCTGCGCAACAAGTATGGAACGATCAATATGCGTTATTTCGCGGGTGGGCGAAATTCCGCGTATTTCGCTAATCTTTTTTTCACCCCTAAAACGAATGAGAGTATTCGCTCTCGATTCTTTCTGAAAGCAGACCGAGTTTCCCGCATACGCTCGTTGAGATTTTTAAGACTCTGATCCTCTCTGATCCCTCGATATTCTTACTGATATTCGAAAAAGAAGTCGCCGATCCTCGGAGACTGGTCTCATAATTTAAATGGAGCACGTGCGTCGCGTCAATAATAAGCCTCTTTCAATCCTCCAGCTTGGCGCTTCAACAGTTTTGCTCGGCTCTCATTTTCCCGGTTCTCTATCATACGTGGAAAATGTTTTCACGATGCATTCCGATGATCACACGCACACTTTCGCAACATCCGCGCGAACAAAAGGCAGTTCGCGGCATTACAGCCACCACAATATCGCGGAAGGAAGGACCTTATATGGGGATGATGTGTGATAACGCTGAGGGGTGTGACGTTTTGATAGCCAATGGCGATAGCAGCGGGGTTCCACTGCGCAAAATCATAAAATTCTCGGCAATCAAGATGCTTTTTCGCAATATGGATATCGAGAAAGCCTGTTAATGAATTTTAAATGCATCAAGTTATTTCCTGAAATCAGTTTTAATTTTATATAAGCTATACATTATATATGTTTGTATACATATATGTGTATATATGTACATACATAAAACTTTATTTATTATTAACAAAATATATGTATCAAGAGACACGGTAGTGTCTCGCGACCAGTTAAGGGCGTAGCCGAGACACCGTGTATCTTAACGCGAGTCGGACATTTGAGTCTTTATAATATTTCGAATTCTCAATAACGGCTGAAGCAATCGAGTTTATACTAGACTTAATCGATAGATTGAGTTTGAATTATATAATAAAAGTGTCTTTATTTCTGCTCTACGTGATTTGTAAGCAGAGATATATAATTGCAAAGTCAAAATATGAAAAATTTCTTTTAAGAAACGTCCCCGTCATCATCATTATTATATTATCATCATCGACCACGCAAACATAGTAGTATCGTGCTACACGTATTCACACGTATACAACACATGCGCACACATATATCACACGTACACAACACATGAATAGATGCATGTATTGGAAATGTCCATCTCGCACGTTTTACAACAGACGGCGATAGTTGCCCTCCGCTATATTGACAGCGTGCGGGGTTAGATATTTTCAATTTTCAATTTCAATTTTTACATTCAATTTTAATGTTATTATTTGCAAATTTATTGTCATAATAATTTATGTGCAAGTTTACAGTCTGTGATACAAAATCAGATATTTTGCTATTATTTCAATAATATTTCAATTATATAAATGCCTATGTATGAGTATGCATATATTTTTAATAATTTTCTTAATTAGCTTCTATATTTTTTTCAGTTGTACATCAAGCAGGTAGCATTATCAGCTCACTTGTGAGCATGGGTTGGGCAATGGCTAGTTATCATCGCAGCATTCGATTAGCTTAACAAGATAAATCTAATATCAGTGCTATAGGAACTATTTTACAATTTTTCTGGCATTTTCTTATTGCAGGTACATATATATCCAATAATTAATATACAAAATTAAATATTATTCATCACACACTTTGTATCAAAATAATATATTTTTTAAAATTTATTTAATCATTTTTATCATTGTGATTGTAGTGGCAAGGATCTTATTGCTCAGTGTCATTGCAAGCATCTGGCCTGTATATACCATAATATATTGCGTAATACATTGGCTAAGTATGACAATATAGATTTTGATAGATTCCCATGGAATATTGGAATTTTGTCGGACTTACAGTCATCCACCACATATGCAGCCTACAATTAAAGAACGCATTTATTCCATATGATTTGCTTCCGTTATTGGAATATTTAAAATAAAAATTTTATTAATAAATTTCGATGAAATAATTTATAAGAGGTTGAAGAAACTATGAAACAAATTCAGTCTCATAAAAGGGTAGTTGGAACAATAGTGGTGAATGCAGAAGGTATTACATGAGATCATTGACATGATTTACTTGTAGTTGTAAACAAAAATTTATAAAATTATATCTGTTTTAGGTATTCCTATAAAGTCAACATTAGATAATACGACAACAGTTCAATACGCAGGTTTGATAAGTCAATTGTCAGATAAAGCTCGTTCTGTCGTACGTGACTTGAATCCAACAAATGATTTAACTTTCTTGCGCATACGTAGCAAAAAACATAAAATTATGATGGCACCAGATAAAGAATTCATATTAATAGTAGTACAAAATCCAGTTGATTGATATTTAAAAGAAACAAAAATATATTTCAAAGTTAAGATTTATTTCTTTGGTTGTTAATTTAATCTGTATGCTACATTGTGGATGTTAATATCTATTCAATTAAATAAAGAAAAATAAAAGAATAAAGCTTAAAAATTATACAAAATGCAGTATTTAATTACTAATTTAACAAATTATGAACTTTTAGAGTTTTTAAATAGTGCTTTCTTCTTTGGTAACAATATTATATTTTTAAGTTTGATAATTATGAAAATATGTATATATAGTAATTCATGGCATGTTTATTTTTGTATTTAATACAATTATAAATGTACATTTCTCATCAATAAAATATCACAGTATCTTTTTTATAATTTAATTTTAATATTGAGATTGTTTTTATTCAGTGGAAAAAAAAATGTGTAGTTGGTCCCTATTAATTATACATACATATAAGAGTGTCGCACAAATAATTCTATGCAGTCTTTTTAAGATAATATAAAAATACTTATAAATATAATCAATTAAAATACATATAATCAAAATTGTATGTATTAAAATTCAATAGCATATAAAAAAGATTTTTTGAAATTATATATATATAATAAAAATCCAACATTTTATATATATATATATATAAATATAAATATATATTTATTTATTTATATTTACCTATCTTTTTTTTATATATATGGTAGAAATACAATGTGAGTTATTTTATTTTGCAAAATTTTTGAAAGTTAAACTATACAATGAAATTATTTCATATAATACCGAGATTCTTTTCATAATAAAGATTAAGAGAGAGTTAGATTTTATCATAAGATTTATAAAAGTCATAAGATAAGGTTAATTGCATATTGTATAATTTATCTCTCATTTTTTAAAGTAAATAAATATCAAAGTTACATTGCTTGAACTGGTGCGTTTGAAGTATGTTGTCTTTTTGAGGGATGCAAGACAATATAGTACAAAAGCATTGCTGTAATTCCCAAGAAAAAGGAAATGATACAAATAATAAAGATTATATTAAAGTACTAAGCCTCTTTAACTGCAGGAGGACAAGCATATTGCCATAATAAATTTGCTGCAATATTTTCAAAAAAGCAGATAACATAGAAAGATAGATGTTTTCAAAATGTTTTGCTATCTACAGCATTGAGATATATAAAAATGTGCACTATGCCAATAACGGAAGCAAATAATATGGAATAAATGCGTTCTTTAATTGTAGGCTGCATATGTGGTGGATGACTGCAAGTCCGACAAAATTCCAATATTCCATGGGAATCTATCAAAATCCATATTGTCATACTTAGCCAATGTATTACACAATATATTATGGTATATACAGGCCAGATGCTTGCAATGACACTGAGCAATAAAATCCTTGCCACTACAATCACAATGATAAAAATGATTAAATAAATTTAAAATAAATTTTTAAAAATATATTATTTTGATACAAATTGTGTGATGAATAATATTTAATTTTGTATATTAATTATTGGATATATATGTACCTAAAATAAGAAAATGCCAGAAAAATTGAATTTGCTTATTTATTTAAAGATGCTTATCATATACAAAAATGAATGATATAATCTCTAAAAACTCACCTTTAAAAAAAGGTAAAAAAAGGCGACCAGTTAAGGGCACACCATTAACAAAAATTATCCATTGCAAACCCATGTACAATAGAATTGTATGAAAAATTATCGATTATAAACCAATGTACAATCGTAACAAAAGTAATGAAATAAAAAAAAAATTGCGCCAAGTGAAAGTAGAAACTTGTACCAGTGGAAAATTAAAGTTGCAGACATATATAGAGTCGTATAATGAATCAATAAAAATTTAAATTTGCAAATGTAGAATTGTACCATAAAAAAACTTATCTTTAAAAAAAAAGATAAACAAGATGCCAAGTCCATGCGCCATGTGAAAAAGTGTTAAACAAAAAAGTATTTTTAAGTAAAAAAATCTATCAATTGACAAAAATTTATGTTCTAAAATTAATATCTCTACAAAAAGTAATGTCCAATTATTGCGCGAATAAATAAACATTTTTATAAAAAATTAAAATTTAAAAACTTATGCAAATTTAAAATTAATATAAAATAAAAAGAAATAAAAAAATTTTAGTTAAAAAAACTGGGCGCGCTGCTAAATAATATTCTAATGATATTAAAATTAAATTGTTACTTTTAAACTCATTGCAGCGCGCCCAGTTTTTTTAACTAAAATTTTTTTATTTCTTTTTATTTTATATTAATTTTAAATTTGCATAAGTTTTTAAATTTTAATTTTTTATAAAAATGTTTATTTATTCGCGCAATAATTGGACATTACTTTTTGTAGAGATATTAATTTTAGAACATAAATTTTTGTCAATTGATAGATTTTTTTACTTAAAAATACTTTTTTGTTTAACACTTTTTCACATGGCGCATGGACTTGGCATCTTGTTTATCTTTTTTTTTAAAAGATAAGTTTTTTTATGGTACAATTCTACATTTGCAAATTTAAATTTTTATTGATTCATTATACGACTCTATATATGTCTGCAACTTTAATTTTCCACTGGTACAAGTTTCTACTTTCACTTGGCGCAATTTTTTTTTATTTCATTACTTTTGTTACGATTGTACATTGGTTTATAATCGATAATTTTTCATACAATTCTATTGTACATGGGTTTGCAATGGATAATTTTTGTTAATGGTGTGCCCTTAACCGGTCGCCTTTTTTTACCTTTTTTTAAAGGTGAGTTTTTAGAGATTTATACATATACAGAAAATCAATTCCAAAAATTTAGTATAGAATATAAAATAAAAATATTGTCTTAGTGTATATCTTTAAATCAAATATTAATTTCAATAACATGATTAAGTAGAAATGGAACAAATTATAAATTAAAAAAGGTACCTTAAATAAGATCATTCTAGTATTCAATTATTTTTTATTAGCACATCTCTTGTCTTATGCTTGTGTAATAATTTTCATATTCTATCCTGTTTACTTATATTTTCTCACTTTTATGTATAATACCACTGTGTAACAACGCCGTTTTTTGTACAATTGGAAGTATTTGTTTGCGTGTTACTTTTACATTTCCTTGTCTGTACAAACAAAGATTATATTTCTCTTCTTGAATTTCTTTGATCAATTCTAGATTTAAGTATGGTTGAGTAGAAGAAATCAATGCTTGAATTATCTATAAAAATAAATAGAATCAAGTCAGATATAAAAGGATGTGAAGTTTGATATAGCACCGCATTAAATAACACTCACTTCATTTGCTAATTGATTGGACAATGTAGAAAAGACTGCAATATCTCTAGATACATGTTCACTGCTCACATTTTGACCTATGAGAATAATGACATCGCAATTTCTATCATTACTAAACTTTTCAATTGTCTCTTTCGCGTTTTCTCGCATGAGGAAATTCTAAAATTAATTTTAATAACATACATTTATAAAAATATAAATTAAAAGTATAATTTTTAAATTATTAATAAAAATTTTAAATAGCACACCTCTACTAAAAGAGAGAATCCTACAAGAGGTATACCGTTGATTACTTTTAGATCCTTAATCATGAGTTCTTCAAGACTTAATTCACTAATATTTGTTTTTGCATTCATAATTTCATTAAATATTTCAGTTCTATTGAATAGAAGGCCACCAAGTTTCTCAAGGATATTTAATACATCGACATCGGTAGCAGTTGCCCGACCAGCTTCCGCCGACATATTGTAAGTATCGATTAATATTGGACCTGAGAAATATATATTGTATTATAATTGTTAACAGAACGATTTTACGAAAAATAATGTCTACCTCGTAAAAGACTTGCAAGTTGTGTATTTAAAATGTCAGCATTCTTTTGCAGAAGATTACGTGCGACAAGAGTGGCGCAGCTTCCAACAGTTTCTATGTTCAACGACACGTTGGGCCATGACCAGGCTGGATCCAACGGTCGATGATCAATAATAGCTATAACTGAAGATTTCAATGCAACATCTTCATTCGCGAGAGTATGATGGTCAACTAAAATCAGCTCCAGCTTCTTGTCAGCATCATTCTGTACATTTTGCAAATTGAGCTGATCTCTGTCAAGAGATCACATTCAAGTAGCGCAACAAAATTACAATATTTTTCAGAATCCAAAGACTCACCTGAATGTTATCAAATTCAATGGGATGTTATGAGTTCTCAGACTATAAACTACTTCAGTCTTAATGCGAAATTCCTTTTCCGGGATATTCATGACTGGTATTACAGCATGATCCCTCTGTCCATGTTTTGTGACATTGGTGTACTCTAACAATCCTTGGATCAGAGCACACACAGCAGAATCCAAATCACATGTCTGATTTCCCATGACAACTCGAATTGTGCTGTATAATGATAACTGCGACTAAAACATAAAGTAAAAAATAATTATTCCATATTCAGATAAAAAAAATAAAGTAAACCCTCCCCTAAAATATTGAATATTAAATTAATTCAGATTCTTTCTCAATAAAATCTATTGGACTTTGATTCAATTCTGCTAAAATTCTAATAAAAAATAATAAAAATGAAGAATATAAAACTAGTTTTATTTATGATATACTAAATGTATATTATAAATAAAACTGATAATTAATTAAATTTAGAATTGAATATCTTTCTCTTATTAACATAACAACTAAAATAATTAAAATAAATCTAACTTCATAAAATAATATTTGAGAAACTGATCGCATTGACTCTATTATTGAATAAATTAAATTTGATCACCTTATAAAAATTACCCTCAATAGTTATCCACATACCTTCCAATAGTTATAAAAAATAATTAATAAAATAGAATAATTTAAAAAATAAATATTAGTAAATTAAACGACAATACAGAGGATTAAAATGATATGAAAATGAATAACAATAAATATCAAATTTGTACCAAAGCAGTTTTTGATGCCTTAAGAAAAGATTCCATAGCTTCTTGCGATTCCATTATATTAATATCCCTTCTCTTCTTTTGTAAATATCAATTGTAAATATATACAAAGCTATACCTTTTATTACTTTAGTTTGAAAAGTTTAAAAGTTTTCCTTCTTTATGTTCATTCTTTAACATGGTATCGTATTTTCAGATTTCAGGTTATTTGTTTGGAAGAGAATTGCACATTGCACTTTCTACACTGCAGTTTCTCTATCTTTGTTCTGTCTGATCTTGAATACAGATTCATAGACAATTTCACTTTGAATGCAGGAGATTTGTGAAAGAAATTTTAAATTTAAAGCAGAGAGATGTAATAACTTTGCTGTCATGTTGTTCCCTGCATTTAAAATCAAATAAGACCTATGCGTAATTTTGACAGAGAAAAAAAATACCACGAGTGTAGAAAGTGCATAACACTGTGACGTGATGACACATGTGTGCGACTAAAATAGGATAGAAATTTATGTTGAACTGGTCAAAATTGATTATCAGAGAGAATATTATAATTACGAGATACAAATATCATAGAAAATGCACCTGACTAAAAACGTCATTCAAACAACACAATCTTTTAAAACCCATCTTTTAAGCTTTCTTAAGACTGCATCAAAGGTACATGTATATCTTGTTCTACAGGCTAAATTTATTATTTCATTATTTTGATTATTCTCATAATTAATGAAATATCTTATTTATTTTAAAATTGTAATTGTTGTGAAATGTGTAACTTACACATAAAATATTTACTATATCATTTTTTAATATATTGGCACTATAAAATTACTTAAATATATTTAAAAATTACTATTTTTGTTGCATTATTATCATTGTTTATCAATTATTGCTATTAATTATATATAATAATAGAGCTCATATTAGTTTAAAAGATACTTGTATCATTACAAAGTAATAGTAAGATTATTTAATTGCAAGAAAATATGTTCCAGGCTGGAGATATAAAAATATCCAGATTTGTTCATACTTATAATAATAATTCTTTTGGCAAATATGCTATAGTCCGACCATGGTTAGTTTCTGAAAAGGTAGTTGTACCTTCATATATACCTCAGCCATCCTATAGCGAATCATCAATACCTGAAAAAGATGAACTGATAACACCTGAAATCAAGGATGAATCTCAAATAGAATGTATGAGGGAAAGTTGTAAACTTGCTAGTCATATCCTGCATCAAGTTGATAAGTTAATTAAGGTGAATTATTACTTACACACACACATATATTACATAAGCCATAATCTAGATGTAGATTCATATTACCATAAATATTAACTTTAAATTAGTCCAAAAATATAGCGGTTATATACAGATATTTTTCAATATCTTAATTTTCTGAAACTTTCTCCAAAATTATTAGTAACTTTCATATGTACATTTGTATGTTATAATAAATATAAATATAAGATGAAATCGATATATGTTAGCCAGGTATTACGACCGATTTTCTTGACAAACAAGTACACGATATGATAATTGGCAATGGAGCTTATCCCAGTCCACTCAATTATCATGGTTTTCCTAAATCTATATGTACAAGTGTCAACAACGTCGCTTGTCATGGTATTCCAGACAGTAGGCCTTTACAAGAAGGTGATATACTCAATGTCGATGTAACAGTGAGTAGTCTTAGCAATTACGCTAAAATGTTTTATAAAATATTTCTCTATTAATCTAATCTAAAAATACTAAAAGTAATTTTAAAAAATTTAATTAAATTCTTGTTTAAGTAGGTATATCTTAATGGCTATCATGGTGACTGCTCGGCTATGTTTCAAGTAGGTGAAGTCGATTTAAAAGGCAAAGAATTGATAACAATCACAGAATTGTGTTTAAAATCAGCCATTGAAATATGCAAGCCTAATCAACATTTTTACAATATTGGTAATATCATATACACATATAAAAATATTTTTAAATTTGTTCGCTAATGTTTATATGTGTAATCACATTCATTTTTAATGCTCTGTAAAATTTTTCCATTTCTAGGTAAAGTAATAGAAGATATAGCAAATAAACATAATTTGAATGTAATACCTGCGTTTGTGGGCCATGGTATTGGGACTTATTTTCATGGTGCCCCTGACATTTTCCATTTTGGTATATATCAAATTTTTGAGTTATTGCTAACATTAATATCTGTTAATTGATCAAAATTACCTTATTCTTTTTTGCAATTTTCCTTTTTTGGTTACATCAATTTTAATTTAAGTCTATTCTATATATTATATACACATGTCAAATTAATTTATATATATATATATATATATATATATATATATATATATATATATATATATATTGAAGATATAACATATATTTTGTTTTATAGCAAATGATTATTCTGGAAGAATGAAATCAGGGATAACATTTACTATTGAACCAGTTTTGAGTCAAGGAATGACACAGATTGAAATTTTGGAAGATGGATGGACAGCTTGCACTGTTGATAATTCTAGAACAGCTCAAATTGAACATACAATTTTGATAACAGACGATGGATGTGAAGTACTAACACTCTAGACCATAATGATTGTCTGTTTATATGTGTATATAAATAATACTTATTAAATATATTATTTCTACACATTTTTTAGTGTAAAACAATTGATTTATATTCAAAATAGCTTATTAATATTATCCTGCTATACTTTTTTCAATATACAAATAAAACAAAATAAAGCAAAAATGATTTATTGTTGTTATAATGATTATTAAGTTAAATTGTCAGTATTGTTTATTCTTATTCATATATATTATATATATAACGCGAATTAATTAATTCGCATATTAACGAAAAAATAAAAGAGGAGTCTTTTACCTTATAAGCTTTATTATAATTTATAAAGAAAGAAAAGAAATTACTTTTACAAGATTGCAGGTCCCCAATAGCTATCTAAAGTTAGTGGCCCTTGTATTTCAATACCTTTTTCCTTTGTAACAATACCAAGATGATACTAAAAATAGAATCGGTCCATTAATAATACAATCAAAATTGTTGATTATGTGTATACAAATTTCAATACTTTACCTTTGGGAAAGATCTTGCATCTCTGTAAAAGAGAACTTGCATTACTTTGTATAAAAGCTCAATAGCTTCCTCTTTGCTCATTTCATTATTTTCCTCATAAGCTTTTCTTAATATAGGCGTTGCCATGTAAGCACCATATCCAGTCGCAATCACTGGATCGATGTATGCTGTTCCAAGCTTGTCCACAGTTCCCAAAAATCTGAGAGAACAAAACCGCAATTTATAATAAAGCTAACAATTCAAATATATTCGAAAAATTAAGAAAATATGATACTCACGGTTTTCCATCTTCTAAGCCAGCAATCACAAAATTATTCCAAAATGGATCAAAATTTGATCGTCTATTATACATGACACGTGTTAACCAACAATGCAGCGCTTTCGGCTTCAAGCTAAATCCATCATCCAAACATTTTTCCTCCAAGCTGAAACAAAAACATTAATATAAAGTAGTGCTGCGCATTGTATTTTAAGAATCATAAAAACTCCAATTTATTTTTGTCATTTATGTTCTTTAATTTAATCTTAGTGTGTGAAAAATAATGTGCGTATTATCAAAGATCTTATTGATTCAAAACTCACATTTTTCTCTCCACATAGCTCTTGATACACTGAAAGTCTGCATAATCTCCAGATGCACCAAGAATGGTGTTATCGTTAACTTTCATAATACGCTCGAGATTTCTATAACGAGCGAGTGAACCATAAGATCCTAGGACGTCAGCAGCTATGATGACTCCGTCTTTAAATTGTATGCCAACAACAGAGGTGCCAGTCGTTATAGGAGATCTGCAAAAAATTGAAATAAAATTAGAGAATGTCCCGAGACTAAATTAAACCGAAGAAATCCTGTTAAATTATTATATTGTGTTTTATAAAAATATATCTGCAATCTCAAGTATTTCGTTTCATTGATTTGTTTCTTGCGCGAGACGAGATGACATGCGAATTTCGCGAACGCCATGACAGGTTATGGTATACAAATGTACTTAAACAAATAAAATATTTCTGATTTACAGTCGAATAACACGTACTGTGATTTCTGAAATCCACCGGTGCCATATTGGTTGCCTGGAAAATGATAAAATGCACCAGGAGATGGTCCATTGTGCCACAAAGGTAGAGCAGCATCCTTACTGGAAAACGCCATTTTTGTTATCGGACTGGCTTCCTACATGACGTCACGATTTCGATACTTCGATATTTCGATACTTCGATAATTGCACTTCGATAAATATCGAATCGCGCCGCAATAATGGATTGCAAATTGTGTATTCAAGTCTGTATTTTTCGCGCATTTATTTGTGAAAAGTTATAAATCCCGTTAAAAGTTATCCAAAATATATGTTCAATAAAGTGCCGGAAGTTAATCGTTTCCTAAAACACCATGTGCAATCGTTTATTATACGCGCTAATATATATATATATGTATGCTCGGTATCGATATAACCTTTTATAAGTATTCGGTAATTGAGAAACATTTTCGCGTATACTTTAAATTGTGTTTTTTCTTCGAAGTGCATTGAAAGGGATCATCGATAGGTATGTTACATTGATATTTTTCTATGATTAATTGATTAATTGTATTGATTACACATATACTTGTGCAGTTGCGATAGATATAAACCAGAGATCGCTATATATTTGCTGCTTTGCAGCGATTTACGTATCAAAGAATTCTGTTCATATTATATTGTGTATAATTATAACATGGAAAGTTTTATTTAATATTATAATTGCTCTTATTTTCTCTCAAAGCTTTTAGATTATTATTTATAGAATTATTAAAAAGAGACTGATCCCGGTAAAAAATTGTTTATATATAACAATATAAAATTATATAGAAATATATAAAATTATACGCATATAATCGCAAAATTATATATCCATACATAATTAAATAAAAGTGCTTTTTTATATATAATTATATAAATTTATATATATAATATAATATTTTATATATATATATATATATATATATAAGTATTTCTTCATATATATGAATATATATGTTTCATATATATAATTTGACATGATTATATATATGAAATTTATAATTTATATATAATTTATATAATTATATAAAAATAGACATACTTCACATATAATTTTACGATTATATGCATATAATTATACAATTATTTATATATAGAATTATAAAAATTTTTTTACCGGGATAAATTATTAAAATTGTTAATATAATTGTTTATATACCTATATATATATTTTTGTAAAATAAGCATCATTTCTTTTGTTTCATGTATAACAAATTAATACACAGACACGCCCAAACACACGCAATATTATATCATATCGCAGACTAAATAAATGACGTAACAATAAGAAATATCGATAAAAGGAACGCGAGCGTCAGCACATTCATAATGCTTTTTGTAATTATTAAATATGTTATCAATTCATTCATAATTCATATTCATTGATAATTAAGATAGATTTACGTAAAGGAAAAAATAATCATCGTGATTGAAAGCGCAAATACGATGCTTGAGGATAATTGCATAGATGACGAGTTTAGCTCATTTTTCTCTTCGGATGGTATCGTGTTATTTGCCAAAACTGCATTAATGGATTTCATTAGAGGATAATCGTGTCCATCGAGCAAAGCCATGTCATCATTTAGCAATGAACATTTCCCTTGAAAGTCGTCCGTGTCAATGCTCCATACCATAACACCCGCCAGTTTTTGTTTTTTTACGTATTCCACCTAATAAAGTTGATTAACTTAAATTTTTAAGCACTCAAGATTTAACAGCTTGCACAAGAAAACAAATTACATAGTTTAATTATTATTAATTGTTATACATGTATAATATAACATACATGTATAACATATTAGCTTTTCTTACGAGACATACCGATGAATCTATTAAAAATTAATAATTTTCATAGATACTTTCATAATAAAATAACAAATATTAAAATTCTTTTGAATTTTATGCAACATATAATTTAAAAAAATATGAAATATTTCTGTTAATTGTTATTCATTTAAATTAATTTAAAAAATATCAAATATTTCTTGTAATAAAATTCTTCTTAGCAGTTATACACATAAAATGTATAGTATTCGAAATTTAGAAAAATTCATTAATTTGATTAGAGATTCGAGATTCGTAGACACGCTACTGGAATTTGATAAATTTAGATTTTAATAGGAATAAATTCAAGTTTAATGGAAAAATAATAGAGATACCTTGATCATAATTGCTTTGCGATCATCGTAAACCACAACATGGTCTTTTTTAATCGCGTAAGCTGTGCTGCTGTAATTATCCCATCCAGTTGTCCATTCTTGCGGATACAATATCAACGCTTCACAAATCTATACAAAATATGTATCATTTATTCATAAACAGTTTATTTTTATATATCTTATAATATATATCTTTTTCTCACATGTAAATAAAATTTTTTTATCACATATTTTGATATATATATATATTAGCTGATTACAGCTGAGAAGAGTTACAGAAAAACAGCTGTGACAGCTATCAAAGATATAAAAATGATACACGGAGAGAATTTTGTCTTTGAATTTACTTTGTAAATTAATATTTTTATTATGTGGTAAATATTTAATCAAAGAAACTCTTATATAAAAAATTCTTCCAATACCATATTGTCCCACGATTATCATGATTTTCAGGATAAATTTTAAGAAAAAATTCTCTCGGTGTAAAAACTGTAGACTGAATATGATATATATATGAGAAAGAATGTGATTGCATTCACCTCATTAAATCCCATAAAACCATTTTCGGATGTGTATGGTCCTTTGAATCCAGTATCTAGACTGGGCAGACCAATTGGATTTATTTTTGGTGTTTCTGGCACAGTTGTAAGAACAAAAGTTCTTCCGTACATCGCCAGTCCTAAGACCAATTTCTCGGCTGGCGCTCCTTGTTGTAACAAATACGTAATAGTATCTTCCTAAAAATACAATCGTTATACAATTATATAATTATATTAAGTTTTGATTGCATATATAATTATGCCGAAAGAATTTTCTCTTAAAATTTACCCTGAAGATCATGATAGGACAATATTGTATTGGAAGAATTTTATATTAGAGCTTCTTTGATTAATATTTACTACAATAAAAATAATATCTACCACAAGATATCTATATATATAAGCACCGTCCGTCTGTCTGTCTGTCTGTCTGTACCCGAACTACTTCCGCATTTGTGGACCGATTGTCTCGAAATTGGTACCAAAATGTTGCAAATTTTTCGGGGGTGGCTGCTGTGGGGTTTTTTTTTAATTTTTTAATTTTTATTTTTTTTCCTCACAGGAGGGTATGTTTTGTTGCGAAAAAAATTTTTTTTGCAATATTTCTGAACACATGGTATCAAAATGTTGCAAAATTTTTGGAGATAGCGACGATGCGGTTTTTTCAAGTGTTACACTTCCACCCACTCACCCACCCACGCATTTACCCACATGCATGCGCATTTATGGACCAATTTTTACGAAATTAGTACCAAAATGTTGCAAATTTTTCTGAGGAAACTGCTGTGTGGGTTTTTTAAGTTTACGCCTCCACCCACGCACCCACCCGCGCAATTGCATATTTATGAACCGATTTTTTTTAAATCGGTACCAAATTGTCGCAAATTTTTTGGAGATGGAGACGATGCGGTTTTTTCAAGTGTTACACCTCCACCCACGCACCCACCCACGCGCATGCGCATTTATGGACCAATTTTCACGAAATTGGTACAAAAATGTTGCAAATTTTTCTGAGAAACTGCTGTGTGGGTTTTTTAAGTTTACGCCTCCACCCACGCACCCACCCGCGCAATCGCATACTTATGAACCGATTTTTTTTAAATCGGTACCAAATTGTTGCAAATTTTTTGGAGATGGAGACAATGCGGTTTTTTCAAGTGTTACACCTCCACCCACGCACCCATCCACGCGCATGCGCATTTATGGACCAATTTTCACGAAATTGGTACAAAAATGTTGCAAATTTTTCTGAGAAAGCTGCTGTGTGGTTCTTTTAAGTTTTATCCCACCCATGCATCCACCCACTCATTCAAACATTTATTCACAGACTTTTTCGAAATTTGTACTCAAATTTTGTCCGGGATGGCTACTATATGATTTTAACAAATTTTTATCACTTTATTTATCCACCCACGCACCCACCCACGTATCCACGCACCCATGTGCATACGCATTTATTGACTTGGTCACACCAAGAACTAATTTTTAAAAAATTTGCCTTTATTGACTGTATTGTAAGTGATGATCCACAGGAGCAATTAAATTTTCCAACTGAGTTTCTAAACTCACTGACACCTTCTGGAATGCCAGTTCATCGGCTTAAAATAAAAGTTGGTGCTACAGTAATCTTATTAAGAAATTTAAATACTAAAAAAGGACTTTGTAATGGAATAAGATTTATTATAACTAATTTGAAAAATAATATAATTTATGTAGAAGTTATAACAGGTCCTGCTCGAGGACAAATTGTTATGATTCCGAGGATAGATTTAATTACAAATGATTTGGAACTGCCATTTAAGTTTAAACGAAGACAGTTTCCTATTCAAGTGTCATTTGCTATGACAATAAATAAATCACAAGGACAAAGTTTAGAAAAAATTGGAATTTATTTGCCACATCCTGTATTTGCTCATGGTCAACTTTATGTGGCATTTTCTAGAGCAACAAAAAGAGAAAGTGTAAAAATTAAAATTGATGAATGTAGCAATCAAGGACATTTAATTGAAGAAAGTGAAAAATGTTTTACAAAAAAATGTAATATACAGGGAAATTTTGTAAATTGAAGAATTATGACATTGTATGAGAGCTAATAATAGCGGGTTAGCGGTGGGTACATTAGAAATAAACAAAAAAATAAAAATAAAAATATATAATAAATATTTAAATATATGCAAAACGCGGTGTAAAATAAAGTATCTGGGAGAAAGAAATAGATAACATAGTAGTCATCCAAAAAAATTTAAACATTTATTTTGATATAAATTTCGTGAAAGTCGGACAACAAATGTGGAAGTAGTTCGCGGTAATACAAAAAAAGAATTAATTTTTTGTGTTAAAACGGATTTATAATATAGGCTATGAGGAATGAGAAAGGCTTTGAGGACCGCGCGAAGCGCGGTCCGAAAAGCTAGTAAAATATAAAATATGTTCGATTAATTTTATTACGTACATGGTGAAATGTACATATTAATATTATTTTTTCTTGAGGTAAATATTAATCAGCGAAACTCTTATAAAATTCTTCGAATATTATATATTGTGCCACTATTATTAAGATTTGCAGGGTAAATTCTAAAAGAAAATTATTTTCGTGTATATATCGTTTCTTATACGAAAATCGTATTTCTTACCACACTTAATTGATCCTTGCTTCGCAACGGTGTATTTGGAAGAACCTGCTTATTCCACGCTCCGTGATAATCGTATGCCATGACATGAATGTAATCGAGGTATTTGGAAATTTCAGAGATGTTGTACCCCTTATCAATAATGTCTTTGTTCGCACTTATCGCTGCCGTCAGCAAGAAGCGATGCTCTCTAAAGGTATTTCGCAGTTCCTATCGCACGACAAATAAAGCATTCATGTTCTCACATGATATGAAGAAATAATAATAAATAATTATAATGCTTTCCTACCTTTACAAGGTTGACAAAATTTTGTTTATCATGCAATGCACCCCCGCGATTTCCAGGAAATTCCCAATCGAGATCAAGTCCATCGAATTCGTATGTTCTGTTGTAAGAAAATTGTATTTACAAAATACAAACCGTAAAATAAAAACAAGTAATATAATAAAAAAATAGAAAGCTTAATATAAAGTAAAGCAAAGTAAAGTTTCACAATTATTGATATATAACATTAGCTGCGTATTTCAAAGTGACAGTATCCGTCATTGCGTACAAAAAATTTCTAAGTAAAATATTCTTGAAGTATTAACCTTTGTTATGAAATACTCTATAAAAAGAACAATTAATGTGAATTGCAATAAACGCACCTGAGAAACTCAACGGTGCTTGCGATAAAAGTTTTTCTATGATCCGATGATGAAGCCATCGTTGAATAGTTTATGCTACCTTCGTTCCATCCGCCGATACCGAGTGACACTTTTAAACCTTGCTTACGAAGCGCCGTCATCTTTCTATAGTTGCCAATTCCTATATTTATTCAGATATTTTCAAATTATGTTTATAAAATTTATGTTTATGAAAAAGTGTAATAATATACGACTCGAATAATTAGAGCATCAAAATCATTAATAAGAATCCGAAAAATTAAAAGTATAAAATGTTGAAATTAATAATTAATTAGTAACTTTTTTGAATAATTAAACATTTAGATCATTTTTTCTATCTTTATGTGATTAATTTTTTTCCTTTTTTTTAATATTTGTAAAATTTTTTAAAATTACAAGCAGTTTTTTTTCTTCAATTAATTAATTTTTAAAATAATTTTGAATTACTGTAACTTGAACTATAAATGCATCTCATAGAGAAGTTGCAATTACCATTTTTCTCCATATCTGCCCAAGGATCAAGGCTTTTAATTGTCCAATTTGAGGCATTTATACCAGCAAATGCATAAATTAAATGAGTGCAGTGTCCTGAATGAAGATTTTCTAAGGAAAATGCACCATTTCCTGGTCTATAGGCTGCCCAAGACGCGACGTAACAAACAACAACTTTGTCATGTTGCGGTTTTATAAGTCCTATAATTAGAAAATTATTATAATTAATACAATTAAATTAATAGCATTCTAGAGAAACGATAAAATTCTTATCACTCCAAAATTCTTAACTCTCGAGAAATTTAAACTATACATTCATTATTAATACACTTTATTAATTATCTTGGAAGAAATGACGTTAATCACATTTTAAATTAAATAGATTTATGTATTTATTTATTATTCTTAAATTACATATATTTTATGCTTGTAGAGTTCTAATTTAAACCTTAATTATACAAAGAGATTTAAAATGATTGTTAAAAAATCGCGAAAAATATTTTATCGCGTATTTTAAATTAAAAAAGGATAATTCAGAATTGATCAATTCATAAATGAAAGATATATTGGAAGCTAATTCCTAGACACTCGGTATATATACATTCGCGAGCCTTATGAAAATGTCGCGTTCCCATTGTGCGGAGTACCGGCATTTACTTTCGCTTTTATTAATGCAGATAAATGCGAGAATTTCAATGATCGAATATATATAACATAATAATATTCTGCATTATTATATATAAATATAACGTATATATATTAATCTTATGTAGATTTTATACATGTAAACTCACCGTGAACATTATAAGTTCCAAAAAATAAAAGTAGAAATGCCACGTAAGTAAAGATCATCGTGATACACTGAATTCCTTCAATGTGATTTGTTTAATGTGCTTGATAATCACTAATGATATTAGAAAATATTTTCGTATTTCAAATTTAAACGCTAAAATATTTAATATAAAATCATGAATTATCACATGATACAAATATTATATTTTTATACCAAATTTAGTATCTTACACAGATTTATTTGTTCATTTACTGAGCACTTGACGTGATATTTAGCTTTTATCGTAATCAACAGACAAGGCTATGATTGATGCATTTCTTATTTTATATCACTTGCAATAATAATAATGAGATCAATGTTATTTTGTGTTGCTGTTGTCACCAACAAAGTTTTTTAATAATCCATATATACCGAGATTACACTAGCAATATAAACTATATGCTATCACATCGGTACATATTCGTTCGACTGTAGGTTTTAGACTGTTAGAAGTCAGATACGAGCGCGTCGACCAAGCCAGATTACTTTCACTCGTAACTGTTCATTCTCAAGAGAAAGACGAAGATAAACACGACCGCGAGAAGGATACATGTAGAACCTGTTATATATTGCCGGAAATTTGTTGTGACCCACAGATTCTCTATTTTTTTTGCCTTTCTGGAATAATTTAACATCGTCATCCGCGTATTATATGTTTTGTGTAAGCTACAGAATACTTTAAAATGATCTAAAAATAAAATATAATAATCTAAAAAGAAAAAAATACAGAAAAGAAGACGGAAATAAAGTGAGAAAAAAAACAAGTAAAGATAAAATTAACAAGAAATAGACAAATTATGGAATATATAGGAAAGCAAGGAGACGTTTAGAAAAAAAATAAGAAAAAAGAGGAAAGAGAACTTAAAGGACCAGAAGAAAAAATAGTGAGACCATATATATATAATAAAGAGAGTAATTTAAAATTATCAGCATATATAATAATAGCATTCATAGCTGTACATACATGGAATATTAAATTGAATTATTTATATATTTGCGTTATATTTGTATAGCATTGAGCGACTGTCATCGCGAGAGTTAACAGTTTGACAATTATTCAAAATAAAATTAAGTAAAATTAAATAAGTATAATAAAAAATATTCTTCTAATATTTCACACACAATATAGAGTTCCATTGGAATTTATATGTTTAAATCTAATTATTTTAAATTGTTTCTAGAAATAATATTATAAACTATAACAATAAAAATTATATCCCAAAGATTAGATGAGCAAAAAATTACATTTTTAAAAAAATTAGATTGTCAATGGTAGAAAAATCACATAAATATAATTTTTCCTTATATTTATGTCTTGCACATACATATACATGTTATACAGATTGTTTCTTATACATATATACTAACAATACATAATTATTGTTATATTATTATATTATATTAAAAAATATTGACAATAAAGTGTCAAAATAATCATTATCACATATTGAAATGAATATTTCGAGGCTCCATTCGAAAGAATAGTCTCGTTTAACCATTGTAAATAAAAATCCACGCGAGAATAAACTCCCGGTGAATTTGGACGAGCACAACCTTCACCCCAAGAGACAATACCAATTTGTGTTCCGTTACATAGCAATGGTCCACCGCTGTCACCCTGAAAATTTATAAAATACAAATATGCATGTACAAATCAAAATATAAAACGTGAAAATAAAAAGGTAAAAATAATGTAAGAGCAAGTATCTATATTAATATCGTTTTCGTAAAACTTTTAGTACACACATTTTCCATTTTTAAATTTTTCAAATGAATTAAATAAGTGCAAAAAATCTTTGAACAAGATTTTAAATCTACAGAACTATTTATGCAAACCTGACAAGCATCGCGACCACCTTCTGGCACACCCGCACATAATTGTTTTTCCTTATGCACATTCGACATAGGGCATTTTTCGGATGAAATTATTGGAATCCGTACATGTCGCAAATATGTACCGATTTCTCGCTAATAATATACCATAAAAAATTCATGGAAATATTTTGATCATATAATTTTCTATAAATTCGCTCCGTCAAATATTAAAATGATGAATATGAATAAAACCAATATCTGTTTAGTTTCAAACAGATACACCATTACTTATTATATTTGTTGTATATGTAACAAAATTATTTTACTTGTCAGTCAAAAAAAAATAAAAATTTTACTTCTAAAAAAGCGATAAACGGCAAATTCAGCAAAATAAATATTGGATAAAAATAAATATAAATATCGAAAAATCTACATATTAAACAGAATTTCTACTACTATTTCATCTTAAATCAAATTTTTCATAATGATAACAAATAAAATAAAAATTTTACGAATCCCATTTCTTTTGGGAAGTATTTTTTTTAAAGAAAAAAAGATAAAGCATATATATAATTTTTGATAAAAATATAATTTTGTATATATTGAATATAAAGTACTTGCAAACTCTTATCTACGTACATTTGAACCAGGTATGTGCCGACCCCATCCAGCAGTGACACAGTCGTTTGTATATATTTTGAACATATCCGTGATGTATGCCGGAGGAAGTGCGACAAACTGGACGTACGCGTTCCTGTAAAGAGGGCTTCTCAACTGCAAGGACGGGTGTGGATGACAGCAAACGGTCTCGATTTGTTACAAGGTTTGTTCTCTTTATTATCGACACAGAATTATATACACGGCGTAAATAGTCACCCTGAACAATCCAATATCGTTTTGCATATCCGAGAATCGAAACTCTGCGTGCGGCAATGTCTTGTCTATCAATTCCATTTGCATGGAACCCCAGCTAGGTAAGTACACATAGGTTGCGCCGGCGATTACATAGAACTGGCGTGGATTTTCCACTATCCACGTGCCGTCGAACAACCGTCTTTAAACACAACAACAAGTTCATTATACACCTTTGTTTCACCTAAACATCAGAGTGGTAAAAAAATTGAGGCATAATCAAATGCAAAATGTCACGACAAAACCAACTCTCTTTCTTTTTCGTCTTTTTTTTCGAGAAATTAACAATTTTCTCTCATTGTGTATTTAATAAAAACCAAAAAAATTATAGCAACGCAACTCTTTTTCCTGATATGCACAAAGTCTTGATAAAAGAAGCAATTTATCTATTTTAAATAATTAATGAGAGAGTCACGCTCTCTGTATTTATAACTTTGAATAAAAATAATTAAATAAAATTAAAATAAATATTGATATTCGCATTAGAGCTGCTCTTTATGAATGCATCTTTAATAATTATATATGTAATAAGGATAGAGAATAGAATTTATACATATATATATATATATATATATATATATATATATATAAATCGCTTTTATGGCTACGAAAGAATTAATATTAGAAAATATATCTATTGAAATTATTTTGAATATAATTACTTTGTATTTTTTTATACAAGTTGTTTTTCTTTTTTTAAATATCCCATTTAACTGATCGTTTTTGAACGGAAAAGATGAGCGGAGATATATTAATTTGAGTGTGCCCCAATTTTTTCTACGTACAATCACGGGCGGCCGAGCTGACTCGTAAAACAGAAATTACGCTCACGCAAATTGTAGTATATCACCGCTAGTACACAGCTAATCGATATACAGATAGATACCGCGACAGATATCATTGCCTTTAGGATCTAGTGCCGCTAACCTTCTCGTTACTCGTGAAATATATACTCTAGACAGCACATCACTACTCACAGTCAGAAATAAATGAGGTATATAATTACGACGAATGAGTAGGACTGATGGATGAATCAAATATCATTCTATTGTATAATAGATATCCCGGTTGTCAACAGACAATTATTCTTATACCCCGATCATTATACTGACTCGATTCTTTTGTCCAATCCTGTTCACCCGCCGTTGCTATATAATTCAAAGGAGAGTTCCATTTAGTAGCGAAAATATAAATTCACAAATGTTTCACATAGAGTTTGTATACACGATACAAATTGGCTACCATCCGTGAATATATTTGAGACTTACACATTACGCACAATTAATCGTTGCTCAAATTTATTTCTCTGCAATATTTAATAAAATGTGTATAAATATAAATATGTCTTAGAGAGAAAGAAGCCCTCTCATCTGAAACATATTACAAAGTATTTTCAAAGTAGATTACTGCAAATTTTTTATATTTCTTCTTGCTTACTTTTTCACAAATGGTAGCGAATTTTACCTTACAAGACACGTCTTCGTATCAAACACAAGCCTCGCTCCTTTTCGTTGACAAACATGTATATTTTACACATACATCTGCAGTAGCAAGGAGGTTAAATACGGCTACTAATACCTCTCATATAATGTGGTGTAATCCTAAAATGTCTTACCAGGGCGTTCAATTTGCTTTATACAAATACATATAATTATATTGCTGAGAGAATACCTAAATGTAAATGTATACCTCAGACAAAAGATTTTTTCCCCAACCCATATGATTCCTCCCTTGTAGAAATTAATTACTAGTAACGCCAATTAATTACTTATTTCGAGTACTTAAAATATACTGATATACAGTAATTTAAGTACTCGAAATAAGTGATAAATTAACGTTATTAGTGATAAATTTCTATAAGGGCTTCATATCGTAAAACTTATTTTAAGTATCTAAAAAGATTTAAATCACATATAGATAGTTTCGCGTTTAAGGGTTAATAATAATAAAAACTGAGACAATCTTCTCAGTCTTTTAAAAAGTTTAAAGCGAAAGCTATATTCGTTAATATATCAAGAAAATTTTATTGTGTAAAAACGAAACTTTAAATAAGAAATAAAAGATAAAAATTTATATGTGCGTATGTGTTTTTTGTGTAAAATGTTCTTGAATCGAACAATGAATAAGAATCAAGAAATCACTTGATCTTTCTCATATTTAATTAAAATAATTATAATTTACATCTTTTCGTGTTATTTTCACGGAGCTTAAAGTTTATTTAAAATTTATATGATTTTGTACAGCTCAAGAGGAATAAATGCTCTTATAATTTAATTTTTAATTTTAAATTAAAAATTTTAAACGTGTAAAATTTTAAATACATATATATAACATGTATGTTTTGTTTTTTAATTTTCTCAAAATGCAAGTACGTAAGGCCTTTCAAAAAAGAGATTAATATTATACTAAAATTAATATTATTATAATAACGCAAATATATGTTAATTTCTTCAAATTTGCAATCGTAAACTATATCACAGGAAAGCACGAAAAGATTACAAATTCGCTGTACGATATGGCAGTGTTTCCTAATTATAGTTGGCCACGTAAGCCTTTAGAAATTGAGATAACAAATTGTATAGCCCCTAATTATGTACACGTCTTTACACATATTATAAACAAATAAGCAAGAACATGAGATCGACATTCTAATTGCATTAAATTAAAAAAGATCACAGTCAATATTAAGAAAAAATAAAGCTCAGAGATTTAATGTGCATTGTATTAACATCTTTTAGTGTACGTTTCTGTTTATACCGGAAACTTTACGCGAAATTCTCTTCTATTTTATCCCGTTGCTTCAGAAAAAGTCAGTGTGTTTTAATCCTGGGATGCATTTCAGGAGTCTCCCTTCCGAGGGAGAATTTCATGAACATTGCATCCTCTTATACATCCGAGGATTAGAAATTGCATTAGAGAATGCGTATAGAGAGTGAACAAATTGGAATAGCGAGTATTATAAAGCCCCGGCTAGAGAAAGAGGGAGAGAAAAAGACTACACCACTTTTCGCGATACACGTACATATAGCGCGAAATGCGAAACGCAGTCTTATATAACACGCACCTGACCATGCAGTGAGCGGCGGACAGGACGAACCTACAGGCGACGTAAGTGCCTCCGCACGAGTGGCTAAAGTGTCGGCGTTGGACCGAGACCTAAGAGGAATTGACTTTGAGAAATTCGGATTCGCCGAGTCCGAATCGAATCGGTTGCCCTTTCAACCTTTTTGACCTCACGCGAATGCCAGCGCAGAGCATGCTCGAGACTATTCGAACCTCAATTTCATCACGTATTTATATTTTAATTTTTTTTCATGTTTTTAGTAATAAATTATTTGCTAAAACTTTATTCAAAAAGATAATTTAATCAATTTTTTCTTCTTTCAATACTTTGTACGTTTATTCATTAGTAAATATATTATATATCTCTCTTAATGTTAATGAAAAAAATGTTTAATAACATTTTTGTATATTTTTTTTAGAAATATAGTTAAACATTTTATTTCTTAAAAAATATTTACAATGCTTGATTATTTGGAAATTAAGGTTTCGGAATGTCTCGAATGCCTTGCGAGCATTGATGTTAACTTTTTTAATTAACAGGAGCGCTTAAGGTACATCAGTAGACCATCAGTATCTATCGAATGTGCATAAACGAGTAAATTTTACACTATATGAAAATCAGAAATATTATTTCATAATAAAATCTCACCATGTACGATTTTATAACAGAGATCTTAAAATAAAATTGACATTAACTTTTTTGAATGGTTTTATGTACACGTATTCACTCGAAACCGATACGTCAATCAAAACTTTTTATATCATCGTCATATCATTTATTTCGAGTCATTGGATGAATTTTATTTGAAATACTGTTCTATTTGAAAACCTACTAAAAAAGAATTAAATATAAAAATAGCTGAAATCAAAGCTTCACGTAAATGTCATTAGTCTTTTATCGTGTCAAAACTGATATAAAGCGTAAAACGCTTTTGTCCAGATTTATCGTGCAACTGCCTCGTTTTTCAGTATTACAGTTGCACTACTTACGCACATTCGTTAGGTATAAATCGTACGTTATGGAAATACCGATATTCCTTAAGGTTAAAAGTTAAGGGGCTAAAATGGGCGCGTCGCACGCGTACGATGAATGGATAATTCTTGATGCTGGTGATCTGTCCGCCGACGATGCGCACCGCCACTTCGTCGGTCGTAAGCTCTCTCGACATGCTTGTTTTGTCGCCAGTCACCAGAGAAATTGGACAGATATAGAATATTAGGACGACCACTGCGAGAAGCATATCGCGTGCGAATCGTCGTAAAAGCTAGCGAGATCTTCCATTTTCTGCGCTACGCTCCGTCGACTTTTGTTTTCCGCTTTATTCATGTCAGGTCTGTTCTTTCTAACTATACTTCTCTGCATTTTCCGTTCTCGAAATAAAAATTAATTATATATTATTTGTCTGGAAAAAAAACATTATAAAAAATCCCATTAGTGAGAAAATTATTACTTTTTTTTAGGAAAGATAAAAAAATAATTTACTTCTACCATAGTATTATATTGATGTACTAAAGTGCTCTAAAAATTGAATTTTTTTCCATATAAACAAGTAAAATTGTATCAAAATTTTAAAATAATTTTATGTATAGAGAGAGTATAGTCAGGAACAACAAATTTGCATTAAATTTGCGTTATAATAAATCTTCAGCTTTCAATATATTAAAGTGAACGCTAAAGACGAATAGGAGTAGCTTTATTCGAGAGAATGAGATCGTTGAAAAGACGATGTCAATTCTCAATATTTGCTTCCCAAGCAAAGAATATCATCTAGCAGAGTGAAATCTGCTTGAGATATTTTCTAATTTGCAGACAATATAAAAAGGCACTTTTGAATTAAAATATCGTTACTAAGCTTTCAAACTTTGCTTAGTTAGACACGATTGATGCTTGCTCTTATACGTTATAAATATAATAAAAATTAAAAAGTAGTATACTTCTTTTACTACAAGTTTGAAAGCATGTAAGAATTTGCACGCAATTGAATTAGTTATCTCAATTTTAGCAAATAGTTGCAATCTGAAATATGCGTAAAAATTTATTAATCATAAATATATTTTTTAGTCTATAAAGCACTACATATTTTTTGTTGTTCCCTAAAACGTTTCCTCTTCCCTAACTATAATAATGATTAATTTATTTTTTTAGAAATGTGTTATTTTTTTATTTTTCTTTAATTGTAATCCAAAAAGTGTCTAATCTCGCGTGAGCATCTATTTCTAATTTAGCTACAGATTTATATTCGTAAGAATTAATCTGGAGCTACGTTTTTTAAAGATTAGTCTCTAACAAAGACAATGATTCATTTTTTCCGATTATCCTAACGCGATCAAGATTAGATTAGTATATACTAAAACCTCGGAAAACGTTCTTTGCGTTCACTTTAATATGATTCACTGATATAATCCCTTATGTAACTCTTAGCGGTTCAAAGTATTACCAGCTTAAATAGTCATCAAACATGCTATTAAACTACAGCCAATACGCGGCTATTCATAGTTGCTGATAATTTATTACAGGTACCAATAGCAAAGAGAGAGGATTAAGATTTGTAAGAGGATCTGCGAGAGGAGCTGTAGATACACAGATAAAAGATAATCTCATATTTAGTCATAAAAAACCGTTCAGTGATATAAAAGATGATATCGCATCAAGTTTGAAAAATCGTATCGACAACGCGCCCACGCAATAGTGTTTCAAAAAGTTGGCCGCAAGCACGACGACCATATGTAATCGCTATATTCCTACTTTTCAGATGATCGAGTCAGAGTTTGGCTAATTCGTCCGTTTCAATTGGTTCGAATAAAATTCATTAACGCATTGTCTCTTTAATTACAAGAAAGAAATAACAGCGACTGGGGATTGTCTATATCAATAAATCTAAAAAGAAGAAAGAAACTGAGCGTACGCTTTAACATTGAATTATTAGGTCTTATATAAGTGACTCGGATAAATATTAGTCGCATTGACCAGACTCTGATTCGAGTGCCTCTAATTATTTCTAGATTCTTCAAGTTTTCTAGATGCCAAGCCGCTGCCGCAGTGTTCTTCAAGCTGCCTCTTTACTAAAATACACTGGAGAAAGTTGTAAAGTGACACTACATAATTATCGTCCCGTTTCATTGATATTCTTCAGTTTATTATTATACGTGATATATATATATATATCAAGAAAGGAAAGTAAAAATGGCCTAAGAAAAAGTATATTTATAGTTCTCTTGTAGCTCGTTGTATTATGTTACATAATCTATTATATAAAATAATAATTTATTAAAATAGAAAACAGTTTATATATAAAGATACCTTAATATGTTAACGCAAGTAAGGGATCTAAATATAAAATCTCATTATACTTGACTTGTGCCATTTTTGCTTTAAATTTCTTAATATGTATCAAGTTTTCTACGGAGCACTAAAGGCTCTGAATTAATGATAAAATGACGATGGACGTTTGATCTAATGTTTATGCTCTATTTTACGCGCAAAAAAGTTGTCACTTTTCTAAATTATTGTCAGAAAGTTGATTTCATCGATATTATCGAACATCGTGAAACGGGTCGTATAACAGAAATCATAAGTTGTCTTGCGCGTGATGCAAATTAAGTATTGAAATTAGCTCTATTTTTACTATAATCCTATTATAATGAATTAAATAAACACTAAGAAAATATTATTCTAATTAGAGATAGATATTTATTAAAAAATAATGAGAAATTGATATTGAAAAATAATAATTTTTTTTGTTTGAAAAGGGATAATCTTGTTAAACTGATGCAACAGAATTTTAAAGCGTTTTTTATGATCACGTTTTTTGCATGGTTTTATGGAAATACGCGCACAATAACAAGAACACATTTGCTAGCTTAAAAAACATTGTATTTCCCCAGCGGCGAGGCGAAACTAGATGAAATGTTATACTACGCGTATCGGAAAACTATATCGTTTTTCAAAGTAAGATATAAATTTACAATTTACAACAGTGATATAACAGAGTATCTCAATAACATTATTATATATCAGATTTTTACCTATGTTTAACAATAAAACCACATTTTACTTTTAAGTAGAATAAACTCTGTGTTTTTAAATAATACATTAATGAATTCAACAATATATATATATATGATATACATATATATTTATATATATTGTATGTATCAAACATCGAATTTTTTGTTTGCTATGAGAGAAAAAGCTATTTCGCATTGCGAAAAATACTTTTTTCCACATAAATCGTTATTACTAATATTTCATGCTTCAATTCTCAAAGGAAAATTTAGAAATACTATATGTTGTATGTTAGCAAATAGATTCTTGTATACGAAAGGAAGAGACATAGCTTTCCGACACACTGCCGAATATTCGGACATTACTTCTCATGAGAATTGATATGTTTCGCGAGACAGACGACGCTCGTTATAAGCAATAATCGAAAATAGTTGCGCACGAAGAAGCCGCGTCTATGAGTTTACAAAATTTCTGCAAAGACAATAAAACCGCTGCCCCCGTGTGTATTTCGATATATCGAAGGAAGACATTGTGATTGTTCGATCTTATGTTCATCGCCTTAATATCCTTACGATTAAGTATGTTACAGCCAAATTATCCTAGAGCAATTGACTTTTATTAAGGAATAAACTCGTGCATCGCGCTTAGTATGCACAATATTGTAGAGAGCGTTAGTTCTCGTACGAGAATCGTCGCGGAAGACGTCACATCCGGCGCTGGTATAATTTGCACTGAAAAAAAGTTTCACGTACCAAAAAAAAATCATTTAACAAATTGTAGGAAGTGATAACTTTAAAGCTTACATGATGCAAATACAAATTAAGTACAGAGATACAGAAATTTTAGAAAATATACTTTCACTGAAATAATGCACGTCGATATATCTTTATTTAAGATAACGTCGCGTTTTTATTCAAGTATTTTTAGACCTATTTTTATATATGATCGTTTTTCTTATTATCAAAAATTGGACATATATTTTCAATTTGTCATATGTACCAAAAGTTTATAGACATTAATATTTGTTCGATATTTTTTCATTATAAAAACTTACCCGACACCACCTTTTTCTTAATATCGGCAAATCCCTCGTTCTGCGTGGGAAAAGCGGGTATCGTTGTCCGACAGCTGATCTCCAAAACTCCATTTTCCCCGGCATGCAATTCGGAAACTTCTATCTTTAATCTGGCGGTGGCGGACATCAAGTGGTTATTCTTATGATGAGGCGTATGCGGATAGTTATTAACTAAATTAATATCCACCTGAAAAAATCGTAATCGAAAAATTACACTTATGTGAAAGAAATTAAAAAAAAATATTTTTTTATTTAAATGTAATAATTATCACTAAACTCAATCAAAAATTCGTTTTCTAAAATTCATTAAGAAGTAAGAAATAATGGCCATTTAAAATTTCAAAAATTATCAAGTTACAAATACAAATATTATTTATATTAATATCGGATTATATATATATATATATTATTTTTAATTTTCTTTACCTCTTTGCCATTTATAAACCATGTTATGTAAGGAACTGGGTTTGCAGCCGAGGAGGTACAATTTGCCTCCAGGCTCTCGCCAATCACGTACAAGCTCTTTTCAAATGAAATCTTAGGATTCGCACTCTGTGGGTCTAGAAAAAATTATAAAAAATATAAAGACTCGATGCACAATTTAATATCTATAACTAATAATATTATTAACACTTTGGTTTCGATATTTAGATTTATTTTAATCCGCGTACGCATATTACTTCAGATGTGAAGTAATTTCCATGTTAAAAATTTATTGAACTTATTTTAATATCGATATATCGAAGTTTAAATCAGTATCGATCTATCACATCTAACTAAATTGCTATTTATTACAAATAACATAATCTCAAGATTATAATGATTAGTATCATTCGCAAGGAGATTTACATATAGTTTGATTTTCGTGAATCAATACTTTTACTCACATATCACTTTCATTTCTACGGGATCAGAACCCGCACTGTAAATGGGCGTTGTCATAGCGACCTCGCAGGTATAAGAACCGGAAGCTTCGAAACGTACATCGTGCAGTTTGATTGTCGTGCCATTTTTCGAATACTAGAAAAGAATAATTGCAGCACTTTAATCGAGATAGACAACTTTTAGATTCAAAAGTATACAAATGACAAATTCTGCAGGGACAACTTATTAAATGCGTAAATTATATTAAAGTTATTATTTTTATAATTATTTATAATTGTTATTTATAATTGTTTACGAGACACGTAGTTTTTCTTTGCAGTTTCTCTCTTCCTCGGATCCTTCAAATTTAATAATCAAGCAAAAGAGAGTTGTATTCGCACAAAAGAAAACGAAACAGATATTTACATCGGTTTTTTTACTGTGCGCCACTCTTTTGCTTTCAAGAAAAAATTAGATAATAACTCAATTAAATTTGATAATTTCATATTATAGAGCAATTTGAAAATTTCGCATCCTAATAATAAGAAAGCTCCGTTTTTTTCAAAAATATTTTTATATTTCAATAATTTCCCTAAACTCCAATGTACTTTGTGCAGTGACGCGACACTCCAGTGCGTTTATTTTATCCCAGAAATCCGATTCCTCAAGATCGTCAAAATATCTTTCAGCTCATTATTTGTGGATAATTGCCATACAATTTTTTGTCAGTTTTGAAAATACATTGAAATAACTATTTAAAGAGTTATTTAGAAGAAACTGTTTGAGAGATCATCTTGAAACTTTAAACTTTGTTTATAACATAATCGTGACTTCATTACTCAAAAATTTTAAACGCAGTATTAATTTCTGTTGATCAGGCCGCGAACTTTTCAAATTATCCTCGTATAATTGAAATTGGAATAAAGGTAGCAAGTATCTTTTTACAAACTTGTTTTGTTAGAATTCGTCACTTGTATTCCTTTCATCTAACCGTTTCAATTACATCGAGTGGATGCACGAATGACGAGAAATGCTTTGAAATGCTAGAGATTCAAACAAAGCACTTTGAATAATTTAATCCTTGTTCTGACACTTTGTTGATCTTGTTATATATAAATTATTTCTATTGAAATTGTATATGCTTTTCATGTAATTAATCGCTGTTTTAAAATGTTAAAAAAATGAATATTTGTATTATAAAAAGTACATTTTTTAAAATTGCAAAATTAAAATTTGAAGAGAGAATTCAAATAGATAATTCACGCCAATCTTGATATTATTATCATATTTATTCAATGACAATAATATTGTTGAGAAGACACTTGAGAAATTTCTGTTACATTAACACTTAATTTCGTTATTAGCTTAAATCTAACTATTTCTAGCGCTTCCATTTATCACGTGTTTATCTAGATTTTTCATAATATATCATTATCTCAAGATATCTCAAAATAAACTTTGTGGAAAATATGCAACTTTTTGTTGTCAATATCAAATATTGAGCGATTATATACAGCGAAGATAAATGAAAAAATAATAGAGAAATGCATAAAGAGACCAAGTTTAGTAAAAGTTTCTCGTAAAAAAGGCGTGAAAGGTATTTTTGACACCTTCACCCGTTCGTCATTAGTCTGAAAAACTCTCGCAAAATGTTCTATTTTTATTACGAGTAGCCTCATTACTTATGTATGTGTCAGCTCTATACCCTTAACGAGCATTCGTCTTCGTGACATTATGTTTCGCACATATGGGCTAGCGCAAGTATTGATTTTTCTTCTTTACTTTATCGTCTCTCTCTCTCCCTTTTTTAATGGATCACCTATCTGCGCTACGCTTCCATCGCTTGGGCATCAAAAAAAAATTTACGAAGGAAATTGCGCTTTCACGCGTTGCGTCTCGATTGTTGGGGGAGGTATTTTATGTGACATAAAGCGCACACGTATACATAAATAGCTTTGCTTTGTGTCGACACATAAAAGCTACGCCTTGGGTAAATGCGTTTAGCTTGGCCGCTTAATCATTAATCATAGTGAAAAATAGGGGAGGACTCTGGATATTCAGCCTACGCGTTATCGAGGGCGTTCTAGTTATTTTTGGACTTTTGTTTACAACGGAGAGTTTTTCTTATAGATCCTACTGACGCGATGGATATATAAATTATATGTATTTTCACCTGTGTATCCCCATCGCGTAATAATGTCAGACGATAGGTTAAAAAAAGACATCGTTTTATTACATAAACAAGAATATGATATAACAAAAAATAAAATATATACATGCACATGCAACATATATTTAATGCTTAAACTGATAAAGTAAGATTTATTAATAGCTTAATAAATCTATTAACTTTTGAAATAAAATATTGCTGCCCAGCAAACACCAATATATAATTGTTACATTGCTATAATAAAACGGAATATAACAGGTAATATAACGTGTACGTTACATGTAACATCCATGTTAGTTGTAATTTCTCACTCATAGATGTAACATTTTAATATAACATATATTACATTGTAGTTATATTGTAATTATATACCAAATAGCACATTGATGTATTGATAAGTCAGTGCTATCTTGGGATATAATGACAATATAACTACAATGTAATATATGTAATATTAAAAATGTTATATCTATGAGTGGGAAATTACAACTAACATATACGTTACATGTAACATGCTTAAGTATATAACATTTATATATTGTAAAAAACCACTCCTCAATGTTTAAAGTCGACCAGACTGGCAATAATTTATTATAAATAATTATTTGAAATACAACAACGTTTCGGCTGTCATTGCAGCCCTTTTCAAGTACATCAAATTTAAAACAGTAAATCAACTTCTATGCAAACTACCGACAATGTTAACGCTTGTTTTGATGAACAATGCAAGACTGACAGAAGTAAGCACATATTAAATAGATGTTAACTGTTCGCAAGAATCTTAGTCACTAAGCGTTAAGAAGATAGAGACGAAACTTGTTTCTTGCCGCCACGCACCCGAACCCTTACCCGCACAGAGGCTAGCCGAGCGGGAAAGTTGCCGTCGCGATCTCTCTCTCTCCCGTGATTGACGCCCGCGAAAGGGCTAGGACAAGAGGTCCGAGGAAATTAAGACTTAGCGTCCCGCGAATTTATTAATTGAGAGACGGTGCGGCTGCCGCACCTGGCGCCCAACTAAATTGAGATTTTAGTTTTCTCTTTATTATTTTTTTTTGTTTGTTGCAAATTTTTTTTGTGATCGAACGGAGAGATCGCGCCGAAGGTAACCGATATTCCGCAGGAGACTTTTCTCCTTCCGCGACGAATGGATATTCGCTGCGAATTCCGCGCGACACGGTTATAAATTGGCGCCAATTTATAACCGTATCGCGCGGAATTCGCAGCGAATATCCATTCGTCGCGGAAGGAGAAAAAAAAAAGTCTCCTGTGGAATATCGGTTACCTTCGGCGCGATCTCTCCGTTCGATCACCAAAAAAAAAGAAAAAAAAATATATATTTTGCAACAAAAGAAAAATAATAAAGAGAAAACTAAAATCTCAATTTAGTTGGGCGCCAGGTGCGGCAGCCGCACCGTCTCTCAATTAATAAATTCGCGGGACGCTAAGTCTTAATTTACTCGGACTTCCTAGTCCCAGCCCTTTCGCGGGCGTCAATCGCGGGAGAGAGAGAATCAATTTATGGAAACAAGTTTCGTCTCTATCTTCTTAACGCTTAGTGACTAAGATTCTTGCGAACAGTTAACATCTATTTAATATGTGCTTACTTCTGTCAGTCTTGCATTGTTCATCAAAACAAGCGTTAACATTGTCGGTAGTTTGCATAGAAGTTGATTTACTGTTTTAAATTTGATGTACTTGAAAAGGGCTGCAATGACAGCCGAAACGTTGTTGTATTTCAAATAATTATTTATAATAAATTATTGCCAGTCTGGTCGACTTTAAACATTGAGGAGTGGTTTTTTATTAATTATTACTGGCAACCTTAAGGATTATTATTTATTTTATATATTGTGTTTGCTGGGTGTGCTATGCAATCATCAAAATTAAAAATCCTAATAAAAATGAGATACAACGGGATATGTCTAATATTTTAAATAGATAATGAACCATAAAATTAGAATGAGTTCAAAATTAAATAATACAAAACTTGTTTTTTTTTTCATTTTGTTTAGAACGATAACTCAAAAATCATTTATATTAAAATCGTATTACAAAAAATAAAATTGACTCGTTAAAATACGCGATTGTTTAAGTTGCTTGAACTTCCTATCGAGACAAATTCGACTTCCGTTGTAAAGATAGAAATTTTTTAAATATTCATGTTTTAAACGAGACGTGTGGGTATATTTTTAACTGCGGATGAATCGTGATGCAAAGGTCGATGCACATCAGTTTCGGTCGTGCAAATTTGGCCGCGTAAAACTTTATGTAAAAGTGTTATTAAAACCTACACCCCTATTATGATACGAGATATACCTTTGAGATAATTATGGACTTAGTCTATAATTATTAATAAGTATGCCGAGTATAACAATATCCAAGATATTTATGAGTAATGGAGAATCAGATAAACTAGACATACAATTAATTTATGTTAATGAAATCAACCATTAGACATTTTGTTAATGCACTGCAAAATTTATACAAACATTGTACAATTTCTCTTATCGCGTGGAAATAAAAGTTACACTGTGTCATCTTTATCTTCCTTTTATTAATTCTGTCATAGTTTGATAATTCACGCGCACTGTTGAAAAAATAATGGCAAATATAAAGAAAAAATATTGCAAAAAAAAATAAAATAAAAAAGGCTTTTTACGAGCTTGTGCATTAACAAAATATGTCTCAAAAATCGTAATTCTTTGCGTATTAAATTACTTTTCGCTTACCTCCAGTTTGGCGCCTTCTAAATGTGTTTCGATATACGGCGGATTTCTTTCCTTTATATACTGAAATATTCTCTTCTCACCCTTCATAAATTCTATTTTGTGCAGCAAGTCGTCCGGGACAGTATGGTTGCAGAACAAGATAGCTGTACCGCCATGCGATATGTACTGCGGCGCAATCAACTGGACCTTCATATGCTCTGCCAGCGTCGTGTCTGGAAATCGTGGAACATATCACGTTAGTATATTGAGCTAAATCCTGACAATTGACGTGACAAACGTCGAGCTCAATGTTATTACAAGATTGCATTAACTCAAGAATTGTGGAACGTGATTTCCTGGTTTAATTTGTTCAATATATTTCTATATTTTTTGTGCATATTTAATTAAATTTTACGATGGAGATTTAGTTATTCGCATATTTTTATTTTATATTATCATTTGTCTTGACTGTATACTTTAAAGATTAGAGAATATTGGAAAGTTGCAAATGTTAAGATTCGTTGAAAAATTATTATATAATAAACAAAATTAAATATAAGATTTTTATGAAATCAGAAAATCGTTATTGGATATATTCTACATATTTTATGAATTATACGATATTGAATTAGAATCGAGTATACGTCGAGTTAACTTCGAAGAATATCGTAACCCACAAACCTATATTAAATGATATATGAGAGATGTCTTTCATGCGTGTAATTAAGTCTCAAATACAAATAAAAGTTATATGACAAATTCAATAAGACATAAGATTTCCGTCACATTTTTGCATCCATATAAAGTTTAATGTCTATACAAATTCTTAGATCTGCATCATTTATAGCTATAAAATTATGAATATTTTAACATATTTGTGTAAGAAAAAGATTTTAAAATGCTTAGAAATTAACGGAGAAAATTAAATACGAGGAACCCTCGTGGTGTTTTATTAAAAGAATGATATTTTATTTCAAGTTAACATACTATTTTCGCAAAACTGCAATCATGTGTATGAAATAAAATATAAAATAATAAAATATCAAATTGCGCTATCTGGCATATCGATTAAACATAGAGCTGAGATTAACATCGCGCTCGATTTTCATTCAATCAAATCGCATTGAGGCGACAACGAGCCGACGCGACGGAGAACGGATTAATTTATCTGGGCGGGAAGAATGGCGGGCCTTCGGCCTACCGTAACTACTTGTGGCGGTCTGCCCTGTTGCTGGGAGGTGTTACTGTATCGATCAGAGTGAGCACCCGCGTTATACCGCCGCACGCATAGTACATTATTTCGAGACGTTTCGAGATGAGAAGCGTATTTTCCAGGATTATCGAGGTCGATCGTGTCACCAGATAATGTTAATGACATGCGATTTTCTACGCGGCTGTCCCGTAATATTTCAACGAACGCTTAAAGCCGAACGGCTAACGTTATACGTTATATGTCATTACGGATTTTTTGCAATTAGAATTGATCGGTCTTTCTATACGCGATGTTATATGTTGCACGAAATAGTAGTTTAAGTCAATATAGATTATAAATAGAGAGAATATAAATCGACAATAAATTTTAAGAGATATTTGTACATGTATATATAATGGTAATTTTACTTTGGTATATTAAGTACGTAAAATGTATAATAAAAATATCGTTTTCGTGTTCAAAGTAATTAAATGATACACTTGAAATGTATATATAAGCGCTATTGTTTCTCACGACATATTTTATAAAAAGAATATGGCTTATATTATTCTTTCGCTTCTGATTTTCGCGTGAAAGCAATTGAGAGCGCATTATGTCAAGACTATAAGTAAAAGTTTCTACTAAAGCTTTCATTCTGAAAGAAAGAATATTGTGATAGTTTAGTAAGAATATATATATATATATATATATATATATATATATATATATATATATATATATACAACATAGTATCGTATTTCAATTCTAAATGTCATCTTAAAAACATTGAATTTATTACAGTTAAAACTGGCATTTTTCTTATGTACATACCGAGATATTAAGGTAAACCTTAACATAAATGTAATTGGATCGATAATAGTCGGATAATTGGTTTCTGACATAATTGCTCTTAAAGTTGCGCTATTTGAATGACCGAAAAAGCGACCACATTTTCAGCTGTTCCAATTAAAACGATTTATTGGCCTTTTTGATTCAATTAAATTCTCGATGAATTTAATGTATTGTATTTCTGATAGCTAATTAATTTAAACCATATATATATATATATATATATATATATATATATCTTTTTGCATATATATATTAGATTTATCAGATTGCAAAATTGCCTTAAATTAAACATTTTTCAGTTGTTAGTTTTTTTCATGGAATATGAGTAATTTTATCTCAAGTATGATTTCTTGTTTTTTTCATACATACTATCTAAATATTATCTGTACTATTACATAATTTTAGTTATTATGTGTAATACTTCAAAATTGAAAAAAATAATATTTAAAATACAATATTTAAATGTAACATATATTTTTTCTTTGCAATTTTATTTATTTATTTTTTATTTCTCTTCTTCTCTAAATAAATTCAATTCTATAGAAGGAAAAAAATTGACAACTTTTGAAATTAAATAAATGAACGATTTTCCAAGTTTCTTAATCGTTGAATTCTAAGAGTTTATGTGATTATAGCAAGACATTGCGAAACTATTTCCGGCTTAATATAAAATCCGGATAATAATCAGCGATTATATCGAGAATTGTGATCAAATCATTGCGAATTGTAGAATTTCGGAGAGCTGAATTTTCGTGATTAATGATTAAGATAACGCTAAATCAGTGTCAAGTGCTTTTGTTCGTTGGAATTTCGGGAAGCAGCATTTCCTATGACATTACCGTCCATATCGGGCAAATGTAGTTCTAGTTTCGCGGTAACTGACTTGTTACAAAGTTTCTACCATAACGAAAACGTTTGACAAAACGTTATCTTGCAATATACTATCAATTTATTATCTAAGAATCGTTTATTTGGCTAATATAAATACGTTTGTCGGTTTCGGGTTTAATATATAAAAATTTGCCTCGCAAAAAGAAAAAAGAGAAAATTGTATTGCATTACTTAATCGATTTCTATTCCACATTCTTATTCAGTCTACTTAGAATGAATTCATTTGTATTTACTATACACATTGCTTCAGTCTATATAAACTAGGTCAGATTGAGTTACGTCAATCTATCATGAGAATTGTCTTGATTTTATCGTATTTCGTGACAAAAACATTTACGACCACAGCAATTGCCATGAGACACGTGATAATAAGTCACAAATATAGCTCTATGCATTCAGAAATAGCAAAAACTACGCGTTGAAATGACTGAATGTGTGTGTTCGAGTTTCGTTCATATGTCGTATTGGCATATATTTTATGTGTGTGGAGGCCATTGAGGATTTGTATCGAATGTAGTACATTGTAGTAATTCTACGTGGGTGGTATGAATAATAGAAGCGTTTTATGTTCCTGAAATAAAGAAGTTTATATTATGTTTTATTCAACGTTACATTAAAAAAGCGCGCAAGTACGTCATTTTTCTGATATTAAATGTCCTGTGAAACGAAAGAAAATAACATTTTCAGACTTGATATACTGAATTTTTTAAATATATAGTAAAAAAGATTTATTGAGACTTATCACTTCTTTTCTCAAATGTTTTCTTTTTGTAAATGTGTTGTTATATTTATTGTAAAAAGAGATTGATCACTTTGAAAACAACATAAATCATCGTAACTTTATAGTTTCTGGCCTTTAATATATTATACTGCATTTTCATAATTCCAAGTTTTGACATATGTTATATTTGTATATAAGAGAAATGATAAAACTTTATCTGAACGAATATATTATTTAAATTCATGTTGTTTTCACAGTGACAAATCGAAATATATATAATATATCAAACAAACGATGAATCATTTATGTGTTGCTTCAGATATGCTCCGGAAAATGTCCTATGGAACATGGCGTAGAATTATTCTTCATTATGGAAACACGTTGGAATACACTGAACAATTAAGCTGAGAGACATAAAGTGCAAAATGTATAATATTGTCAGAGTGTTGAAATGTAAAAGGAATGCAGCATCCAACGGTCGTCAACTGAAACAAAATGCAACAACTAGCAAAAGTATGGTGTCAATTTTTTAGAGTGAATGTATCTAGTGTTATCAGTTATGCAAAATAATTATATGTATATGATTTTTCTTACGATAAAACACCGTGACTCCAAAAATTCGAAAGTTTCGCATAACTCTTTCCTGTTTTAAAGACAAAATTATTTTTACACACAATTAATGAGACAAAAAGAAATATGTGTGTGTGCGTGTATGTGTTGATCAATTCGCTGTCGATTCTTTTCCGACGTGTGTAAAAAAATATCGACATGTATCAAATAACGTGGACGGATAAAAATAAAAAAGTACGTGTTTCTCGCAATGTCAGAAATTATACCGTGTCGATGAAACTTTAATTCTTTTTCATTTAGCATGCTAAAAATATCGAGCATTCGATGAAAAATAAATTTGACGCTCGAGACACTTAATTATTAGTATGCAATTTTCCAAAAGATGTCCAAAATAAGAAGAAACGTAGAAAGATGGCGTCGATAAAATTTGTATCCAGGAAAAATAAAATCGATCGGCAAATCAACAGCAGATATATACGTGTGATCTCAAACGAAAGGGTTGCTGTTGAACGCGGCCCGGGTCGCACGACGAGTTCACGCCCGACGATGAGCGGCATCCGCCGACGAATTTCACCCGGTTGCAGTGAGATCATCCCTTGTAACAACGAGTCCTCGACACCAAGACACAAAAAGGACGAAGAAAGAGGATACACACACATACACACACAAAGAGAGGGAAGACTGGATACGCGCAATAGAAGGGAGGTGTCGACGTGGTGTTATTCAGATGAGGGATGAAAGAGAGCGCGAGCTTGCGGAAACGTGTCACTTACATGGAAATAATTGCAAAATATACACAAGGAGGATTTTTCTCCAGTGATCGGCGGCCGGACGTTGCATGTTTTTTTTCGCTTTTCTACAGGTTCTGGTTTCGCTTCTACAATTCGTGCACGTTAATATCTGTTGCTCACTACGTAGCGAGGCGGAGGTATACGGAAGAAAGAGGCGTGCGTGTCTACGTTTGTACAGAGTGTGCCTTTAAAACTACGACGCGACTTCGTGTATGCCGGGTGTCGGCGCTACAACTGAGCCGTGGAGCGGGGTCTTTCGATCGTTCGACCGACCCGCTCCCGTTCGACCGACCTGACCTCCTCCTTCTACCCTTCGCCGACCCTCGACGACCATAGGGAGCGACGCGAGACGACGACGCGTGACGTCGCGGCGGCCCTGCTTCGCCCTTATTAAGGAACGCCGGGTCTTAATTATTAAGGATGATCGTGTGCGATCGCCCCAAAGGAAAATATATCGCGGTCTTGTTTGAATAGAATATCGTCGAACCATTTTGCGGACAAAAATCAGCGAGACATTCATGAGCGCGCCAATGTCCGAAATTAACTTCGATAAATATTTCACGGGTCCTTCGCCCTGTTTCTAGTTTTCTTTCGTTTTGTGATGAAATATAATCGGGAAAAAATTAGAGAAATTATAATTCTTATATATGAAACGTAATTCGCGTCATCCTTTTCTACAAAAAAAAAAGGAATATATTATATTATATTATAAAATATTATGTATTTATATTATAAGAAAGAACAATTATTGCCGAATTTCTGACTTTGAAGAGTGGAAATGTGTATTAAATTCTTATTTTTCACGGTTTTACAACAAATATATTAAATATATTTTATTATATAGTTATTAGAAATAATGCGAAATTATATATACATATATCAATTTTTTAAGATTAAAGCCTATTAAATATGAATTCTAATATTAAAAATAAGAAATTTATGAAAAATGGAATCGCTAAGCCCGCATGGCTTTTAAAAAACTCGTATCGCAATCGATCGATTTATCTCGTGACGTGATCGATTACTCGTATCTCATTCATAAACCTCATTTTCGTAAACATGCAATAATCTCGTCTGCCACATTTACCTTGTTGTAATTCTCATATACAAATCAAGTGTACGAAATGCTTGCATAAAGTATATTCGTATTCCTTTGCTGCATAATGGAAAATCACGAGGAAGATGATTTAGAGGAATTGCGTTCTACAATATATACATTCCCACCAAACGTGCAGAATGTGATAGAACAGGTTAGGTCTACTGTCAATTAGTTGTCAAAATTGTCTTTTTACTATCAGTTTCGATAAGAATTTCCTGCAAAATTTATTCATTATTATTATATTGATCTCTTGTACGCAATTATATTAATAAAAAAATTATATATTTATATACATATATATTTTATATATTAATAAAATTTCTTATATCGAGTAAAAAAATGTTCTTCATATATTTTTTCTTTTTTGAACAATTACTTTGGCATTTATTATAAATAGTTATATGTATATAATAATCTATAAAATGCAATTTTATAACAATTCTATAATACTATTTTTCTTATTATTAGGTCCTTCCTAGCACCGATCCGTTAGATCAATCCAATTTTAATGTGGTGGATTATATAAATTCTTTATTCCCTACGGAACAATCTTTGTCAAACATTGATGATGTAGTGAATGACATGCAGTTTAAAATACATAATATTGATAAGGATATACGGTCAGTCGTACGTGGTCAGACAAATGTAGGCCAAGATGGGAGGGCGGCATTAGAAGATGCGCAGAAAGTTATAAGACAATTATTTGTCCATATAAAAGACATAAAAGATAAGGCGGCACAATCAGAAGAAGTGGTCAAGGAAATCACAAGGGATATTAAGCAACTGGATTTTGCTAAAAGAAATCTTACTGCTTCAATAACAGCGCTGAATCATTTGCACATGCTTGTAGAAGGAGTTGATACCTTAAAGTATACATTGCATGATATTAAAAATATTATTTGCATACTATTGTGTGAATTATAAATCTACTGTATATTTCTTTGATCAATCTAGAGTATTAACACAAAAGAAACAATATGGAGAAATTATCTTACCATTGCAAGCAGTGATGGAAGTAATGCAACATTTTAACAGCTATATGGATATACCACAAGTGAAGCAATTATCTGATCAAGTAAGAGTACAAGTTATATTCTTGCTAATGAATATAATTATTCTTTTCAACATGTTTGTCTTTGTCTAAAAACAGGTATATCAAATTCATGTTGAGTTGGCTCAGCAGATCACAGCAGATTTCAAACAAGCTTTTTCAGGCCAAAATCCAAAGCATTTCAATCAATTAACAGAAGGATGTTTAGTATTATCAGTATTAGATCCTAAAGTGAAGTATGTATGTTAAATATTTATGATATTTATATAGTATTATTATTGATAACAATATCAGGATGTGTATATTTATACAATATTTAATATTTTATGTATTTTTTTCTAAAAGGAAAGATCTGCTTATTTGGTTTGTAAACATCCAATTGCAAGAATATGCACATTTATTTGATGAAAATCAAGATTTTGCTTGGTTAGATAAAATAGATCGAAGATACGCATGGATCAAGAAACATTTACTCGATTTCGAATCTAAATTTGGTACAATCTTTCCCCAAGATTGGGAGATTTCCGAGAGAATAGCTGTACAGTTTTGCCATGTTACACGTGAAGATCTCACCAAATTGATGAACAAGAGACGTAGTGAAATAGATGTTAAATTGTTGCTTTATGCAATTCAGAGAACCAGTAATTTCGAGTCACTGTTGGCAAAACGTTTTATTGGTAGTACTTTGGAAACTACCGATGCTAAAAGTGCAATAGTCAATAATGACGCGACTGAACAAGTTCCAAGAAATCCCTTTGAAGAAGAAAATGAGAAGGTATTAAAATTACATATACATTATGTATATATATGTGCAACCATTTGTATATATTATTTAAAATGTATATAATGTTTTATTAATTTAGATTGAAGCTGAGAAATCGAAATCTTCTCCATTCGCAAATCTTATAGGAAGATGTTTTGAACCATACCTGAATATCTATATAGAAAGTTTAGATCGCAATTTAGCAGATCTAATGGATAAATTCGTATCCGACTCTAAAACGCAGCCGCCAGGTGCCAAAGAATTCGATGGCATTGAAGGTCCGAGCAGTGTTTTAAGTTCATGTGCTGATCTATTTGTGTTTTACAAGAAGTGTATGTTGCAATGTACGCAACTTAGCACTGGCTTAATTATGCTAAGCCTTACTGAGACCTTCCAAAAATACCTACGAGAATATGCAATCAAAATCTTACAGAATAATTTGCCAAAGTAGGTCCAAACAATTTTACAAACAAATATAAAATTTACAAAATTTGTATTGTATATGTAAGCATTATATATTGTTATATAGAATCGGAGGTAATGCAGGTATCGGCACCAGCATGAGCAACATCACACGTGACTTTCGAGATCTATCAACATCAGGCTTTATACAAAATTTCCAGAGTTTTTTGAAAGAAGGAGAAATTGCCAGATTTAACAAAGAGGAACAAAATCGTATATGCTGGTAAGTATATCTGTTATTAATTCTTCATTTCTCATCTAGAAAAATAAAAATTATGAAAATATTAATTAATATTAATAATACTTTTCAGTATTTTAACAACAGCGGAATATTGTTTAGAAACGACACAACAATTAGAGGGAAAGCTCCGTGAGAAGACAGATAAATGCTATTCCGACAAAATTGTTTTAGCTCAAGAACAAGATAATTTCCATAAGTATATATTTTTTCTTCTTCTAATTGATTATTCATAATTCATTGAGTTAATAATTAAAAATTGTTTTTAGGGTAATTTCTCACTGTATCCAATTGCTAGTTCAAGATTTAGAAACAGCTTGTGAATCCGCATTGACTGCTATGACTAAGGTAGATAATTTAAAAAAGTACAATTTTTAATTAGTGAGACATAGTTACACTGTAAAATAATTCAAATATATCTTGCTAATACTAAGATTAATATTTCATTATAATCTACTTAACAAAATATTAATATTTAAAAATCTATTTTTTTTTAGGTACAATGGAGTTCTGTGGAAGTAGTAGGTGATCAAAGTAATTATGTTAATACCATAATAGCACATCTTCGACAAACAATACCTACCATCCGAGATAGACTATCTTCTTGTCGAAAATATTTCACACAATTTTGTCTGAAGTTTGCCAGGTAAAATATTTATTACACACTACATGAATTTGTGTCGTTCTTTTTGAGATTCTATTATGTACTTTTTCAGCTCTTTCATAGCAAAATTAGTACAACAATTATTTAAATGTAAACCATTAAATGCCGTTGGCGCAGAACAATTGTTATTAGATGTCCACATGTTAAAAACAGCTTTGTTGGATCTTCCATCAACAGGCTATCAAGTACAAAGAAAAGCTCCAATTACATATACCAAGGTCATCATAATTTATAATATAAATACATATATATTATATAATTGATGTATATTATCTATTAATTTTGATGTAATGAGATATATATATTATTATTTGCCATCTAGGTTGTAGTTAAAGGAATGGCAAATGCTGAAATGATATTAAAGATTGTAATGTCCTCAATTGAATCTCCTATAGACTTTGTCAAACAATGCAGAATGCATTTACCCGATTTGCAATCTTCAGAATTCCAAAAATTTTAGATATGAAGGTAATTTTTGCACATAAAATTACAATTTATATATTCTTAAACATATAAATATTTCATGAAATTGATATATATTCTAGGGATTGAAGAAGACTGAACAAATTCAATTTGTTGAGCAATTTAAACAACTCGAAAGCGCGAATACTGCAAACACTACAAAGAGTGTAGTACACGATAGTCCAGAACATGAAGCTGGAAGAATTAAAAGACTAGAAAAGCTCGTCAAAAAGAGAATTTAAAAATATTAAATATTCTAATATTTTTTCATTGTAATTGTACATATTTAATATATACGAATTCTTATTTTAAGTTATGATAAGAAAGAACCCTCTCCCCCCTTTATACAAAATGGGAACATATGTGAATGTGTGGGAATACTTTATCAAATAAATATAAATATAGCTGTATTTTATTCTTTATTTTTTGTAAATGTCGCTCAAAATTTTAACCCTGCTTTTGAGCAAGCTCCTTTGCTTTAGCTTTTTCCAATTTTGCTATTCTCGCGGCAGATTTACTTCCTAACAAACCACCACCCCAATGACGTCTAATTTCGTCATATCGATCATTGAAGTTTGTCTTAATAGCTTCAACAATCTTAGCAAAATTGGCTCTATCTCCAGAGTCCACCTAAAATATTATATAGCAATGTGATATATTTCATAATCGAAATAAAAGTGGATATATTCGATTTTTGTAAACCTATATCAGCGAATTATTTAAATAATCACAATTTATCATTGGATTGGCTCTTAGTGTATTCATCATAAAATCAATCAGATGAAATTACAAGAATAATTCAAATACAAAAATAACAAATATAGTTTACATACCTGTGTCAGAGCAACTGAAGTGCAGGTCTTACGCCTAACCAGACGTCCCAAGCGTGCTTTACCCTTGATGATACAGTATGGAACACCCATTTTACGACACAAAGCAGGCAGGAATAAAACAATCTGTAAAATTATGTAAAATAAAAAAATTAATTATGTTAGTATTATAATTACATATCATTTTTTATATAAGTGCCAATAAAAAAATATAACTCAGATGTCATTTTTCATCCTACGAAGAAAAATTATATTTTTACTCCTCAGTTGAAGAAATCTTTCATCACAGTTAGTTTAAGTTAAGCAGATGAAATGGTTAAATAAAATGTGATATAAATAAATTCTGACCTCAATAGGATCAACATCATGCGCAATAACAACCAGCTGGGCCTTCTTTTGTTCAACTAATGTGGTCACTGTGTTGGTTCCATAGCGAATGACATTTGGTCGTTTTGTCGGCGTGTCTTCTTTTTTCGCAATTTTTTGTTCAGCTCTTGCCTTCAATCTTGCCTTTTTCATGGCTGCTGATTCAGGTCGATACTTTTCCAATACCTTGAACAACTGTGTAGCTACAATACAAAAATATATTGTTTCATATATATATACATACACACACATAAATCTTTATAACAATATTACATAAAATATAGATTTATAAAAATTACCTGTTTGCTTGTCTAATGTTTGCGTAAATTGATTGATTGTTGGTGGTACTTTCAATCTCTTTTGCAACACAGCCCTTTGACGCTGGATACGAATATACTTGGGCCATCTTACAAAGCGGCTCAGATCACGTGCCGGCTGAATGTCCTGCCCTAAAATTTAATAAAATTTTGTCACTTCAGATTATTATTAAGCTATTAAAAAAAAACTAATCAAATTATTTTGATTAGTTTTATATTTACCAATGCCAAAATTGCGTGTTCGTTTTTCAAAAAGGGGGTTGGTCACCTTTTTTGGCTCAACTTTCTTAACTGCCAATGGAGCGGCAGCTACCTTCTTCCCTACCTTCTTCTTTGGCTGCATTTGAAGAAGGAAAGTAACATATTAAGATATAATTAATAAAATTTTCGCGATAAAATCATAAGCGAACAATTTTAATAAAATATGTAATTAGATAAAAATGCTATGTATATGTTATTATTGCCATTTTTATACAAAAAAAAATATTTTTTAAAAATTCAACTTAATCATCTCTTTCAATTGATAGAGAATTTAATGTAATAACAAGAACCATGTTTCGCGTCTGGTTGAATGCCATTCACTTCTCGTCATGGCAAATCCGAGATTATTTTTCTCGCATTATAAAATAAGGTTATAAATTATTAAAGTTAATGAACCAATTATTCGATATTTATTACATATTGAGAAATATTGATTTACGATAATTAAACTATAAATAATAATAAAAACAGATCAGTATGCAACAAAAATATATTTTTATGTTATGGACTAAAGAGGAACATGCAGAAAATTTGAACGTCGATATTATTTATTGGTAATGCTATTTGATGAAAATATTACTTGTGCGCGATAGCTTGATGATTTTACCTTCTTCTGTACCATCTTTCTGCTTAAATATCGGTAGGATTTCTTGAAATCCTGCTGGATGTAAAATGTGGCACTTCACCAAACACAACGTGAAGCACGCCGACGAGGTAAAAGAAATTACGCGAACAGTGGCGCCACCAAGAGCGCCATTTTGACATTTATGTCATTGATCACGAAGATCACAAGAGAGTCAACTCATGGAATACTTTGATCAAGCAATAAATAAGTTCTAACCTCGATCCGTTCTAATCCTAATAAATACTTTTCTATCGTCAATAATAGATATTTGTAAAATTGTAATAGTCATTGACGAGAGAGAAAAATAAATTGGTGATTTTACATTTGCAAAAATGACATCGAAAATTCTGTGTCGTGGAACAAATAGAACGTTACGTAGTTGTCTGATACATGACAAGTTAAACTTGTCAAATCCCAGATGTAATAATGCGTCAATGTCCTCATTGCCGCCTGACAGTCCGATGAACGTGTTTGACAGGAGGACGAAGCTGCTGCAGCGCGAACGCGCTGCGAGGAACGTCGATGTTCACCTGTACGATTACCTCAAGGATGAGGTGAGTGACAGGCTGTCCGATCGGATATTCGACATCAAGCGGAAGTTCGGCAGGGTCCTCGATCTGGGATGCGGTCGTGGTCACTTATCCAAGCGAATCCTGGAGGAGTCTGTGGATGAATTGGTGTTGGCTGAGATGAGTTCAAGTTTCTTGCAGCAAGCCGATACTACAAAAGGAGTGAGAGTGAAGAAGGAGGTCATCGATGAGGAGAATCTCTCCTTCGCACCTGACAGCTTCGACATGGTGATCAGTTCCCTGAGTCTTCACTGGATCAATGATCTTCCAGGATGTTTTCGACGTATCAATAGCAGTCTAAAAAATGACGGAGTCTTTCTGGCGGCTGTATTCGGTGGCGATACTCTTTACGAGTTGAGGTAAAGGTAAAAATGCGAGGATTATATATTGAGGATTTTGGAGTATCTTGCGTCTACTTGCATTTATTTTTTTGTCATTAATTTTGATAATACAGAAGTTCCTTGCAATTAGCTGAACTCGAGAGAAACGGTGGGATTTCGCCGCATATTTCACCTTTTGTAGAAATTCGAGACATTGGATCTCTATTAACGAGAGCGAATTTCACAATGTTGACTATTGACACTGATGAAATAGTCATTGGTTATCCAAATATGTTTGAACTTATGTGGGACTTAAAAGGTGAGTTATTATATTATAAAAAAGCTATTATAATTAAATAAGTATTATTTAAGAGTAAGAAAATTTTATATTTTACATAAAAAATTTTCACTTTTTTAGGAATGGCTGAAAATAATGCAGCCAGGAATCGTAACTTGCACTTACCAAGAGATACATTGATTGCAGCAGCATCCATATATAAAGAACTATATGGAAAGACGAAAGAAGATAACACCGTGTTCGTTCCTGCAACGTTTCAAATAATTTATATGTTAGGATGGAAACCAGATGCATCTCAACCAAAGCCTCTTGAAAGGGGTACAGGAGAAGTGTCACTCAAGGACTTGTATAGGCTTAACGAAGTCATTAAAAGCAGCAAAAAAATAAAACTAGATGATGAAAAATAGCACATATTAGTCTTTATTAATTAACGAATATAAATACTCTAATATGTACCATGTGTAAAATCTTATGTATTATATGTATTATAAAAATTCTCTTCTAAATAATAGGCATAAAAAATTTATTATTTACCAATATTTGCATTTATTCTGCCACTATTTATGTATAATATTCACGATTTCTTTTCACTTTCCTTATGAACTACAACACCTCTTTCTATAAGTTCTGGAATCTCAACTGCCAACCATGGTCCTAACTGAAAAATGAACTTAAAATCTTCACATCTTATTTGTACAAGGCTATTTAAATATAAAAATTTTTAATTTTAAATTTTTTAATTTTTATAATACATTTAATGTGCTTTTGTTTTAGTTTTTTTATTAAATCATTAAATTATTAAATATATTTAATTGAACTTACACCAAGAGCCATTGCATGAGCAATGCCAAATTTGGGTACATTGCGAGCCCACAATGGCTTGAAATGTTCAGTGAGGCAAATCTTACCTCCTCTGTACATTTTTGCTGTTTTGCCATCTAATTCTGGTAAAGCAATTTCAGGCGCTGTTGTGGGATATGTGACAGGAATCTAGGAAAGAAAAATATATTACTAAATAAGTTTAGTGTATTAAAATTTCAACAATTTTCGAATAATTTTAGTAATTTTATAAGTGTGAATATATAGTTGCTTTTCATTTACATCAAAACTCAGATAAATCTCACTTCTGTTTTTCTTCAACATTCGTGTTAAAGACAAAAGTGAGATTTATCTGGGATTTGAAACTTATAAAATGTTATTTATAAATAGAACTTTACATTAGGTAAAACTTTTATTTTAAATAGAATAACTGTACGTTTAAAAAATTACTTACATCAAATTCTATTTCAAATTCATATTTCAGGAAATTCTGAATATACCAGCATTTGCCAAACCACTTGGTACCTTCTTTATTTGATTCCAGTCGAAACCAATCATTGTCTGCTTCTTTATTATTTTTGACATACTGTAATCAGTTATACACAGTTAAATCTAAATGTCAATAATATTTAAATTGCACAAAATATTTCCATGATAAGAATGTTCTGCTTCTTCACAACTTGGCTAATAATGAAAATTAATTTTTTATACATATTTTTAATATCTATATACTGAAACAGACCATATGGAAATGACATTTACAATCTTGAAAAAGAAAAATTCTTTACCTTAATTAGAGCTTGATATTCTTCCTTCAGTCTTTGCACCCATAAATCTTTATCTCTGGGACTGGCTCTTGTTTGCAATAATGGAATGTTACTTAAAGTTTTCTTCGTTGATTCATCCACCATCTCGACAAATTAATTTACATTAAGGGTCGGCAGTACACCCAGGCAAACTCCGAATTGATATTGGAGACCTCGTGCGGTGACAACGCGAAACTCCGGTTTCAGTGTTGCCAACGCCGAGAAACCAATTCTCGGGTTTTATGTAGTGGTGTATGTCTGTACACGTACATACACAACTGCATCGCTCACGCGGACGCACGTAAGAGAGACAAGGACCGATAATCACGTGTTCTCCTTGTTCCTCTACCGTGCCGGTATACGCGAGATGCCGCCTAAAAATGCTTTCTGGCCTTCCGTAGCAGAAAGCAGTAACGTAGCAAGACTAATAAGCACCCATTTTTGTAAATTTTATATATGCTTATGCACATATGTGGATATATTATTTATATATAAATATATATATATATATATATATATATATATATATTATATAAGGGATATGTTGATTATATTCTTGATTTCTTTTTGATTATTGATGCTATTGTATAATTTGCTCCAAATACTTATAACGTGAAAGAACGTTGAGTAATGTATAATCAATGCAAGGATGTTCAGTATATCATCCAGTATATAAATTAGAGTTCAAATATATCAATATCAATTTTTTTATAATATATATATATATATATATTAGAATATAGAAAAATGATAAAAAAATATATTTCGGCGATTTAAAAATTTTTTAATATATTGAAAATATTTTTACTACATACACTATATATAAGTGTAAAATAATTCAGAAAATAAATTTAATAAAAATCTACATACCAGCTGTGTGCATGTGTGCAATTGATTTATTACTTGAAATTTATTTACGGAATTATTTTGCATTTATATATTTATAGTATGTGTAGTTGTAAAATGATTAAAATATTTTCAATATCAAATTTTTAAGTTTATCGCCTATATAAAAAATATATTTCTATGATTTTCTATATTCCAATATATTATAAAAAAATTGATATTGATATATTTGAACTCAAGTTTTTTACGTGATTAAATATTCTTGCATTGAGCCATCATACGTTACTCGTAAGTTCTTTCACGTCATAAGTACTTATGTAGCAGAGAGAAAGAAATGAGAGTTATACAATGTAACATCAATAATCTTATATATTATAATCTTATATATTATATATATATAATATTTCATTTATTTATAAAAAACATTTTATAAATAAGTAAAATATTATACAGACAATGTACAAGATGTTCAGTTTGTGCCATAACAAGCTTTAATCAATAATTATTACTCCAATGAGTATAATTCACAATAATTTTTATATAATATAATAAATATTTGAATATATAAAAATATTTTTAAAAATTTGTTTTAAAAATTAATTGAAAAAGAATATTTAAAATATTTTTTTATATTTAAAATATTCTTTTCCTCAATTAATCTTAAAAAAATATTTTTAAATATTTAAAAATATTTAAAAATACTATATATTATATAAAAATAATTGTTGATTATTATATTGGATTATTAATTGAATGAAGCTAGAGCTTTAATATGGCTTTTAATACTGCTTGACAAGGAGAGAGCATCATTCCATCTTTGTCTCTCTTACATCGCATATGTAGTAGCGTCCATGTAGGTACAAACACTAAAAAATATTAAATTTAATTTTTTTATTGTTTTGAATAATTTTATCATTAATATACTTATTTTCAGAACTATTTCAATTTTTATTTCATACTTATGTTTATATAAATTATAAATTAAAAACATATCAAAAATGTAATACATATTAATAAAATGCAAATACATATAGAAAATTAATTATAAAATGTCATCTTAAAATAGTTTTTATTTTTGTTCTTTATTTACATATGCATACATATACAAAAAAATAAAAATAATATGATAGCCTTTTTGCTGACATTATCTCTCAATATTTGCATCCGTGTGCTCACGTATTAGTGTTTGTACCTACATGGACGCTACTACATATGCGATGTAAGAGAGACAAAGATGGAATGATGCTCTCTCCTTGTCAAGCAGTCAGCATGTTACCACAGAAATTTCCCCTGCTCCTTATGAATCTAGTGAGAATCTTATCGTCCAGATATTTCATAAAATAAGTGACATAACTTCGTGAATTTTTTTTTAATATATTCTTTATATAATAAAGCAGTCCTCTAAAAGGCCGGATTTTACATTTTCGCTCTTAAAAATTTATAATAAATAAAATACGGACTCGCGGCTAACCCAACCTTACCCGTTCCTAGCTGTGCATTCCCCCAAGTTTATTAAAAATTTTTATTTTTATCTTTTTTTCATAAAATAGCTCTTTAGAGGACTACAAATGAGCTTACTGATTAAGAATATCCTAAATTTAATAAGATTCATTCAATATTTTCGCTAATATCTGGAAAATAAGAATCCGTAATTCCCGGCCGGCCGATAGGCGTCTCCACCATGTCGCCTGCCGACCCTTAAGTGTATAGATAATGTTACATACATGTGATACATATCATCAAAGAGAAACCTTTCTGATATCATTTATATCGTGTATCAATACTGCCAACTGTATTTCATTAAAACTTGACCAACTTGTCTTAAGGGTCGGCAGGCGACATGGTGGAGACGCCTATCGGCCGGCCGGGAATTACGGATTCTTATTTTCCAGATATTAGCGAAAATATTGAATGAATCTTATTAAATTTAGGATATTCTTAATCAGTAAGCTCATTTGTAGTCCTCTAAAGAGCTATTTTATGAAAAAAAGATAAAAATAAAAATTTTTAATAAACTTGGGGGAATGCACAGCTAGGAACGGGTAAGGTTTTTTTTTTTTTTTTTTTTTTTTATAGTCAGGAAATTTGCCTAAACCAAACTTCGCCGTCCTGACCCCTGAGGGAGGGTCAGGAGGCTTTGTGGTGGATTCCCGCCCGTAGTATCCCGAGGGACTATCGGGCGGGGGACCGACCTAAAACCTGACTGAAGCCCCTGGTCGTATGGGTATTGTCCACCGCGGAACCGCGTTAGCATAACTTCACGGTGGACACCCGACCGGCGTCCTTTAGGAAGGACACATCCCCCGAGAGGATACTACAGGTATCCCCCCGGAGAGGACATCCCTTGCCCCGAAAGGGCATCGAGGGGAGCCGGGCTACTAGCTCCCCCCGGACTTCCCAGGGTCGACGTGCAATGAGAGCGGGGCCCCCACCCCTCTCTCTGCCAACCCGGTCAGTGAGACGGCCGCAGCCGTCCACCCCACACTTAACGTCACAAGACGTCACCAACTATACGTGGACAAACATATACACGTCCACAACATAAACCAAGTAAGGGCCGCAGGCCCAGCCCTCTAGGAGCCAACATTGAGGCACTATTGCCGACCACAATAAAGGTGGGAGGGTTGTTACCCCCACCTATGAACGAAAGGCAAACAAAACAAAGACTTACATAAACTTGGCGCGGGTGAAGAGGCCGCAGAGTCACCTCTCGGCAACCTCCCCGGCGCTCCATCACCCATCGCCGCAACCTACAACATAAACCTGGCGGGGCAGGGAGACCACGGAGTCACCTTTCGGCAACCTCCCCAGAACTCCTCGCACCCACCGCTACTCACTACGACAACAAAGGACAAAACCGACACTAAACATCGGGGGCAGAACTGCAGCCCGGCACGGGGGAGCCGCCTCTCCGCGACTTCCCCCGCCCCCGGCCACAGTCCACCCTCGTCCACTCCGGGCTCGCAGGCCCCCCATCGGGGCGCCCCGGAGACTGCGCGCGCTCAGCAGCAAGAGTGCCCCCCCCCGCTCCTCTTAGGAGGCACACGAACTCGAGCGCAAGACGCTGACCCGACTCTATGCCCAGCAGGCTTCCCCCTCGACGCGCATGAATGGCAACGGGGCGACGCCACGCAACTGACTGCCTTATGCCCCGGGCCACCGCACCTATAACAGAGGCTGCTGCGATCCACCTCAGCGCCACAACAATTGGCCGTATGGCCAAAGTCATGGCACCGATAACACTGAAGGGGGCGACGAGCCAGATGGATAACATCCAACGTCGCCCAGCCCCCCCCAATCGACAACCTCTTCGCCGCCACAAGCCTACGCGCCACTCCAGCGGGGCAGCGTATCCAAATTGTCCCTACGCACGACTTTGGAAACAGTCGGATCTCTCCAGGCCTAAGGTCCTCGACCTCGCAACCCCCAACTAGGGCAACTTCTTCCAAGATCTCAGATTTCCTAACAGAGAACATCTGACCCCTCAACCGAACGTCCTCCATCCGGGAAGGACGACCAACTCTAACCCCCCCTGAAAGAGGGAGCACCTCTCTAAGCCTTGAGGCAAGTGCATCCGCCTTCAAGGCTGAGTCACGACCCGGGAGAGTCAACAAAATGCTGCCCGTAGCTCCTCTGCGCATGCGCATGGAGCTAATTTCCATCGCCTTAATATCAATTTTGGACTTAGCCTCGGACAGAACCGAGGCATAAGTCCTTTCTCTATCCTTCTTCATCCCCCCAACCGTCAGTGAAATCACCGACGAAGAAGAGGGGGGGGGAATACGGCTTCTCTTTATCTTTTTCCTCCCAGAAGAAAGGGAGTTTTGAGTCCCCCTACCCTCCATAGAGGGGGCACCCAAGGACAGTCCCTTCACCCTCACAATTTGCCGTCCTTTTCCGCGACCGCGACGACGTTTACCCCCTTTGACCACCCCATGGACAGAGGCATCCGCCAAAACCTCCACCGAGGCGGAGGCGACAGAGCCCCTAGGCAAGGGGCAGACCCTAGACGCAATAGCGCCACCACTACTCTTCACGGGCGGCTCACGCATGGGAACCACCTCCTCCAAAGAGGAGGAGGCCCCAGCCCGCCCCGCGAGTTCCGCCCTAACGGCAGCCCTAACAGCAACCGACATGTCGTCCCTCAAGTCACCGAAGCGACGATCAAGAAGGGACGACAAGTCGGACTCCATAATTGGGCGATCTTCCACCATAGGAGCCGTCAAGATCGCCAACGCACTCTGCGGAGACCCCTCCGAGGAAGATGGTAGGGGCCTCTTTCCCGCCCTCTTTTTTCCAACCAAGAAATCATCAAATT